CGGACAAACTTTTCAGCGATATATTCACGAAGTGCTCCGAGGACTCGATTACGTATTCCCTTTCATTGATGACGTTTTGATAGCTTCAGCTAACGAAACTGAACATCGAGAACACCTCCGAACTGTACTCACACGATTTCAAGAGCACGGCATCACTATAAACCCCGCGAAATGTAATTTCGGAAAACAGCAAGTCAAATTCCTAGGATACATGGTATCGGAACAAGGCATCAAACCACCCGATGATAAAGTCAAGGCTATCGTCAACTATACGAAACCGAAAACAGTTGAAGAACTACGACGCTTCCTAGGAATGTTAAATTTCTATAGAGATCACATTCCAAACGCCGCCACTATACAAGCTCCGCTAAATTCATATCTACACAACGTTAAGAAGCGCGATAAAACTATAATCGAGTGGACCGACGAAGCAACGCAAGCATTCGAAGCATGTAAAGTTAGCATCAGTAACGCGACTTTACTCGCTCACCCGTCTCACGAAGCAACACTCGCAATATTCAGTGACGCCTCAGACAACGCCGCCGGAGCCGTACTACAACAGTACATACATAATACATGGCAGCCCCTCGGTTATTTCTCAAAGAAATTCTCAGACGCTCAGAAAAAATACTCAACATACGATCGTGAATTACTTGCTATATATATGGCAGTAAAACACTTTAGGAAAATATTTGAAGGCAGACCACTCATAATATTCACCGATCACAAGCCACTCACGTTTGCTATGAACAAAACATCAACAAACAACGAGACGCCGCGACGAACAAGACAATTATTATTCATTAGTGAATTTACAACCGACATACGTCACGTAAGTGGGAAACAAAACATCGTCGCCGACGCTTTAAGTCGTGTCGAAACTATATCCTGCCCGTCTACAATAAATTATGAAGAAATAGCCTCAGCACAACGAAGTGACAACAACATTCAACATTTACTTCAACAAACCAACCTATCATTCAAAAGGGTAAATATTCCTAATACAGATATAGAATTACTTTGTGAAACATCAACATCATTCATACGACCTTACATACCTACCGATCATCGTAAAGAAGTTTTTAACAACATACATAATATCAGTCATCCCGGAACGCGAACAACAAGGAAATTAATAACAAGAAAATACTTTTGGCCGTCCATGAATAAAGACATCGCAACGTGGACTAAGAATTGCATTCAATGTCAGAAGAGCAAAATACAACGTCACACACACAGTGAAATAAATTCGTTCCCGCCAACCGACCGCTTTCAACACGTGCACATAGATATCGTCGGACCGTTACCTACAACAGCTCAAGGTTACCGATACTTAATAACCATGATCGATCGACATACGAAATGGCCCGAAGCGATACCTACCATTGATATATCCGCCGAAACAGTTGCAGAATGCATATACAACAACTGGATAAGTCGATTCGGATGCCCCGCTACTATAACAAGTGATCAAGGCCGACAGTTTGAAAGTCAAATATTTAAAAATTTAATGAAAATACTCGGAATACAAAGAATACGAACTACGCCTTATCATCCACAAAGCAACGGAATGATTGAACGATGGCATCGTTCATTGAAGAACGCATTACGCGCCAAACTATCCGATACAACGTCATGGATCAATGAGTTACCTACTATACTACTCGGGTTAAGAGCCGTCTTACGCACCGATAACAACGTAAGCGCAGCCGAACTTACCTACGGCTATAACTTAAGACTCCCAGGTGATTTCCTAGACACAAATAAAACAACAGACTCAACATCATTAAATTATAATTACGTCGAAAAATTACGAGAAAATATACAGAAACATAAACCATTACCGAACTCGCAACGAAACAATAAACACATTTTCGTTCATCAAGACCTACGAACATGTCCGTACGTGTTTATTCGAGTCGACGCAGTCAAATCACCGCTTCAAACACCCTATGAAGGCCCCTTTCGAGTTGTAAACAGAACAGATAAAGTCTTTACAATTCAATTACCCGATCGTCAAACATGCATCTCAATTGATCGACTGAAGCCTGCATATGTGTTAAATACTGAAAATTCAGATTTACCTCAAACCATGAAAACCATTACAAAGGATACCAGAGTTACCATCAAAACCTTACCAATTGAAAAATCAGCTGATACGAACAACATGACGTCACAGCCTACTCGTATATCAACTCGACTAGGCCGCTCCATCAAGTTGCCGGTACGTTTCACTTGAGGGGGATTACTGTAGCAGCACGTACACGAAGTAATAACAATAGTTTATTTATTTATAAAGACGTTCTCGTTGATGGATTTGGCGACGCTTTCATCGTTGAAACGGAAGCACATATTAATAACAATAGTATATTTATAAAGACGTTCTCGCCGCTGGATTTGGTGACGCTTTCATCATTGAAACAGGAACACACTGATGACACGATGCCGGCCCCTCGCCACGACGTAGTCTTCTTCTTCTTCAGTTAGCAGCGTTTTCAAGATGTTGTCACTCCCCGGCGCGCGCGATCCAAAAGACCGATGCGCTCGCTGGAGTGACAGATATAACCACGGTTAACGCATGCGCAGTGATACCGATTAAACGCATGCGCATTAAAGACGAAACCGTATGCGCGGCGACCAATCAAAACGCCTGTTTTAATGTGCTGGTTATTCATATTCTATATGTAATCAATTTTCTAGTATAAATAACTGTAAATATTTTCAATAAAACATTCCTTGAACAAGTGAAAAGTCTATTATTCTCTCCATACGCCTCAACGCTTAAACCTTCAATACTATCGATAGCATTAGATATAATAGATAACCCAAAAACTATCGCCACTATCGATAGTTCTGAACTGTCGATAGTCAGGAATTATTCGATAGTATTGCAAGTAAATTTAAAGTGATGTACATATAGAAGAAAAGTTTTCGGGTGCTAATAATGGACACGAATAAATTATGCTCATCTGTTCAGTATGGCTTTAAAACACAATGTCACTCATTTAATAAATATTGTAGACACTTTTTATACACTTCAAACGTATAAAAATTTCTTTAATAGTAATCGAATACTTAATATAAAAAGCGTGAAGTAAGATTTATATAGGTACAGTTTAGGAACAGGTTACAGGAATATAAATAAGTATATAAATACGAGATAACTCTTTAAACAAATAAATTGATATATTGACCGTAGCATCACAATTTATTTTAGCAAATATTTATCAATTAATACATATTATAAAACAAAGTCCCCCGCCCGTCTGTCCGTCTGTTTGTACGCAATAAACAGAAAAACTTTTGCATCAATTACCAAGCGGTTTTCACCATTCGATAGCGTGATTCTCGAGAAAGGTTTTTTATATCAGTTGTTAAGGTTTTGTACTGATTTGTGTGTACATTAACGATATTTGTTGAAGATGTCGGGAAAAAATGAGCCGTCTGGGATCTTTTAATATCCATTTTTCTACTTTTAAAAATTGCCATTCATGAAGCGTTTATAGGAAAGCTATTTCCATGATTACAGTATTAAGTATTGTCAAAATAAATTACTTCGTGTTTAAGTCTACATCAGTATCTATAAATTACTTTTTGAATTATTTAATTCGGACCTAGCATTTGAAAGTTATCATAAATTTAATAAATTTCAAAATTAAATCCAGGCGAAGCTCACTTTTTCACATGATCGCGTCATCATCAATGTACACAAAATTTCAGAATTTTTATTATATAAAAAAAAAACTATTATTTACATAAAAATATACCGTCTTTCTAGGTTCAAACTTATTTAATGTTTTATGTTAAGAAAGATGATGAAATTTTTGTTTGTTTGCATTTAACTCAAAAAGAAAGTAGGTACTCAAAGCATTATACGCAACATAGGCTATTTTATATTTTGTAAAGTACCCGTGCGAAGCTGGGGTGGATACCTAGTTTACATGTAAAAGACAGTCAAGTTAATGTCATTAATTTGTTTTCGATATGTTGAAACCATGTTTTAGTACATTGAAGGTTATTAAATGTAAACGTTTTTTTAAAAAAAACAGAGACTGACTCCTGCGAGGCACATGATGGCTCAGATGGTTAGCCAGAGCCTAGAGTATGGGCTCTGATCGTATAGATCATGGGTTCAAACCCCGACAGGTGTCAGTAGATTTTTTGAATTTCTCATGAATTGTTTTGATATTTATTAATAAGTTGGAATCATAAGGGAAGTTCTTTGGTATATTAAATAACCACTATTCAGTACAAGTATATTTTCTATTACTTTTATTTTATACATCACTTTCAATTAACTTGCAATACTATCGAATAATTCCTAACAATCGATAGTTTAGAAATATCGAATCTATCGATAGTATCGACAGTTTTTGGGTTAAAATAGCAAAATTTTACGATAGTATAGATAATATTGAAGGTGTAACTATTGATAGTATCGATAGTATTAGCACTTTCAATAGTATTGTTTAAGATGTGCTATCGATACTATCGATAGTATTAAGATGTGCCTTTACTATGGATTTAAAATCGATAGTCTATCGATAGTGGATTACCGATAGAAAACACTAGTGTTAACAATAACAGGCAATAATAGTATCGTATGTTCTTATACAGTTTTACTTTTTATATCAATATTACCTTTTTTTTAGTTTCCACTAAAATGAACAAAATGTAAATTTTAAATGATTCTGCCAATTTAAAACGAAAATAATTTTTAATATAATGCGGTGGTTCATTTTGTAGGAACGGTATCGAACTCAGTGTATGTTGTGCCAATCACTAGTCGTGACAAACTGATAGGTGTCACTTGTCAGCAACGCATTCTCTTATCGGCGGAACTTTAATGCGTATTTGTTTCCCGGAGAGACGATAACAATTATGCATATAAATCTTTAAATTGGGAATTATTAGTAATGTGACAATTTTTAACTTTTATTTAGTGAGGAATTTGTCGAAGAGTTGTGTATTCGTTTAGTAAAGTTAGAAATAAAAAAAACATGTTCAGAGATATTGCTGAAGAAGATATAGATGGATTAGTTCTGAGTATCCATCTAGAAAACTTTTTCTGTCATGATAATTTTTATATAAATTTTGAAAATAATAAAAAGAAAAATATTCATTCAGTAGTTGGTCGTAATGGCAGTGGTAAGAGTGCAGTTCTTACAGCATTGATAGTCGGTTTGGGAGGTAGGGCATCCGCCACTAGTAGAGGAAACAATTTGAAATGTGAGTAGACTATTTCAAAAGACGCTATGTAGTAAGGGAATATAAATTCATGATTATGTAAAAAGGGGGCATCACATAATTTGTTTCAAACTTTAAAAAACAAACTTCTAAAATATAGTGTGTAATTGACATTTCCCAGCATTCATTAAAGACGGCAAGTCTCAGGCAACCATAGAGATAAAAATAAAAAATAGCAGTCCAAGAGCATTCAAACCTGAAATATATGGTGATAGCATAACAATTGTGAGAACAATTACTCAAACGGGTGGAGGTTATAAATTCAAAAACCATCAAGGTAATTCAAGTGAAGTGTATTTGAAAATTATAAAATGTATATTTAAACAAAGCTGTTATCATTGTTAACAATATTAAGGACTTTGTTTTGATAATTTCTGGATAGTTAACAAATAGAAGTACTAAATTAAAAATATATATTCGAATGATAATTTCACCTATATTCATATTGTATGTAAACTATTGTTATCAGTTTCTAAGATCTTGTGTTATTCTAAATGAAGAGCGTACTTGTAATAAATATCATTAAGTATATATTATTCATAATCAATTTCAATCAAGTTCAATATGATCAAAGTTTATATTGTCAAGGGATTTAATTAAATTGTTATCAGGTTTGGTGAAATCTACAAAGGGTTCTGATATAAATGCGATAACAATGTTTCATGACATACAAGTTGATAACCCAATATCTGTTCTGAACCAAGATGATGCTAGGACTCTGCATGGTAAAGATGGAAAGAAAAAGTACACATTGTTCAGAAAAGCAGCTCACTTTGATCAAACCGAGTATTATTACAACAAGGCATTAGAAAACTGTAAAAAAGCTACATCCATATGGAAAAGAAAGAATGAAGTTTGTAAAACGGGATTTATATCATAATTGTAGTTAAATTATTTTTGATTTTGTTTTTATAATTGTAATTAATATTTTTTACTATTGAATAAACTAATGTTATCGCATTGGATGTTAAATTTCGACATTTCCATAAAATAAAACCTGATAAAATAAACATATTACAGGCGTTTGAAAAACTTTCCAAAGAACACGAAAGACTTACAAGACTATATAATCAGTTAAAACCAAAAGAAGAGATAGAAGCACAGAAAAAAGAACTTCAAGATGAGATTAAGTGGTGCGATATTAGAGATATCGAGAAGGAAGTAAAGATTATTCAGACTAAATGTAGGGAACAACGTTCTAATTGTCAAAATATGACTGAAAAACTAAGATCACTGAAAGAAAACTATGGAGGTGGTAACAGTCAAGTTGAGTAAGTATTTTCTATACTCTATACTTTACATTTACACTTTAAATATATAGAGTGGCAACCAGAGGTTCCAGGATACTATGAAACTTACTTATATGTATAATATAATAAGAATTACATATTAATACTTATCACCTATACCTAAGACTACATAAGTCCCAATGTTAGGATAGCAATACCATTACATAGCTTGTGTGGTATCAGGAATCTTCTGGTTCACACAGCTTGGAGTTCTTTCCGCGGAGTTAGCGGCGTCACTCGTAATATGATATCTCATCCATACAACGGTGTTGCCCCGGCGATGTTCATTTATTTTTTTAATATGTAGCACGTACGTAATACTGTATTGAATTATTGATAAAATGAAATTATATTTATTTATAACAGGTTATTTTATAAATTTTATTACTACATACTCCCGACGTTTCAGTTACTTTGCAGCAAACGTGATCACGGCAGACATCTCTTCTGTTATACTATATGGAATATTAATCTTAGATCTTATTATTGATAAAATGATTTTGATGATGAAAATGCTTTAGGATCTAAATGTATGTCATTTTCAGGCTTCTGAAGCAGCAGTTGAATGAGCCCGAAGCCCGTCATCGTCAATTGAAACATGAAGTGCGCGAGGCGGAGACAGCGCTCCGTGTGGCCAATGAGAGTCTACAAACTGAACGACATGCGCACGCGCAGATTAAAACACGACGTTCAAGGGAACAGGGACAGGTGGCGGACTTAGAGAGGGAGATACAGAAAATATTGTAAGTGTCATTTGAATATTTTGATTATATTTGATGTTGTATCATAAATCATATCAATATATCGCTTCGTACTGTTTAAGGATAATATGAGAATACGGATTAATAACTAGTCCAGTCAAAATAGATATTCCACTTTTCATTTTTGTATTTTTGTACAAGCCTTGAATTCGTTATTACAAATGTCATGTCAAAATTCCCCATCGATCCCGCTGGTATTTTTTTTCGAGGTGAAAGATCACAAATTGGCGATTTTTGCATATATCTCTGATACAACGAGAGCTATCGAAAATTGGTTCAGATAAAGTTTGTAGATCGTAAAAAGCTACAAAAAAGATACCTAACTTTTCTACTACAAAGCATGGCTTTCAATATATCGTGACTTTAAACCGCAGGGAAGTCGTATTATGACTATATGCACACTTATCCTTTTCATTTTGCTTTTTATTCTTATACCAAGCTTTGCTGAGGACGTCATGCTGATTGTCGATAAAGCAAATGAATATTTAAATTCTCAATTTCTCAGTTACAATCATTATATTGCCATACTTTAACTTAAGGTTTTACTTAATCGTTCTAATATCTTTCAATTTTTGAATTGAAAATTGACAATCATCATAATCTTCAATACATGTTTAAGGCCTGTACAAAAATCCAACTTATTGGGAATTAATGCAAACTGTAATCATAGTTAAGTCTATTTTTACTGGACTAAACATTCAAGTAGTTATCGCAGTCATAGAGTTACAAATAAAAAAATACTTTAGATTACTAATATTAGAATTAAATACTGATATTTTACACATTTTCGTATATTTTCACTGTATTTTTCGTGTTCGTTGAACGATAACATATAAAATGATTAACTACATATTATTAGGGGCGGTGAGAATGAAAGTGCGTCTCGTCGTGAGGCGTTAAACATTAAGTTGGTCAAGCTTCAGGATGAATTGAAAGAAACTCGCATCAGACACGACACAGCGGCACATCAAGAGACGCAGGCCGCTCAGAACGCGAATAGAGCGGACGACGAATATGACGACTTTAGGAAACAGACGCGCGAACTTCACGCGAAGATGGGTTAGAACATAGCCATGCTAATCATATTATTTTATTAACAAAATGATACATTCACTTACAACAATATAATGTAACAATATAATGGTTGCGAATTTCCCTATTCCCTCCCTTTCCTGCTGCTTCCTATTCCCACCCCTCCCTTTTCCTCAACAATTAAGGTTGACAACGCATCTGTAACATCTACATATGTTGCGGATGTCCATGCTCGTTTGCCACCTTTGACATAAAAAAAATTAAAAAAAAACGACCTTATTACGTTCTCACCTGAGTCTATAATTGAAAATCGTAAATCCTGTTCGTTCTGTTTTCAGAGAAACTGTCAGTGAATGTTCGTGAGCTGAGCGAGCAGTCGACTGACTCGCTGGCAGTTTTCGGCGCTACTATGGTTGAGTTTTGTGCTCGTGTCCGAAGAGATGTTCAAAACGGCCAGTTCACTGAAGCACCCAGAGGACCTATTGGTGAGAAAATTTAAAATTTCTCCGTATATAAGTATATATATAAAAGAAAGGCGTGTTAGTTACTCCACTTATAATTTATCTTATCTGTAATATAGATATTATAGATATTATCTTATCTTAGTCTTGAAATGTTCGTGGAGGTTGGAAGGTTTAAAAGCTGAAAAAATTGATTAATTTCCGGGAAAACCCTAAAACCAGCCTTTTTCTATTTCCCGTACAAACTTTTTTGACATTAGATTTGACAACTAACTAATATGTCAATCATTCTGTCGCACTTCAAAACACGGAGACTTATAGCTTAAAGGTAAACTCCAAAAATATAAATTAAAAAACGTAACAGACATTTCTTGATTATAGAGCGATACGAAGTTCGCCGGGTTTAGTATATATATATATATATATATATATATATATATATATATATATATATATATACAGGGTGACTGGTGAATTACTATCGATACTTGAGGACGTGATATTTGACGATCATATATGACAAAATAAAAATTAATATAACATAAATATTAATAAACTTCTAAGTTAACCAAAAGTTATGTAATTAATTACGCATCGTGTGCACACCCTACAGATTAGGTATACACTCACACACACATATGCGTGCGGCGGCGTAGTGTTGTATCAGCACGCCGCCGCACGCGTCCACACTTGGAACACTTGGAACGTGTCAACACTTTATTTATTTATACGGATATTTTGTCAAAAATTAAGTGCCTATTTTTTTTACATAATTCGAATGAGAATCATGTACCGAGTATTCTCCTTAAATATTGATAGTAATTCACCAGTCACCCTGTATATGTCTATATGTAGAGAGAGAAAATTTTATTATATGGCTATATTTTTTTTGGTATTTGACATACAGTCACTAAGAAGGTTATAAGCCGGTTTGTCTTAGCCTTTCAAATATTGGTATATGTATAAAATGTGTCCTTTAAACATATGACTATGAAGTGATGATTATTTTCGTTAAAAAAGTGTGTTATTTCATCCTGCAAAGCCAGCGTTATATTTGAAATCGGACTATTATTATAATTATATCAATGTAAAAATATGGAGTTTTGTATTTTTATAATGACCATTATATATGTTATCACCTTAGGCAGCTTTGTAAAAGTCAAAGACAAGCGTTGGGCCGGAGCCTTGGAACATATATTGGACGGATGCATGTTCAACTTCTGTGTGAACCATCCGAGAGATTCGAAACGGCTCTTCAAAATAATGGAGGAGGTAAAATTAGTAGGACCGACGTCATATCCAAAATAACTAGTTAAATTTATATATAACTTTCTTTTATTATATTACTAGCTGCGCCCCGCGATGTTACCCGCGGATTTCCGGGATGTAAAGTATTCCTTTGTGTTATTCCTGAACGTCAGCTTCCTGTATACAAAATTTTATCAAAATCCGGTCAGCCGTTTGGGAGTGAAGAAGTAACAAACACACATACACACTCACAAACTTTCGCAATTATAATATTAATAGGATAAATGGACGTCTGTTGCCATTTCAAGCACAAACTACTGGACGGATTTTATTGTAATGTAGCTTGGACATGAAAATAAGACGTTAATTATAATAATTTATCTGTAATAGATTTATATGTAAGAAGTCACGTGACAGACAGTTTTAACAAATTTTTCTTTCTGACGCCAATCCCAGAAACTACTGATCGTATATGCTATTATACTTCAATGAAATTAAACATATCAATAACATACCAGTTGATCCTGTTTTAAACGATTTACTCCAGAAGTCACAGGTCCAATTGTTCTTCGTATCTAAGAATTATTAATTCCATATTATTTATTTATTCATTTATTCAAGTGACAAAAATTTCGGTTACGCCACAGCATTAATAACTAAAGCTAATCTCATGTTCCAGGTTTGGAGAGACAGAGGCGGTCGTAAGCCGGCTGTAACGTGTAGCGCCTTCAGGCCACAAGTTCATGACGTCACTATGCGCAGAACCTCTGCCCGCGGCGCCGTCTGCGCCCTCGACGCCCTTGAAATAGATGACGTGGTTGTCGCCAACTACCTCATAGACAACCTCGACTTAGAGACCGTCTTACTAGTGCCCACCCACGGTTACTATATTAAATTACTGAATTCTTGACGTGAATATCACTTTAATTAATAGAATAATATCTACAGTTTATAATTAAAATAAAACTACTCAGAAGTCACACCGATAAATTTCAAGATAAACATTAACCATATTAGAACAAAGTTGCAATCACTATTAGGAGCAATCACTAGAATGTCTACTTGTGTACCAAAAAGAATCCGAAATATTTTATACAATACTTTAGTAAAATCTCATTTAGAATATCTAATACAAGTTTGGGGATCAGCAGTAGCTGATGCCCAAACTTGTATTAAATAAGTAGTAACTTCAAATCTAAATAGTTTACAAAGAATACAAAATAAAATTCTTAAAATTCTATATAAATATCACTTTTTTACTCCAACGGCACAACTTTATAATGAAACAAAAATAATGAATATATCACAATTATACACATGCTATACAAGTATACATGCATTTTAATCAAACAAATTAAATCAGGTTCCATTCAATCGGAGATAGTGATTTGTGAGAGACCGCATATTTCGAACTTAAGGAATAAATACAAACTTCAAATTGATCACGTGAGAACTAATTATGGTAAAAATACAATTCTGTTTGAGGGAGTATAACTGTTCAATAAACTACCAGATGAAATAAAACTGTGTGATAGTATAGGGATGTTTAAGGTTAAATTAAAAAAATATTTAATATCCTCGGTGTAGTAGTAAATGTAGCAAGTCTGTCATGTCCAACGGCCCGTTTGTTAAAATTGTTAATTGTTGTCTTGCAAATATTCCTTGTATCTCATTTTAAGTGAATGTAAAAATTCTTATGAGAAATAAAGTTCTTTATACATTTATATTTTAATCTATCAGATGATGCGGTACGTCTCTGTATGTCCGTTGAGAGCGTGCCCGCCAACTGCCATAAGGTGGTCACAGCGGACTGTTCGGAGTATATGCCGGCGCCGCGATACAGAATATACGGCGGAAGGGAAAGGACGCCTCGCTTCCTCAGCACATCCATAGGAGATCGAACCAGGTTTAAACTTAGTACACAATATGACCAGCCTGTACATACCAAACCAATCTAACACTCGTCCCAACAAGATCCTAGTGTTTTTGTGTATTTTTGAACACACTGTATATACAGGGTGACTGGTGAATTACTATCAATATTTAAGGAGAATACTCTGTACATGATTCTCATACGAATTATGTAAAAAAAATAGGCACTTAATTTTTGACAAAATTTCCGTATAAATAAATAAAGTGTTGACACGTTCCAAGTGTTCCATGTGTGGACGCGTGCGGCGGCGTGCTGATACAACACCACAAGCCGTCCGCGTATGTGTGAGTGTGAGTGTATACCTAATCTGTAGGGTGTTCACACGATGCGTAATTAATTACACAACTTTTGGTTAACTTTACTTAGAAGTTTATTAATATTTATGTTATATTAATTTTTATTTTGTCATATATGATCGTCAAATATCACGTCCTCAAATATCGATAGTAATTCACCAGTCACCCTGTATATATTTTTTAGGCAGCTTCAGGAACAAATAGCGGAGTTAAAGAAGACATTATCAGAGAGGAGGTCCGAAGAGGCGCGGCTGGCAGCGGCTAAAGAAAGTGCTAGAAAGATTCAGGAACAAGCTGCTGCTCAATTGCACGCGCTGCAAAGTAACCTGCGGCAGTTCGAGCGACGACTAACAGAGACTAAAGAAGCGCTTGAAGAACATGCGGCACCGCGGAGAGCTATGCTTGTCAGTATAAGCTCATACGCTCATAATATAATAATATACGCTCATAGTACTATAACCTCATACTTACTCTACATGGCATAAGTTGTAAACAACTCTGAATTTGTTTACATTTATAATCGTCATACTCAATGCATACATATTTAGTAACTTGGTGGAATTTATTTTTTAAATCATAATGGATAAGGTTTAAATAAAATCTTTTCTACGGCAACCATTATAAAAAATAACCTATACTTTTAATTATTGCGGTATTTTTAATACTTGTAAAAAGCAAACGGATATAATTAGGTCAGGTTATAAAAAGGGCTATTGCTCATAATCAAATCCATATATTTTTAGGAGGAGGAATATGATAAATATAAAGAGAAGATCAAACGTTTGGATGATGATTTACAAAAGGTGGCGGAGAAAGTTAAGATTTGTGAAAAACAGAAAGAGGAGGCTGACAGGCGCTGTGCACAGCTTAAGGCGGACTTCGAGGAAATTGATAGGGAATACAAAAAACTGAAGGTACCATTTGATATTATATTATGAGAAATATAAGAAATAAACGCCTCAATAAATTTTTAGTTCTAAATATAAGTCCCAAGTTCCACATGCATTATTTTTGTTTAAAATGTAAAAGTTATAATAGTGTTGAGTAAATAAGAGATTTAGTAAAAACGAGGTTATTACACCATTTCCGTTAATCACTAATTGACGTCGAAAGTTGTTTATACAATAATCTTTCTTTGTTGAATGTTCGAATAGCTGTATAATATGATACTAACAATATTTTTTGCGTCAGTTGGAAATAGCATATTACTTTTGAAAACAAATTGTCTATATCAGAATTTTATATTTTTTGGATAAATCGTCAGTTGATTCATATAAAAGTGATTGTTTCAGGATACACTGATTCAGAAAGAACTTGAGATTGAGAGCGGACAGACAAAGGTGTTGAGCTTCGAGATGAGAGTTACAGAGGAACAAGAAAAATTGAAGAAACTCGAACATGTGTTGACGCAAAGAAAAAACGTGCTCCAACAACAAATGGAAGGACTATCTGACAGGCCGCAACAACTCAGGTGAAAAACATACATACATACATACATACATACATACATACATACATGAAACATTGATATATATTATGAAATGACAAAAATACACTACCATTTTATCAGAGTTACAGCCATTTGAGAAATCTCCGGGTTTTTTATTACTAAATTATTTATAACTAGCTGCGCCCCGCAGATATCCGGGATTCTCGGGATGTAAAGTAGCCTATATGTTATTCCTGGACGTCATCTTCCTGTATACAAAATTTTATCAAAATCGGTTCAGTCGTTTGAGCGTGAAGAAGTAACACAAACACTCACAAAATTTCGCAATTATAATATTAGTAGGATTAATTATACACTTTATACCATCAGGTCCAAATCGGAGTTGCAAAATCAATTGAGAGAAATTGAACAAAAACTGTCCGCTATAGACTCCAACCGACTCCCGAGCCGGAAAAAAGTACACGATGATTTAGTAGCTGTCACGAAAAGAAAGAATTTGGTTGAGACCGAATTGAAAACACTCCAGGGTCTAATTAAGGAGGTATTATATAATATTCTTAGTATTAAATAACACAAAAGGGCCATTTCAGTTCTAATCAACTGTTTGTGTCAGTTATGTTATTCATAATTTAATATTAGATTGTTCACATATCTCTCTTTTAGTCCTATGTCCCCTAGATGTCGTTCACATTACGCCGTCATTCCGTTCGGTCTTGAGCTTCGCCATTCATGTCGAAGTCTTCCAAATGTTTTTGGCCTCTGCAATGATCGTAACTCGCCAGGTCTGCTTAGGGTAGCCACGTTTTCGCTTTCCTTGGGGAGCCCAGTCCTTTTTTTTTATTATACTACTTCCTCTGACGTGGTCACAGTCTTAGTCTGCAATTCACGTACATACCAGTTCTCGCATTTTCTAGGGCCGTCCATTCCTCATTCTATATCTTTCTTTTACCCCTCTCTTTCATTACTGGGCTATAACCATTATCTATCTTTGGTTTACTACTATCTTCTTACTATCATATTTCTATTTGATCATGAGAGCAGGAGGTATATCGTACAGCTTTTCTTTATTTACATCTTTTGCGGGGGAGCCCAGTTTAGGGCTTGCCTTTGTATTCCGGGTCCCTGCGGAGCGTGTGGCCGATCCACTTTCACTTGTGACGTTTGACTTGCTAGTCAATTGGTATCTCACCGCAGCGTTCCCACAGATACACATTGAAGATTTTCTCTGGCCAGTAAATACCGAGAATACGGCGCAGACACCAATTAAAGAAGACCTGAAGCCGATGCGAGACCTCATTAGTGACCTTCCACGTCTCGCATCCGTATAAAAGTACGGTTTTGATACTGGACCGGAATATTTTGAGTTTAATTCTCCCGGTCAGTTTCCACGACCGCTATGGTTGGACTGAATGGAGTCACGAGAAAGCTCTTGATTTGGCGGTTCCTTAACCGACGTCTTCTTCGGTCCCTAAGATATTGTGCTTTCGAGGTATTATATATATCGATATAATTTCACCAAATTGTGGACCTTTTCATCGGCTTGGAGCAACGGCATGGAGGCTGTCATCTCCTAGGTCTTCCGCGTGTGTATTCGTAACCGCATTTCTATGGCCTCTCATTGTAGGCCGTCCAGTTTTGCTGGCATGTCGGCGTGTGTATGCCTCAGCAGACATAGATCATCGGCATACTCCAGATCTTCTAAAGTGTTGGACAGTCCCCACTCTATGCTTGCTTTCCATGATTTTCTATATAACACCATCCAGAACGACTAGGAAAAAATAGGGGAAAGGAGGATTGGTATGTCTTTCAACAAAAAGCCGTTGTGACTTACTGTGTATATTTTATGTGGCGGTGTCCTCCTTCTGTGAGACGGTCATGTCCACGAAGGAGGCATCTGAGCGGGAAAGGGAGAGGGCGGCTGATGCTCCCTCCCTCCGCAGGCGACGTACGGGGGTGCGACGGAGGCAATTCCAACGCCTCCAATAGCACCCCCGTGTTCCGGGCTGGGGTCGGCGTGGTAACCCGGCTCTAATGAAAGCCCGGCGTCGTCGGGGTGGTCCCAATTGCCGGGATCGCCCCCATTCTCCGAGGGAGTAAGTCCGGTCTTTGCCAGGACCGGCCAGTCGATGGTGCGCCCTGTCGCTGACAGATGGGGGTACACCGACATAGCGGCCGATGGCTTTCGCAGTGGTTTTAGTGAGTAGGGGCCTGCCCAGGCCGAGCTATCACACATCCCTTCCGGCCCCACCAAGGCCGGTTGGACGGCTCGTAAAAAGAGTTTCCCTGCGTCATCAAAAAAAAGGTATATTTCATGTAGAGGGCTTTTAGAAGGTTGATTATTTTTTTTGGGGACTTCACGTAAACGCTCCCAGATACGTAACAATCTCAGCTTGTCGAAGGCTTTTTCAAAATTTACAAAGGTCAAATACATTCCCTCTGCCATTCTGATGCCTGTTTGAGGATTATGCGTAAGGTCTTATCTGGTCTGTGCATCGTATTATCTGGTCTGTGCATGATCTGTTAGTTCGGAATCTATCATGTTATCTAAGAAGAAAAGGTTCTATGGTCCTCAATCACGTATTCACATATACTTAATAGAAAGAATAAGCTAAGAAACTAATGTAATACAACATTTTATTTAAAATGAATTTGAATTGAAGAATACAATATCCCTCAACATCGGAGGATTACTTTATCCAACTTATATATACTTTTATAAATATTTCAATGTACATAATTCCACTGATACACTTGAATATCTTAAAAACATCAGTATTTAATATCAATGGTACATAAAAAGTATTTAACGCTTCATTAGTGTGAAGCTCAAATGCAAAGAGCAAATTCTGTTATAACAGAATTATTACTACAAATTTTAAAAATAGTAAATACTTCATCTTATACATACATATATGCAAGTGTTTTTTATATCGCAAACATAGAACTCAAGATCTACATATAAATATATATAAATAATAATAATATCATATTACGTATGTGTAGATAGAGAAGATAACAAAAGACCATTTAAACCTCTGCTACCAACTGCAGATCGATATCGGACGAAGAGTGCAGTTTTGTTTTATCGATAAATTGAAACTCCGCAAATATAAGGTATTATAAAACTTTTTTTCTTGAAACAGGAAGGTTATTAGTTGAGGCATTAATATTTGTTCATAATTTAACATAATAAGTCTGAATACTTCTATATATATTTTGCATGTTTTTTTATTTAACCCCAATATATTATATATTACATTATGTAACTGGTTATACAAATATATATAGTAATTTAAAATTAAAAGATCTGTCACTAATCAGTTTGTTTACAAAATTTATCGCTTCTCGTTGGCCATAACTCCTCATATTAATGCACTATGAATGTTTTTTCAGGGGCAGATAATTTTGGATCACGGTGACCGTATTTTGGATATAGAGGTCGCTGGTAAGACGACCGACACGTTGTCGGGCGGCGAACGATCATACTCCACCATGGCATTGATCATGGCGCTATGGGAGTGTGTCGAACTGCCGTTTTATTTCATGGACGAATTCGATGTATTTATGGTGAGTTTTCGATAGTTTTCAACAGTGCACTGAAGTTATTAGTTAGCTATACCATGATGCAATCTAATCATTGCTCTCGTATCATTTTAAATGAAGTATAATAATTCAAAACAATATAGAATCATTGAAGTAGTTACTAAAATTTAAAAATTGTGTATTTTTCTATTTGTACTCATTTTTATATTTAATGGACGTTAATGGATGTTTTTTTTCTTGAATTATTTTTTTTTATTAAAATTAAAATAAATTAATATAGAACAACAAGTGCCTATTTCAGCTAATTTCACTACGCTCCCTCTTTACCCACTCACTTTCTACATTTGTATATCTTACTGTTTCACTCCCGCAGCGTAAAACATTTAACGCAACCTTGTTGGAAGTCTCAAAAGTAGTTTCACTTCAATAAAATATAACGTGTATGTTTCAGGACAATGTAAACCGTGACATTGTATGGGATCTGTTAGTAAAATTCGCGGCTCGACGTCCTAGTAGGCAGTTCGTGTTCTTCACACCTCAGACGCTTCCTATAACTGCCAGCGACATTATTGTACACAGGTGAAATAAAAACACACACATACACACACACACACACACATACACACACAGGCACACACACAGAGATCGATTTATACACGCAAGATACATTACATAAGGTACTTTTTTAATTTATTACTAATTTTCATATTTTTTTCTTACAGCCTCGATAACCCCACGAGGATGAACAACGTGTGAAGCAGTAATTTTTATTCTTTGTTTTTGTTTACATAGGTACTACAGTTTTGTAATTTTGTTTTTTGTTAATAAATGTCATAAAATGTAAAACTTTTATTTTAAATACGCTAAGACGACAATATTTGGATATGTGTTATATTATGTATGTTATGTGAAATGCACTCAAACGAACTTTTATTGAAATATTAAAATGAAAGTAGATTGTTCTATAATAAAAAGTTTTAACGGATGTAAAAATACAGATTTATTTAATTTATAACATTATAAAAATCTATACTAGCTAAATTGGTTAACAATGATTCACGGCGTTATATTAAAATAACTATATCTAAGTTTCTATAAAATAATTCTTTTTTGTCAGAATTTTTCTTGCACAAAGACTGAATGCTTGAACTCAGTTGTGTTCAAAATTCGTCTAAATCATGAGTAAATGTAAAATACTGGAGGCTATCTTCAAATCTTCACAAATACGACGATCTGTTGTTCCTTGAATAATACAGCACCTGTCTATAAATTAATATTATCAAAATTTCATACTTTATTTAAATGACATATTGTAGATTAAAAAAAAGCGATTTGTTCCTTGCTTTTTGCGTATGTCTTTTCTTGTTTGTCACTTTTATTATGTACATTTTATGTTCATTAACAAAAGTAATGTGTTCGTGTATATACAAATAAACTGGACATACTTACAATAACATAACTAAACAGATGACATTCATTACTGCGCTGAGGACGTAAATGGCGCCAGGAAATACAGATAATGTAGAGGAGTATAGAGAATTAAAAATAATAGGTGCAATAATTTGCGCTACACTCTCCATAGCGCAAAGAAGGGCGAACACCTTCGCTATGTCTACTTCTGGCAATAATTTACTAACATATGAATTTATTAACGGCAACGGAAGTCCTTTAAATGGAGACACAAATATACCTAAAAAAACGATTATAATTTACAATAAAGATATTAACAAAAGTAAAACATGGAATACAACCAATGTAGACTCAAAGTTAATAACTATATGTTCATAAAATAATAAAAAGTGAAACTCACTCAAATACATTTGCCATGAATGTAGTGCAAAAGCTTTTATCATGAAATCTATAATCGCTGTCATTAATGCAATTATCAGAAATGTTATATCTCCAATACGCAGTAGTCTTTCGATTACCACAACACCAAGAAAGGCTCCAAGAAAAGCTATTATTGTACTAATAGCTGAATATTTTGTGTAAGCTCTTAAAGACCAATGCAGTTTATTTCTCAAATATAAATATTCCAAATAACTGCACCCGACTTGTACCGTGATAAGAAATAATTTCATTACTGCCATAAGTATGATAATATTTCTTCCTTTGTTAGGACGTTGTTTAAAGCATCCTTTTAACATATCTTTAAGATGCGAAAAATTAAACAATTCTCTTGCTCGACCCTGTGAATTAAAATTAACTTTATATAATCATACAGTAATTTAATTTTGTTTGTTAAAGAAAAATAAGAAGAAGAAGAAAGATAAGATTGAAGATTATAAACTATGTGAAAATTACTTTAAAAATATGAATTACGAATCAATATATGATATTTCGTTTTTAGGTGTCGAATGTCGATACAAGTTCTTGTATATTTTTTTGTTTCATGTTTTTAAGAGACTTTTTCTTTCTTTTATCATTGTATTTTATAAAGTTAATTTAAATTTTATAAAAAATATGTAATAAAACAATAAAATACTTGGCTTAGTGCATGGTAAGAATCATTTTATTACCTGTTCAGCCCCAGACAAAGACTCAATGATCCAAATCTTTACAAAGAAATATGTAATAACGTTAACTGTGGCGGTAAATAGAAGAACGTAAGAATAACCCATGTTTGCTATTAGGTAGGAACTAGACAAAGAGCCCACGAGAGTTCCGAGGCATAACGAGGCGTCAACTAACAACATCCTGCAATATTAAAATACACATTATATTTAATAAATAGAATAATTAAAAAGTAAACCACATAAGTTTTAATAAAGGAAAATTATAATATGTAGTATAGATTTAGGAGTAAATAAGATTTAATAGGTGATTTTATAGTAATAGACAAGCAAGATCGTTTAAAATGTTTTTTGTTTTGTAGCGAAGTTCGTAAAAAAAAAACAATAAATAGTTTAATTTCGCTCTCAAAAAGGCCTAATAGGATGTTGAAACCCTTCTCGATATTCTATATTTAATATATACATTCTGAGAGTTTGCGCAGGAATTGCACGCTTTAATTAATGCATCCTTTTCATTAAATCAGACAACTAAACAACAGGCCTATATTTTCACGTCTCTCGCATAAGAACAAATCGATACACTTCCTTCTTCCTCATGAGTACACAGTGTTTTAAACAGATTATCTGCATCTGTGTTTCCTTCTAATTATAATTGGCAGTCTCAGACTGAGATATGTAGTACGCGATTACCGCCTTTTCTTCATTAACAGTAGATTTAGATAATAAACATCAATGAATCACCTTATCGTTCTGCTACTTGGAGAACTGGTATCCTTAATGAAAGAGTAGGCACCCGTAAATAATATAACATAACCTCCGGATAATGAAAACGGGATGGAAGTCAAAAGTAACCACCATGGGTTGAGGCTATTGACCGTTCCAAAAATTAAAAGAAATATTCCGGATATTGAACCACCTGCAAGATATAATGCCGAAATTATTTAAATATTCGTACAATTAGGATATAAGCAATCACAATCAAAAAATATTTAGGTACATACTTATAATCCCTACTAATATTATAAATGCGAAAGTAACTCTGTCTGTCTGTTACGCTTTCACGCCTAAACCACTGAACTGATTTTAATGCAATTTAGTACAGACATAGAGTTGATTTTGAGAAAGAACATAGGATATTTTTTATCAAAGACTTTTGAAAGGTTCTCTTGGAAACGCGATATAACCGAACTTCACGTTGGCGAAGCTGCGGGCGGAAAGCTAGTTAATTATGAAGAATGTAGAATAAAAATCACATAAACTGAGTATTCTTACCAAACAATGGCCAAACTAGCAACGGTTTTCTACCGTAAGTATCGGACCACACACCAACAAATACGGACAATATCGCGGGAAAGATGTTTTCCAAAACTATTTTAACAGTTGATATATAGGTATAGTACTTCTGAACATCGATCTCCAAATTGGTTGTTTGATTTATTTTAACTGGAGATAGAAATAATTCGCATTCATCTACGGTGTGGTGTAAATTATATATACAGGATCTGTATAAAACTATGCTGGCGACAGCATAAGCTGAAACAGAGGTTTTATGTATGAAAATATTGAATCAAATGTTTTATTATTGTATACTTGTACATCATCATTCTACACATCATTTATTGATCTGGCTTGGTATCAGTAAAAAGATTCATTCAACGATGAAACTTTATCATTATCCAAATTATAATTACACCTAAGTCTGTTTTTACACGGTCTTTTTGTACACGGTTTTGATATAACACGGTTTGAAAATTTAATTTTTTTACACGATTTTATTCCATTTAGCACGATTTGAAATTTTATGTACTTAATTTTTTTTTGTCAAATTTAATTTTTGCGAAGTATGTTCATATCACAAAAAAGTGTTTATGAAAGAAAAAAGTCTGAAACCATCGATAGTATCGATAGTTTGCGAACACTAGCTTAAAGATTTAAGTGAATTCCCCTTTAGCGCGTACAAACAATTTTTACTGGTCAAAGCAAATGTGAATAGTACTAATTTAGGGGAATTCCCTTTATGTGCATATGTATATTACTTTTAAGATTAGAGTGCATATTTTTTTTATTATTAATTACTACGCTTGTGAAAATAAGCATTATACATATATTTGATTTAATAAAATAAATATGAATTCTTGTTCTTAAAAATTCTTGTTTTTCACTAATTTTAATAGGTTTTAAAGATTAGAAACAAATCACCCATTTTTGTATAAGATCAATGTCTTTTTTTACACGGTTTTTTTTTACACGGCTTCTTCTGGACCCAATCTACCGTGTAAAAACAGACTTAGGTGTACATTTATATGATTTCAACCTATTTCTTATTAAGTTATGATTTAAAAAAAGTTCCTTAGAAATCTTATATGGCGCTTATGTACATGTGTATCTGGGCGATTGTCCGATTTCAAGGCTTCTTTTTAGTTGAAAGCAAGTGTCATTACTCTGGTTCTTAGCTTTAATATTTGTTTTAAAACATAGTAAAATTGTATGTGTACAAAGTTTTCTTTTCCAAAATTATGTAATCATTTTTGGCGTATGATGCCTCGATTAAGAGATTCACATTTTACTAGTTTATGAAATGACAATGAATATACCTAGTAGGTTTTAGCTTTTATTGTAGTCAAATTTGTTTTACATATAATTAACAAATTTATCCGTCACGGTTTTGTTATAAGTTTGAAAAAAAGTTGCAGTTAAAATAGAGCAATAAAATCATTTTTTGTAACAAAAAAAACAGTAAAAAGTCAAGGGTACAGAATCATAAGCTGAGCAAGCGATTAAGTGGACATAAACATCGTTGCATTGAATATTTACGTTTTTAACTCTATCACACAAGAATTATAATTAAGATGAGATAAATTATCATTTTACCTGATATATACGTAGTAGCCATGTTAAGAAATATCGGCAACTCTATTAAATTTGTGATCGATCGTTTTGGAAAATATGGTACGGCACCGTCAATATTTTCTGTCATTTTTCCTTTCAACAGAACAATAACGCATGAAAAGAAAAGTTCTTAATGTTGATTGTTATTTGTAAAGAAGAAGCAGAAAACTACTTAGTTGGTTAATGATTAATAATTTTTTACCGATTAATTAGATTTTATACTTACAATATGGTTCCTACTCGTAATACGTGATTTTATAAACACAACTAACTGATTGCGAATATTCTTTTTTTGTTATACTGACATATAGTCACTGATGACCTAATAGTTAATAGAGTTTTTAAATAACGACAGCTCTCATTAAACAGACAGAGTTATTACTGCTCCGCTGATTTGCTATTGTCCATGTATAACAATTAAATATGTCGCATTAAACCGGTTTACTATATACATAATACATAACACATACGTAATATATAAACATAATACATATAACATATATATGAAAAACACGGAGCTTGCAATTGTCAATAAAGTAATTTTTTGGATTTATTATAAACGATGGTATTAATTAGACACTAAAACGTGATTGTGTTTTGTTTGCAAACGCAAAAATAATATGGCAAATGTTGTGAGGAAATAAAGAAACATTTTGGTTAAAAACACCCCTCGTGTCCACAAAGTCAATTTATTTATAAATTAATTTATCACCGATAAGGATCTATAGGTAGGAGCTGCCTGTCTTTTATCATGGCGTATTATTGCCATGATTCAACTGGATATTAAAGTTTAAAAGTTTAAAGTGGATTTCATAATTTACGCCAAAAGTAAGGCGGCCAACTTTCCGAAAACTGAATGCGGGACTTAACCTTTCATGAATGGCGGGGGGGGGGGGTGTTAAGGATTGGGAATGTCATAAAAATCTTCGCAATGGCCCATATTAAATTTAAGTAAAAAGAAAGAAAACGAGATTAGCGCGGGCGCGCTACGCTTGTCCATGTTATAGGTAATCTGTGGTCCTGCACTGTTGACCGTGGGCGCGTATGGGTGTTGTGTAGAAGTCTGGTAGAAAAATTGGGATGCGGGACATGCGGGACGCATACAACGTTTTGCGGGACTATTTTACTAATAATTTCAAAGCGGGATTTCGTCTAGTATTGCGGGACGGTCCCGCAGAATGCGGGACGGTTGGCCGCCTTAGCCAAAAGAACAATGAGAGCAGATGTACATAATAAAACTTTATCTTACGGGTACGTTTTTTAAGAATTTTAATCGGTCAATCGCTTTTATCTTAAGATAAGAATTCAGATCCAAACAATCACTTTTTAAAATACATTGCATTTCAATAAAATATAAGACATACTTTTGACAAATGGGCAACTTCTTTGTTTCTTTTTGTTAGGTATATTTAATACGTAGGGTATTCAAAATTTACTCTTTTTTATTTAAATCGTAACAAAATAATGTCGCTGTAGAATTTAAATAAAAACTTAGATAAAACTTATTAACCATATTATTTTTATAATAATATTTTGAAAATTGTCTAAAATATGAGTTTATTAATTATTATTAATGTAATGGTGTTGCCAGATGACTTCCCAAATTTAAATGTAGAGAGGTATATATGATGTGTGTGAATGAGAAGTGCAGAGAAATGGCTCTTACTCATTATCATATCATTGTTGGAGGAACAATAAATTCAGAGATAACAAGTAAACACTTGATTAGTACTGTATTTTTTATTAAAAATGATTTAAAATACGTTAGTTTTTAACTAATCTAAGAAATCACAATACATAAAATACTGTTTAAAAAAATGGTATCTTAATTTGTATGTTTATTTACAAATAAGTACAATACAATTTTGTCAAAAATCTTGATTGAGTTAATCGTTTATGCTTTCATAGCCAGATAATCTATTCCACGAGTAGTACTGCACTAAACTGTAAATAATAAATATAAATAAATACAAAGAATAATGATATAATCAAATCAATGTTGTATATAATTTACTTACATTAACATAATTACGGAGACTGTATTCATAGCTGTGCTTAAAACGTAGATGGCGCCGGGAAATACAGATAATGTAGAGGAGTATAGAGAATTAAAAATAACTGGTCCAATTATCGGCGCTAAACTCTCAACGGCACAAAGAAGAGCGAACACCTTCGCTATATCTTCGGTAGGTAAAAACTTTGTTACATAAGACCTTATTAAAGGCCCTGTGAGACCCTTAAGCGGTGACCCGATTGTACCTTAAAGTAGATTAAAATAATTATACAAGTATTCTATAATAGGCTATAAAAAGATGAATCATATAATTTTAAATGTATAAAGAATGGTTGGAAATTGAGGTAATATCAATAAATTAAATCTGGGTCTATGTTAGTAAGATTAAAAGAGTTTATTTATGTTCTTACAAAATTTGCGATAACACGTTTATGTTACTTTAAAATCTGTTACTTAAATATTATTTTGATAAAAGGTTATTACATATTGGATAGAGAAGATTTGGTAGAAACTAAACTAGCAACCATTTGCTCTTAACACAAGTTTGCACCGTCATACTACATTCGAAACGTATAGCGTTTTTCATTTAATAATCTACATTAATATTACAAAGTGTGAAGACTGAGGAATGAAACATTTTTATGTTCTGTATGTAATGTTACGATAAAAACTTGGAGTAAGTAGGTATACTATTAATTTTTTCGTTTCTTTTATTGATTTTTCTGTCATGTTTCGTCTTAAATAAAGAAGATAAAAAAATCTCTAATATTTGATCATTTGATCTCTAATATTTATTTCTATTCGGAAACCATATTGAAGTTTAAGTAACATCTTTGTCAGAATCACATATAACACACACGTAAGAAAAACCAGATTCAGTAATTAAATACTTTTAGAAGTTCGTTTATAACTACACAGAAAATGAATTCAAATACTTGAACCAAAAAAAATATGTGCTTACTTAAGTACATCTGCCAGGACTGAACAGCAAATAACTTGATTATATTATCTATAATCGCTGATAATATGGCGATTATAGAAAATGGTATGTCTCCCAATCGGCATAATCTCTGACAGATCATTATTCCAAAAAATCCCCCAACGAATGCTATGACTGTACCAAACGCTGAAAACGTTGTATAATCCCTTAGGGTCCAATGCAGCTTTTTTCTCGAATAGAAATATTCCAGATTCATAGTTCCAATAGTTACTATCATTATCAATAGTCTTACAGTTGCTATGAGTATTATTTGAGTTCGTCCAAAGTTTGGGCGCTCTTTAAAACACTCAGTGAACATCTCTTTCATATATTGTAAGTCGAAAATCTTTGACGCACCATTCTACAAACAGAAAATAAATACATCTCTTTATTTTTTACTTTCTTTGATTTTATGTCTCGTTAAGGTTTTTAGCTCGATATTTTTTTCGACCTAAACGCCCTCAGGTGGTCATTGCAAACTAAAGAAAAAAAAAGTCATTTTTGAAACCACTGTTCGTTTGCCAAACCGGTCATGACTTGAAATGCATTTTCGAAATCCATTTTTGGCAGGTATTTTTTATTTGTTTTGTTAATGGGAGTACATTTTAAATTGTTAATAAGTGAATTCTTATCTTATTAAAATTTATGAAATTGTTATTAAGATTATAAATATTATCTACCTGTATTGCCCCAGTCAAAGATTCCACAATCCATATATTTGTAAAGGCGTACGCCATCACGTTAATGGTAGCAGATATAAGAAGTACATACACATTGCCAATTGTTGCTATGAGATATGAACTGCACAAGGACCCAAAGAAAGTTCCTATAGCCATTGTACCATCCAAAATCATCATTCTGTAACAAATAAATATTTTTTTCAGTATTTACATGCTCAGGTAGAGAAAAATCACTTAATAATATGTTTAAATGAATTAAATTGAAGCAAAAATTCAATATGTTTTTTTTTAGTTATTACACAAATTTTATTTACTTTATATTATTATTTAAAAAATGATAATTATAAAAAAGGAATGCTAATTCTATATATGTTTACAGATGGCGCCACATATATTAATCCTGAACAAGTTTTGCTCAGTCCAAGCCGAAGTTTAAAAACCGTGATAAAATATACCAAATGTCAACGACCTTTTATAGCTAAGATTTTGGCAAAAATTCAAAGTCATTTTTTATTTCGTTTTGGTTTTTGAAATGCAGTTTTATTTAAAGCAATTTACATATCTCCAATCAAACCTTTTATTATCTATTAAGATGTGTTTATCAATTATTAAGTTATCACCATACATATAATAGGTATATTCATAATTATAATAGTACAACTACTGAACCATTTAGTATTAGCCATTACGTATATAATATATAAACAATATTTTTACTACTATTCTAATAACAAGATAAGGTTTTAATTTGTGAAACACAACCGTGCTATTGTTTTATAACAAGCGCTACTTATGTAGTGCTTAAACTTTCATGAGTAAGTCATGGTTTCTTTCATTTTCTATTTAAAAGAAATATAATTTTCATTTCAAAATCATAGAATATGTTAGTATTGTTAACAGTGTATTTAATTTAAAGGTAAAAACTCATATTATAGACACGGATAATCGTTTTGAATTAACTTATGGCTGTTTTCAATTACCTTATGGCTGTAGTACTTGATGAGCTTGTGTCGTTCACATAACAATATGCGCCAGTGTATAACACCACGAACCCGCCAGTCAAGGAAAATGGTATGGCCGTTGGCAAAAACCACCAAGGGCCAAGATTGTCCATCATACCGAAGACCACCATGAGGATACCAGTCATTGACAAACCTTGAAATTATTATGTTAATCTTTAATTTTTGTTTTATTTACATTTTATCACGTTTATCGTTATTTTAGTAAAATAAAATTGTTTTTTCAATATATCTTTGAAAACGAAATCGTCTTTACTTTAAAAAAAATGTATAGAACATTTTTTGATTAAAAATTTAAATGCTTAAAATTTTAACGTATTAATTAAAATTAACTATCATTATCCGTTCTTCGTTCAAGCGAACGTTTTTGGTGAAGTAGCTATATAATCGATTCATATAATAATATAATGTATTTAGATGCAGACAATTAAGAAACAAATGAATGTCTGCAAAAACATATTTTTGGGAAATTGAGGTGAGATGAGGTAGAATTTGGAAATATTCCGTTTAGTTTCGTTTTCTCATGGATTTGACAAACTGGTCAGGGTAAGAAGTTCCATAAAGTAGGAGCTTCAGTCATAGTTAGTAAAATAAACGTGTAGAAATTCATAATGCCCGTCACACACGCTACGGTCCACCGGAGAGGTAGACCTATGCAGTTGATCCGGATTGTGTGTGGGAATAGACCTGTGCAGATTTTGAACGCTATCATTGTTCGGTTAAGAAAAGGTTCGTCTCAATTCTAAGGAGAGAATTATAGGATTCCTGAGAAGGTATTCAACTAAAAGGATGAAAGAGTCTAAAAGTAATAAGGAATAGTTAAAATAAGTAAATATTTATAAACACAAATTATATATCATTTAAACATGTAAAAAATTTAAACCCTATTTTTATTTTTAACGAGGTGTAACTCGTAGCTTATAAAAAGTGTTCGAAATATATTTGTAAAAAAATTGATGCTTACCAAACAATGGCCAGACGATAAGTGGTTTTCTCCCATAAGTGTCAGACCATCCTCCCAAAAATAGTGACAAAATGGTAGGACAAACGTACTCTAAAATTATTTTAACAGTTGTTATGTAAGTAGTGTACTTTTGAACCTCCGTTTCTAAATCTGATGTTTCGTTTGTTTTTACTGGAGATAGAAAAAACTTGCATTCATCTACAGCGTGATTCAAGGTATGGACACATGTCCGATATAAAAGGATATTGCTGACGGCTGAAACTGAAAACAAAAAAATAAATACATTCATGATTTTGGCCTTAAAAACTATGATTATTAATCATAAACAAGAGTAAGAATTAAATGGAAGCTTTCGATTTATTTAAAGACAAATTTATGGGTATGAAACGATTCATGTAATTTATAAAAAGTACAACATAAAATGTATTAAAATCTTCTTAGTACTTTCCTTTTGTAATATTCTCACGTGTAAAAACGTATTTTTCTAAGAACGAAATTCTTTTACAATTTCTAAGGCCCTCAAATTAAACTTAATTATCTTTTATTTGTTGAGCGTAATTCCCTAATGCAAAACAAAATTATTAGTACATAGAATTGCTACTACATATACTTGATGTATAAAACTATGAAGCTGCTCTTTTAAAAACGGCTCGCATATGTAATTATTATAATGAATAACTCACAACAAAACAATGGTTCTTATAAAAAAAATGTTACTGGGCTTAATCTAGTTTAAATCGCCACTGAATCTCACTGTAAATCGTTTGAACCTCCATTATATGTTACTTTTCAACAAGCACCTACATTATATGTGTACATGTTGTAATTGCAAAATAAGATATATACAGACAGAAAAATTCTACATTTTTAATAATAGGTGGCTTCGAAAATCTTATAATAAACAGTTTTAACAAAATATCTATATGAATTAAGAGGGACAACTACATTATGATTTATTAAAAGTTCATAATAACATTTGATCGATGTCAAAGCTGATAATGGGAACTCGTAAAAAAGTCATTTTGGGCTGTTCAACTAAGACACCTTTTTAATTTATAAAAGTTTAGTGGTATTTAACAGTAAGTCGGTGCACGTCATTTCCGCTCAGTTAAGATACATTATTAGTTTTAGATACAATTTTGGACTTGAGTCTTGCTTAAATTTAATGTTGAAGTTCATTATTTACTTCGTGCTATTAGTATTTTTTGTCGATTATACAATTAAAATTATGTTTGTGAGAATTATCAAAGTTTTATTTCAATTAAATATATCATTATACATATTACAAATTTTGTTTTTTCTTCACGTACCTGTTAAAAATGTTGCCAGCATGTTCATAAACAATGGCAACTCAATAGTTGTCCTGATCCTGATCGACCTTTTTGGCAAAGGCAAATCATTGTGTTCCGACATGATTTTGCAAAATCAAACACTGTTATTCCCAAAAATATTACACTACACTTCACTTAAATTATGTTTTAATAGTCATACACATAATTATACACTTTTATATATTCTTTGTTCTAAAACATATTTCCGGCATTATAAAATGAATATTTATGAGTTGCTATACGTATAAACAATAGTAGTGTATTGCAAACTCGTTCGTCCTTTGTTATTTCGGATACTATCAAGCATTATCAATGTGATTCACGACTTAATCATGGTTTATCAAAATGGTGGATTGCGTGTTATCGAGTTACTATCTTCGTAACACCATTATTATTCAATTAATCACTAACCATTTTTGTTTACTTATTTTAAGAATAAGACTGTCTCGGTTCTGACGTTTGGTTTTAATAATTAAATACTTTGTATCCTACTATGACTTAAATACAAGTTATAGAAATTAATTGACTAAAGAATTTAATCAACTAATTGTTATTTCAGTCGTAAAGGATACAATTTAAAACAAGTATTATCAATTATACGGTCGAAAATGTAATTGAATTAACTCAATTATTTAATCAGTAAAATATAATTAATTTATACATCATTAGAATTGAAATTAGTTAAACGACTCATTATAATTATTACAGAACCAGATCTCAGCGTTTTATTCGTATGAGTAATATGTATATTGTATATACTATGCAGCGGAACGAGGACGAAAAGGTCATACAATCAGCAAATCACTATCCTTATTACGTGTTCGCAGTATCAAACTAAATACTCTCAGTTTCAACGTATCACATACAGAAGCGTAAGTCGGTTCATTATCTATTTTTAATTGTTATGCTATAACTATACAACAGCTTTACCAATTTAATATGTTTTTTTTCTTTCTTGTAGTTCGCAGCAGGTTTTATTATTCATTTAAATGAAACTGTTAGATCGAAACAATGAAACGAAACGCACAAAAATATTAGATATTATTAGGTTCTATTATTTATAATAATCCAGAGTTGCACAGAAACTAAGAATACGTTGCGAGTATGTCTATTGTAAACTATTAAAATGAATTTTCTAAACACATTTGTAACTGCCACTTGTTTGATATCATCACTGAAACTGTTAAATTGCACTGTTGTATAGAGGCACGTCGACGTATCTAATAACCCAGATAATAAAACATATTTTTAACCGACATGTAAAAGTTGTATATAACTTTATATTTTAGCATAGGTACACTTTTAGATGAAACTAAAATGTATAACAATTGAGCACACAATATTCTTCTATATCCAAAGTACAAACATAACTCGCTCTTCAAAAAAAAATTGTTTCTTTACCATTTAAAACACTCAATAGTTGTACCACACGAACGTCACAAAATACACTGAACGGTTTAGTCTTAACTAATACTTACGCTATTATATATTTCTTTTGAAAAATTCGATGTCTATTCAAAACAATAACAATGTTTCGAACCATCAATTCTTAGAAAACTACAATTAGCAGTGTCTAAACCTTTGTGGGAATTAGAGGGTATTCCGACGTCCTTTCAAATACGGAGTAACTGATAGTAAATAAGTTTATAGTAGTTTTGTTCGTTATTATTTTATTAACGTTTGGATAAATAAATCAATTTAATTATATTTTTGAGGTATTTTTATTCATATAACGGGTAAGTAATGTTTCCAAGATTTGAACGATAGAGTATTTTTTCTATATTGCATTGCATTGCAGAGATTAAATTACAAACCACATATTTTGTTAAGAAAGGAAGAATTTCTATTAAATATAAAAAATAATAATCTTTAATATGGGTTGTTATTAGTTTTATACATATGGTTATAAACTTATAATTATAATATTTAGGACATTTCAATATGACTACTGACATATTTTATGAATAAAAAATGATTTAATTTTTAAGTAACTAAAATCATGATCTATACATACATCATATAATATTTATTTATTTATTGAATTTTTTAATTACCACACAAAGTGTAAATTTGGTCAGGTAGAGAGAGGAGCTTGGACAGTGGAGGTGAGCGTTTAAAGCGCGTTAGATAGGGATCCCTTAAACCTACACCTGGGTCGCAAGTCCCAGGCACTGTTGAAGCTCCTCTCACTACAACGATGGACCCGGCACCCGCACGGCGAATCCATTGAATGCTAAGAGGTTTCGTCTCACAAACATGTTATTTATTTATTAAAATACTGACAATTATTAAATAACTGTTACGGAGATGTTAAGTTAGGTAATAAAAACGAGATCAAACACGACTGTTTTTGTAAATAAAACACAATCAGATCGTAAACATCATATATTTCGATTTCATATAAAACAAAGATTTATGAGTATTTAACTACGTAAATACAAAAATTTTGTAAAAAAAATATTCATCTGATGAGTTTGTGACTTAGAATTAATTATTCGAAAAATCGATATACATTGCTTTCGAGTTTAACTCGCTCGATTCAAATCACATATCGAGTAGAGTACAGCGTGAGGTAACCACAATATTAATTCTTAATCATTAATAAAATCAAAGAAAATGTATATAAGTAATCGACTTACTTAAAAATATATTAAGTTTTTTTTTCACCACATTTCATGTCGTGTTTGTATTGCGAGATTTAAGTATAAAAATCACAAAAAAAACTTCAAAAAAACATCTTAAATTAATATAAATTGTTCAATCAATCTTACATTAAATATGAAAAATTGTATACAAATGTATATGATTTAATCACTTTACTTAATTATAATATAATTTAACGCTAATATAAAGACGTTATACAAAAAGTGTATAATTTGTGACGGAAAAAATCACTGAGATTATTAAACTTAACCTTATATAATTTTTATTAAGTTTCGCTCGTCAGTGTATTGTATGTATTAGGACACTCCTTCCATCTATAATATTGCACAAACCTGAAAATTAAATCATTTTTATGATAAATAATATAAAGAATAAATTAATATACACATATAAATTTTTTATAGGTAAAACCTTTAGAAATATACTAATAGAGGCGGTCATAGTAACTTTTAATATGAAACATAAAACAGAATGTCTCAGAAAAGAGTAGATATATATGCACACACACACACACACATAAAGGGATACATAATATTAAATGATTAAACTGAACATACTGAAAATAAATCTTATGTTTTTAGAGGTTCGTGACCAAAGGGCAAAGACTAAAACGAGAGCCAATACTCTATACCTAAGATTCAATTGTTCGTATGTCACTAGTATTCAATTACAGTTTTTCAATCATAAATCTAAGATAATATATTAAGAAACATTCTATTACATACGGAACCATTGATACGAGAGTCCGACTCACTCTTAACGAATTATTTGAACATATTTTTTAAACGAAGTTTGTCACCAAAAAAATTAAATAAAATCAAACAATTTTGTACTTATTCTCCATCACTTGGTACTGTATCCGTTCGTAATATCAAATGACCCGACTGCTATTTTTAATAACGAGATATCTTTTTGATGTCAATAAACACAATTAATACGATCGAAGTATAATTTAACATATAATAAATGTCAACTTGACTGAATCACGTGTTCTGACATTTGACTTTTATTCAGTACTAATCGAGAATTTACACTTTTTTCTACAAGTATATTAAATGTATGAAAAAAATAAACAGTAAAACAACACTGATTGGCAATCTACATGCTAACAATGAAAATGAAACCAGCAGTTATTTATCTATAGAATAGATAACTATTATATTTAAAAAAAAACCAAGAAATATATATATAACTAGCTTTCCGCACGCAGCTTCACCCGCGTGGAGTTCGGTTATAACGCGTTTCCAAAAGAACCCTTCAAAAGCCTCAGATAAAAACTATCCTATGTTCTTTCTCAAAGGCAACTCTATCTCTGTACCAAATTTCATTAAAATCATTTCAGTGGTTTAGGCGTGAAAGAGTAACAGAGAGACAGAGTTACTTTCGCATTTATAATATTAGTAAGGATAAATGAAACTATAATATTTATAAATGAAACGAGGTACATTTTCTGAAAACTTATCTAAATGTCGAATTGAAAAAATAAATAATAGTAAATTAATGTCACTATGAAAAATATAAATATATTTTAATATTTACTAACAAAAGTATTACATATAGACAATTATTCTGTTCGTACAATTCTAAACATTGCCAAAAATTTCACACCCACATTTAAAAGTACGATGTAACTTTGTAAATCATATGTCAAAAGATCAGTGACCCGGTTAAGATAAAAAAATATGTATTAATAAACACTAGCAGTCTTTTATATTTATAAGCGTGGAAATATTTTCGTATTAAAACTAGTTTTTGCCCGCGACTTCGTCTGCGAAGTTTCAGAATCAGAAATGTATAGCTGACCGGGCGAACTCTATTCCTCCTTAAAGACAATAGATAATAATATTTATGATTTGATCAAAGTTTATGATTTGATGAAAGTATCCTATGCCTTTTCCCTTGTACTAAACTATCTCTCCACCAATTTTCAGCCAAAGCCGTACAGTCGTTCTTGAGTTATAAAAAGTGTAACTAACACGACTTTCTTTTATGTATATAACCAAAATGTTACAAGAAATAAATTTACTTGCAATGTTTTAAATGATTATAACAATAATTCCTCATAACCTCTCTTTATTTCCAGTAATCCTATTAATTAATATAAAACGATATTTAATAAATCTTTTATTTACCTTATAAAATATAATTAAAAATTATAAAAAATAAAGAGCTGTTTATTTAATTAGAGAAAACAAAGACGCGGATAATAATTATGTCTTTACCTTGAAATTATTTATTGTGAAAAAAAAAATTGGCTCATAAGCGGAAAACGTTCATGACAAAATGGGTACGCATAAAATGTATAAAATCAAAATAGCGGATATTAATATAGTGGGACAGATTAAAATAAAATTTAAAGTTTGTATTTCTTTGGTGTTAGACGAAAACCAGAAAAAAACGTGTGAATGAATCAAGATAATTAATAATTTTGAAAAACTATTTATGTACGAATTATTTATTTCAAAGATTTTAAATGATTTAATGTGTTATTAGAATTTCTAAACGATTGATTTGTATTGAGGAAGGTCAATCGAATAATTCAACAAAATTACAATAAATATATACAATTCTAAAAACGATTCCACAACTTAAATTAAATTAAGAACAACGCCTTTTGCTTTTATTTTACGAATTCAATTAAAAAAAAACAATAGTGCATTCACATTATGCCAATATTAAAAAAAAAACGACAATATTAATACTACCAACATAACAATAAAATATACTCACCCTAAGAATATGACGCACACAGAAGATATCCCGGTACTCAACATATATATCGCCCCTGGGAAGGTTGATATGGTGTAAGCGTACAGCGAGTTGTATAGAGCTGGTGATATCAATGGGCTTATGCCTTCTATCGCGCACATGAGAGCAAACACCTTCGCTATATCCTCACCGGGAAGGATCTTCGTCAGGAGGGAACGTATTAGAGGGGACGAGAGGCCACGGAACAGGGATATCCCGGCGGCTAGAACATGTATCAAAGGTTTCAAGATCGAACAAGATCATTTGAAGGTCATATAAGGTCATGTATTCGTTATTCATGATGTAATAAGGACTGCTTCTGGTGAATCCTGACGTTCTTAATGTATCAGTTAGTTTACAGCCAGCATTATGTATATGCATGGTATATTAAAAAGTATTTAATGTAACTCGTGTCGTATACAAAAAGTTCGTTGTTAGTTTAAAAAAAGAGATATTTATATTGGTCCCAACAGTGAAATTCAAAATTAGAACGTTTACATGATATTGAAACAAAGGAACAAGTTGCAAAACGATGACCTAAATGCTAAAACCGGACGAAACCAGTTACAGACATTTTAGTTTTTACTGAGATTAATTCTAACCTCATTTAAATGTACGTCCAAAGCCAGACGAGTTTTATGTCTAAATTTGGATATGACAATGACATTAAATTTAAAAATCGAACTGTGATCCCAACTGTGGTTACTATAGAAGTCATTTTTAAATCAAAGTCAATACAACATTATTATGACTAAGTTGTTATTCGCAAGAGAATCGCAGTTTATAAAATATTCATTATAATATGAATAACCTTCAACTTACCAGCGTACATCTGCCAGGAAACGGTCGCAAATGTTATTATGACGTATTCAGTTGTAGCTGATAGATAGGCTATGATAGAAAACGTTAGATCTGTCACTTTGAACAACTTCTGTACTATCATGACACCGAAAAATGATCCGAAGAACGACACTGTTGTATGAACAGCCGAATACAAAGTGTACTGCTTTATAGCCCAATGGAGTTTCTGCCTTGTGTACATATATTGAAGGCTCATATTTCCGAATAATATGAACACAGAGAGACTGTTGGCTATCGTGAGTAATAAAATTTGTGCGCGTCCATGATTTGGACGACGTTTGAAACAAGTTCTCACCATCTCCTTAATCAGTTTGAAATCCAGAACTGAAGTCATTCCTCCCTGCCAAAAAAAATATAATATATTACATTCCGTCAAACCATGCATTGAAATTCCTTAATATAATTACCTGAACAGCACCAACAAGAGATTCTTCAAGAAAAACATTCGTATATAGATACGCAATCGCAGATAATGCTGTGCATATGACTAGCAAATAAACGCTTCCAACGGCTCTCAACACATAGGAACTGAGAATAGCTCCTATAACACTACCAGCTGATACAGACGCTTCAACAATCGTCATCCTGACCAAAAAATATATTAATAACCAAAATACACCTTAAATCAATTGCAATAAAGCTGAAAATAGAGTAATTCTTTTAGAAGCTATAAGGGATTACCTTATGTTATTTACCTAAGTGATCTCTTCTCTCTAGCGGATATATCGCTAACGTAACAGAATGATCCAGTAAACATTGCTGTGAAGCCTCCAGACAAAGATACCGGGATGGCAGTCACTATGAACCACCACGGACCAAGATTATCTAACATACTATATACGACTATTAGAGCGCCACTTACGGTCATACCTAAAAAAATAATAACATTATTTTATATGTAAAACATATAATCCTAATATTTTTTTATTTTTTTATTTTAAACATATAATCCTAATATTTTTTTTAGTTACTTAATGTTGCTAGAAAAACCAGTAAGTATCTATTTAAAATATCATAATATACCTAATTTATGTGAGAAACAAAATATTAATATTAAAATCGTCTGTCCAAATTAGTTTCATTTTATTTTTAGACAGACGTTCACCCTCTTTTTTGAATAATATTAATATTTAAATTTTATGTTTTGATCAGACGTAATAGTTTTGATGTCACTATAAAAAAACTGAATTCAACATCCGAAAATATCTATGACTAGTATTTTTTTATTCTTTTGTCTATTGACATACGGCCATATATTTCTTGATAAACTCGTATTGTATGTAATGTATGTAACTATATGTAAATCTTCACTTACCGAAAAGCGGCCAAACAACCAAAGGTTTACGACCATGCCTATCAGACCAGACACCAAGGAATAAAGATAGTATTGCAGGTGCCACGGACTCTATAATCGTTCTAACCATAGACACAAAGGTTGCGTACTTCTGAACTTCCTCTTCCAATGTCTGGCTATCATTAGTTTTCACTGGCGAAAGAAAAACCTGGCATTCCTGTTGCGTATGGTTTAAAGAGTGAACGCATGTACGGTAGAGAATTAAGTTACTGATTGCAGCCCCTAGAATTAAAGAATTGTTTTACTTACAATATCGCTTCCATATTGTTATGACGGTAACAGTAAAGAAAAATAATTTTTTGATTAAATTGTATTAATTTTTTTCATTATATTATCACTAGCTTTCCGCCCGCAGCTTCGCCCGCGTGGAGTTCGGTTATATCGCTTTTCCAAGAGAACCTTTCAAAAGTCTGGGATAAAAACTATCCCATGTTCTTTCTCAAGGTACCAAATTTCATTAAAATCTGTTCAGTGTTTTAGGCGTGAAAGCGTAACAGACAGACAGACAGAGTTACTTTCGCATTTATAATATTAGTAGGGATTTTATCTACCTATGTTATCTGCAATGTAATGTGTTAAAGCAGAAACGCAGATAATGAATCAGATTAAATAATTAAATCGTGAATGATAGTAGGTTTTTAATATTAAAATTTTTGATGAATCATGTTCTTCGATATAATGTATTAATTACAGTTTATGGAACTTCGAACAAATATTAAGTTTGTATTGTTTAATATGTTAATCTTAAACTAACAAATTGGTCACAAGTAAACAGAATAAATAAGTAGAAACGCAAAAAAATGTAACTTAATTTAAACACTCTGTAACAAAGATATGACGCTTATGTTATCTCACAAGAAAACAATATATATTTGCTAAATGATCAGACAGCGAATTATGTTGATATAAGTCGAAGTAATTTTTGCCGTTAATTTTACGGTTGCTTAACGCAATACATTATGGACCTCAATTGTGATATCCTATAGAATTGGTAGCGTTTTGAGGATTGAAATGTATGACATGTACAAGACTATATAGGGCTTTATTAAGAGTTATGTATAGCTCTAAAAATCGTGGACGTAGCACTCAAATACTTCAAATAAATTGAATAGTCTTGAACGATGTTTGTACAAATATATGTGATTGGAATAGCTAAAATAAATTGAGGATGAAATAGAAGTAACAAGAGGACAGTTTAAACAAAAAATATAACGGAAAAAAACATAAAAATTTTTGGATTTCAAGTAAACTAACGTTATAATATAGGACTTCAATATGTGTACTTAACAAAATTAATTGATTACTACTACATAGTTGTACAAGTCGTTGGTAACAAAATAAACAATCTACTCGTTTCAGCTTATCTTGTTTAGATCTCAATCGTTATTACTGATATAAATTGTACTGCATTTTATTTAATACAGACTATTAATTGAAAACATAAAATAATCATCACTTGATTGAACTAATCCCGCCGTAGGTTTAATTTCATATGATTACCAATTTTTATTACATCGTGACAAATGACTACGTAAATTCCAATCAATATTAGAGACAATAATTCTGGTTTGTTGATTTTTACTATAACATGTAATATAAAAATATTTCTTCAGTTGATATCTCAATCACTTGTTTATATTAAATTACTTTTTAACTAAAATATATATATTTTTAGTTTTGATTCTACTGTACCTGTTTGCCCTATTGGCTTTTACAGCGTCACCTAAATTTTGATACTATAATATCGATATACACATAAAATTCTCGTGTCGCCGTGTTAGACAGAGAACTCATCCGAAACGGCTGGATCGATTTTGATGAAATTTTGTGAGCATATTGAGTAGGTCTGAGAATCGGTCAACATCAATTTTTCATACCCTTAACTCATAAGGGTTGTTCACCCTTTTTTTCTGACGAAATTTTTTGTTTTTATTTCTTTATAATGTGGCATTAAAAATACATACGACCCAAAATTTTTACTTTTTTTATCACCAACCCCTATTTTTTTATATGGCAAAAAAAAACGTTTGACGGGTCAGCTAGTATTATATAAAAAGTTATTACAATGTCTTTGTTCTCTCGGCCACGACTTAGTTGAAATTGTAATACGTTCAAGTATATTTTTTATTCTCCCTGTTTTGACTTTAACTTACGTTATTTTAAACAACATTATAGTTTTTTGGAAAGACGAGTTGTGAGTCGGCTTACTATTTAGTATTTACTTATCAACATATTGGGAGTGTTAATTTTGTTATTTATAACCGTTATGCTTGACCTTTAAAGTTACATTACATTTTTTATCGCTTTCGTTCAACTTATTATCCTTGAAACATGAATACGCGGATTTTTTACAAACTTAATACACGCCGAAAAATTATATTATGCAAGAGTTCACCTCTTCATTTACAGAAAAAAATATTCATACAGTTTCAATTAAACATCCGACGTGAATTTTCATATTCAATTTAAAATACTTATACGTATTTAGTTATTAACATGCGCAATAATTATTTTCATGGGATTAAAATAATTCATTTAATTGTTAATGGCCATCCAATAAATAAATTAAAACATATCCAAAGTAGATACTTACAATTAAATAAAAAAAATTCAATGCGTTATTTTCCATTGTTTTCAAGGTAAGAGAATAAAATTACTTAATTATTTATATATAATTATTTATAAATCTTATGTTTATAAAGTTATAAAAACGTAAATAACTTACCAGATAAAGACATAGATAACATGGTGAAAAATAGAGGAAATTCCATCGTCAGTCTGTATGATTTACTGCGATTTTCATTGATACTATTAATATTCGGTTCGTTCTCCGAAAGATTTTCATTTTCTTGTGTCATCTTGATCAATGAAAATAGTTTCCCTCGGAAAAGTCAAGAAAAGAGTCGATGTGAGCTTAAAGGAAGTACAGTCGAGAAAATTATAATTAAATAGCAAAAATCATAAAATATATCGACTGCTTTTCCCTGCAATCAATGCAGCACTGTACACCACCATCACTTTGATTGCACCCGACTTGCAGATTTGTATTATAAAACATTTTATTTCACGCAATTTTAGTTTCTCCACGGTATCGTTTTGTGACTCTAATCGTACTTTGTTATTGTTTTGAAGTCTTTGACATCGATTTGACATTTTTAAATGTTGCCATTATAAATAGTTTATAGAAATTTCTGGTATTAAAGATGTTAATCAGTAGTAACTACCAAATAATACACTTTTAAATATGTATTATTTAATCAATTTAAATGAATAGAAAAAAAACACAATTATATTTAAATGCTAAAACGCTCAGAAATATTACATATTTTGGGCATAAATAGTAAGAATATTTCTAAGCTGATATACTAAATGATTGGTTGATTTTTTTTAAACAACGCATTTTCTGAATTTAGTCCCTAATTTTTTTTTATTTACCTTTACAGTTAGTGCAGCAGTTGCAGGTCTTATTATATTTAAAATGAAAAGAAAAGATATTTATGGTTTAACACTCTGTAATAATTAATCTTGTCTTTGACATATCTTAGGAAGGCGAGCGTTTTGGACAACAATTCAACGTATCATTTCTCTTTGCCTAAATTATTAGAGATTTATTGTTTATAACGAGGATTAAGTATTAATTTTAAAAGGTATGTTGTATGGTTTTTAAGTTAAAAATATGTTTTCTACGCATTATAAATCCAAAAATTATTTTGATGAGTCGTCGCCTGTCATAGTTGCATCCGCCGTTACTAATTTCGTTCCTTAGAAGTTATTGCAAGTATCTTATATAGACAATAGTATATCTTATATTATTTTTCAAGTGCAGTTTTCATTATTATATAATTTGCTTTGTATTGTTGAATCTTATGCGACATGCAACGACCTATTTTTAGATCTGCTTTCTTTTTTATACACTGCTTGGTTATTAAACTGCAGACCGGTATTTGATCTCAAACTGAGATTATAATACATATATTTTAACTTTTCATGCAACATTTCTAGGCGAACTAGAAATTAATCAAGATGGCAGTGAATGTGTACTCCACAAATGTGACGTCGGAAAATTTATCAAGGCATGATATGTTGGCGTGGGTGAATGACTGTCTTCAATCGAACTTCGCTAAAATCGAGGAGCTCTGCACGGGCGCCGCTTATTGCCAGTTCATGGATATGCTGTTCCCTGGCAGTGTACCCATGAAAAGAATTAAGTTCAAGACAAACTTAGAGCATGAATACATACAGAACTTTAAAATTCTTCAAGCTGCTTTCAAAAAAATGTCTGTAGATAAGGTAAGTTTGATTACAAATAATATTTGACTTAGAATAACATAAAACTTGTTAATAAAAGATCAGTTATGAATACTATGCAAATAAGACTAGTTTTGGCATAGCAATCATTTTAAGCAATTATGCTTCTAAACTATACAAAGTAATAAGTAGTGAAGTAGATCTCATAATAAAAATATCTATTCTAATTTATGTCAAAGGTGTTGCCTCTTAAATATAAATAAATAGTCTATTTAAAGAAAAAAATTAAACAAGTTTTGTTTAGGTTTTTAAAACAAGTTTTAGTCTTGATCAAACAAGCATTTGGAATATATAGTTTCTAGCATATTTTTGACTAAAGTATATTGTTATAGTAAATTTATATCTTTTTTTAAATAACAAAATTTAAAAATAAATTTATCGATGTTAATAAAGTAAAATTCAACCTACAAACATTACAGAAGAGCCTTAGTTCCGAATAAATTAAAATTGCACTTTTTTCTATTCATTATTATTATTTTAACACAATAGTAAATGACTAAAGACTTTGTTAATTACAAAATATTTATCCTCATTGTAATAACTTTTGATATGCAAGAAATGTTACAAATACTAGTGTTTAAACTTGATTTTTCCTGTTTAACCATAAATGTCTATACTATAGTTATAATTTGAACTTTTAGAAGAAATTAATGTAATTTTGTAGGTAATACCAGTGGACAAGCTGATTAAGGGGAGGTTTCAAGATAATTTTGAGTTTTTGCAGTGGTTTAAAAAGTTTTTTGATGCAAACTATGATGGAAGGGAGTATGATGCGTTTGACGCCCGTGGTGGCCTAACTATTGGTTCGGGGGCGTGTGAGAGCGGGGTGCCTCTGTGTGTCTCCGCAGCGCCTCCACGAGTGCGTCGCGCTGCGCCCTTACATCATTCGGGCAGTACGCATCTCACTCGTATTAAGCACTTAGACATTGCATGACTGTCTCTGATCATCATTCACCACATGTTTCTTCGCATCAATGTACCAGTTCATGTCAATCGTCTAAGTGCGGTATAAGTCCCCCACCTGTAGGCACATAGAACATTTCCATTTCTTTTGTTTTGTTTACTTTCCCCTTTTTTTCTTTCGTAGATAGTACCCATTGACAGACTGGTGAAGGGTCGGTTTCAAGATAACTTTGAGTTCTTGCAATGGTTCAAGAAATTTTTTGATGCCAACTATGGAGGCACGGAGTACGACGCAATGGCACAGCGCGAAGGCCTGCCAATGGGTCACGGAGCCCCGGGAGCTCCGCCCAGGGCTGTTCCCGCTGCCGTTAAGAAACCGACCGCTCCTGTCGCTAAAGTCGCAGCCAGACCCCAAACCAGTACTAATTCATTTATTAATTGCTGATTTTTATACTTTGATTTTGGCAGAAGAAAAACCATTTTATTGGTACCTTAAATTAAAGAAAAATATTTATTTTATGATGAACCATTGGTTATTATTTCTTCAGTATTGGATAGGTTTATGTAATTTATTCTCATTTTTCTTTTATGTTTCTGCTACTTTTCATTCACACTCTCCTACATTCATCCATTTAAGTGTATGTATTGTTTATGTTTCATTTATTGTATTTGTTCCTTATTCATTTATGTGTTTGTGACCGAATATAATTAGTCTAATTAAATGTTTATGTATTTTGTATATTATAATAAAATATTTTACAGTAGAATGTAATTTAATGTGAATATGTAGAAACCTGCGTGATACGATATTCATATAATTTTATTTTACAGTTATGAAGGCAAATAGCACAGTGAGGTCTCCGCCAATGAATCCATCGAGATTAACTCAAAGTGGTAAAGGAGATGCTAAAGTAATAGATGACTTACAACACCAGGTATGATAAAATACAAAATTATTTGTTTAATTTTTACATTATTTCTTATTCTATACTTTATATATTTTACATATTATAATTTATAAAAGATTCCAAGAACATTGTTTACTTGTTATTTACAATCAAATATACTATGTATTAGTAAACATATTTAATATATATTTGCCATACCCATGAGAATATTGATACATATACACAATTTATAACCTGTCTACAAATTGATAGACTTGTTGATTTATGTATATGTACTCATGAGATGCAGTTTCAACGATTCAATTTGAATAGTTTGAGATCAAGGTTTACATGTTTTGTATTTGGTTATACTAAGCCTAACATCACTTTTAAATTGAATTTATCTGAACCACCTTGCACTGTTTCTATGTTATTTATTCTTGATTATAATATTATGGTTTACTTATTCTCCATTCTATTTCTGTTTATGGTGTAATATATAATTATATTTTTGTTTCAGGTAAGCGAATTAAAAGCAACTGTTGATGGATTAGAAAAGGAAAGAGACTTTTACTTTGGTAAGCTTCGGGATATAGAAGTAATCTGTCAAGAGATGGAGGACCAGCATAATGCCCCAATAGTTCCAAAGATTTTGGACATTTTATATGCAACTGAGGTATGTTATTTTTATACTAGTTACTACCTTTCTTAAACTAATGTTGACAAACTATATTTTATTTTAAGTCCCATGATAAATCAAAATTAATATCAGTTCATAAAAAAAAATTGAGTTTCAACCATTTTCCATTGAAATCAGTCATTTGGGGTGATAAAAAGATGAGTGTGATTAGAATGTGTTAATGAATATAATGTCTGATATGTACAATTATTCTTACGGCATCATAATATTGCTTTAATTTGTATGCTATTCATAACTTGCTTCAATATCAACAATTATTGGTATTTTTTATAAGGAATTAAAATTAAATGTATTGTTAACAGGACGGATTCGCGCCACCAGAAGAGGAGGACGGTGACAACCCTCACCCGCCCGAAGAAGACGAATATTGAAGAATTAATATCAACGCGTATCATAGTGCTCTTTGTATATTATAACTCGAAATTTTAACGCTTACAATCATCGACAGCATAGTGCTTAGTATTTCACAGCCAATGAGTCGGTATATATATATTATGTAAGATAAGTTATATTAGGACAGTGGCCCAAAACGGCTCAGACAAGTTCCTACAATATTCTAATGACATAAAAAATTCAATGTTAAATGGATTTGATGTTTTATATCCGTGTATATATGTTAACCAATAAATAAACAGCAGTACACATGGCTGTGTCATACTTGAGTGCATTCCTTTATTTATTAGGAGCATTGTTTCTCGACTGAATTTATTTCTTATCCCGTTTAGTTATTCACCTGCTTTTATTTTGTGAAATAGTTTCTTTCAACTGGAGTTTTGTCTTATATGGATAGGGTTTAAATGTGCAATGTGGTGCAAATACGTGCTTTTATGTAATGATCTTAAACTGAACAAGATTTTTGGGCCACTGACGCCTGTAAACGTGCATTTAATAGGTTGTTATAAATGAAAGAGATTTACTGTTACTTGTTTAATTGTGTTATAGTGTCAAAATTTACCCAAATTTGAATTGGTCCTAAATTCTTATACAGCTCTTAGAGTCGATATAAATTAGATCTGAATACATTTTTAACGATATTTTACGAAAATTTGGTAGTCTATTTTGAAATTAGTATATATTATATTGTATATCTTAGATGAGAGAGTTTGCATGACCGCATACAAGATTAATAAACAGGAGACTACCAATTATGTGCACTACTGTTATCGAACAATAGAATGTATTTTTCTGAGTATGGTCATTATTATTTGTTCTATAGTAGGTTAGAATATGATTAGCGCAGAGTTGCGCATCGAAATACAAACGACTTGTTGGCGGAAAGATATAGCCAGTTAAACTTAATAGTAAAATAGAACTTACATATTTAAAGCATTCATAAATTGCCTTAACTGCAAATATACAGCCTCTGGGTTTCCGATTGTCAAAGTCTTATCAAATAAAATAATTATATTGAAATAGAGTTTCATTTAACTTCTTTTTTTATTACTATTTTTAGATACATATTTTCTTTAACATATAAAAACATATTCTATTTAACATATAAAAACTTGTTTCCAATGTGGCATTATTTTGTCTGGGTGTAGTGTTTTGGGAATTAAAGTATGATGTTAAAATATAACTAATCCATAATTTTTATTCTATAGTTAAATTTTTACATAATATAGAGGAGCTCATAAAATAATTATCATTTATAAATCATTGAAACATCTTATTATATTGTCTATTAACATTAGCCTATACTTACATTAATTATATAAAACAAAAGTAACACATACCTAAAACTTACAATATATAATGCCATAAACCATGATTAAAATTGTTATTTTTAATATAAAAATGTTTAAGATAAATTCATCGTGCTAATGGAACAATTAAAATGTTAACATTTTCTGTTTAACATAACCGGTCCTGCCGTAAAATGGCGGAGTTAAGAACAAAAACGTTATTATTAATATTTACAATAACAATATGTAATAAATAATGGTATTTTGGAAAACTAATCAAAAGTTTCTATGCATACTGCAATATTTTATGGTAATATTGACTTATATTCTTCTAGTTCTTGAGGAACTTCTAAGGCTTCTAGAGGATATGTTGCTACAATTAAAACTTGATTGATTACTTATAGGGCTGCTTTGATATTTTTTTTCATTAACTTTCCTTGGTGTTAATATCCTTGTTTTATTTGGCACTTTCTTTGTATGATTCAGTTCGTTCTTTCGTTTGTTTGTCTCTTTATTCTTTGTATCAACTTTTCGAGCTGGTGTCAAATTGTTTTTCGTAGATTTTGGCCTCCCTCTTCTAGGTTTTACTTCTGTTAATGTAGTATTTACATTTGTTTGAGAGTTTTTGATAGACTTTTCGTTAACAACTGGCTCTTTATTTTCATCAACTTTATTTACATTTCTCCTTTGAGATACCTTACTAATATCGGATCTCGTGCTATTGATTCCCTTGTTCTGAGAGCATCTCACAGTAAGAATTTCACCCTTTAAACCATTTCTCTTGTTTAAATTTAGTGTATTATTAGCAACAGGGTTATTTTGATGAGTTTTCCCTGAAAAAGAGGTAGACGCATGTTTTTAAATATTGTAACTCTTAATATAACTTTACAGTTATAACTTATAAATTATACTGATGATGATAATTTATTTTATATTAATTCTTACCATTTGTTAAGTTATTCCAATTGAACTGAGGCCTTTCTTCCATGTCACTTTCAAAATCAGTATCCCAAAATGATCTCACACAACTGGAGACAGTCCTTTTACTTTGATCTAAAAATTATAAATACGCCATAAAAATACACACATGTTTGATATCAATGAATGAAAAATACTTTTAACACAACTATACTCACTAGGTAGTGTTATATTTTGGTTGTAAATTTCCTTTGTATTTGTTAATGCTGGCTGCAATTTATCAAGAACGACCTGACATGATGAGACTTTAAAATTTTTGATTTCTTTCGGCTTTGGTGTGTCGTTACATTTTTTATTAATATTTTTGTTAGCTGTTTTTGTACTCTCTTTATCTTTTTTATTTTTGGCATCACTGATTTTCTTTGCATCGTTTTTAGATTTACCATCCATTTTAAATATTTCTTCATCGGTAAATGTTTCACTGATGTCACCGTTGTCACACATTGATATAACCGATGTTACATCCCATTTGTCGTCGTCTTCGGTTTTTTTGTTATATTTTTTATTTTTAGCATTGGTCATATTCATTTGGTCTGGAGGCACGATTTTCTGGATCAAATCCCAAACATTATTATCATCAATTATATCTCTGTTCAAACATGACTGTGATGTTACAAGTTTCCGAACTTTGTGTTTCTCTCCAGCATATAATTTTGATACTGGACTGTTTGATTCTTGACTCTCTATGCTTAAATCCTTTTTATCTAGTATATCTAGTTTCTGTGAAAATAATTTACGCTTCATAAAGCTGGGTTTTAAAGAAACATCGGTTGTGTTCTGTGATATTTCTGTTTTATTGTTATTGTTTACTGTTTCTGATGTATTTTGAGATATTTGTTGAGTTGAATTGTTGCCATCTTTGTTAGTTTTAACTTGCTTATTCTGGTTAAGGCTAAAGTCTAGGTCAAAATCATCAACCATAGGTTGAGCAGACTTAGATATTAATTTATCAGTAAAAATTATATCTTTGGCTTTGGCCGATCTTCTCACAGGCATTTCAGGTTTCTTAAAGGTAAAATCACTGTGTGTATTGATTAATGTTGAGCTAACTAACGATTCATTGTTATATTTTAAAGGAGAAGTTGTCAACTTTTTCCTCTTTGTGCTTATATTATTTGATTCTTCAATTTCAAGATTTCTTTTACGTTCCAATGATGTTGATTCTTGTACATTTTCTCTAACAGTTACTTCAGAGAAGATTTCCTCATTTCCACTTTCACACTCAATGTCATTAATTCTTGTTATTTTATTATCATTTACAGGATTAGGTATGTTTTCAATTGTTTTGGTTGCGGGTTTTGGTCTAGTTTTGGTGAATCTCTGTGAAGGCAATACAGATGCATTTCTTTTTGCAAATCTATCTTTGAGAGTGAACTGTTTCCCATTTTGTGGTCTAGAATCAAATGTGTTGGCGGGTTTAACATGTACTTGGTCGTTTACAGCTAAAATATTTCTTAATGTGTTCTGTTTTATATTATCAGTGCAGTCTTCATACATATTGCTGTCTTTAATAGTGGTTCTAATGCTTGATATATCTGTTCTTATAGGTCTTGGTCTTGATATAGGTAAATTTTCTTTATAGATTGCCGTCCTTGTAGACCTACAATCATCACTGCTTATTGAAGAATCACTTCCCTGCGCACCAGAGTCATCTCCCGATTCCCGTTTTGTATTCTTTAAGAAAAGCTTTAGATTTCGTCTCTTTTCTATTCTTTTACGGACTCGGTTTTTCAAAAACTTATTGTAAGCTTCTTTGATCAATCTTAAATCATACTTATTGAACTTAACATTTTTGAATGCCAATGCTATATCAGCTGCACTAACACTAGCATTTGAATCTGGAATAAGAACAAAAATGTACTCAATTGGTAAAATATTACTGTGCAAATACAAAAAAAATATAACATCCATATAAATTTTATATGTTTATAAAATGTTCATACATACCAATACTCCTTATGGACATCGGGGATCCACTTCTACCATTAAATACTGATCTCTGTGAACTCATGGCTCTAGGGTAATATGAACTGTTAAAATTCTGCATTCCTGAGTCAGGAAAGCTTCGAAGTGACATTGGAGAAGTTTCTCTTCGGTAGCACATTCTTCTTTGATCAAAACCTCCCCCATACTTTTGTCGTTCATAGTTTGGCATATTAAAAGTTGAGGTCAACATATTATGATTTCTTACACTAAAAGTAGTTATATGAGTGTTATTTACATTGGGTCTCTGAATATGCATACCCTGAAAAGTAAAAAAGATAAGTTTAATTTACAATTTAGTTGTCATGTGAAACATTTTTGTATATGCAATTTGTTTATAAACAATAACAATATTTAGTCCATCTATGGATAATTTAAGTATATAGTAATGAATTTGCTACTGTTAAGTAGTAACAAATCTAAAAGTTATTGTAAATAAATACAAATCTTCACTGAAATTATATTAAAATACTTAATGCTTACAGTTCTTTCATGTTGATATTTTAGTAAACTTTCTGGCATTAAATCGTCGTCACTATCAGACATTTTGAAAAACCAACTTTTATTCCGTAAATATATACTCGTATTTACAACACAAATATAATAAACGAGAAGCAATCACAATTATATTTTCGCTATAAGACAACGAGCGTCATTGCGGCGTCTAGCCAGTACTTACTAACGGCTTTATTTAAAAATTTTTGACGTTTGGAAAGGATCAACAGTATAAGCAAAATGGAATTATATTGTGAGAACTATACCAGATTGCGTAAAAAGTCAACTTAAAATAAAAATAATATTAAATCGTACTTTTAACTTTATGGAATTACTTGTATACATAAAAATAAATCAAATATTTTAAATATTTTTTTTTATTAAAATGGGTCGTGAGGCTCAGAATCCAATGAAAATTACTTTAAGAAATATGTTAACTGTCAATTGTCATTTTCACATGGAAATTGATATACATAAATTTTGTTATAGTAATCACACATGTGTTCAAATTTTTGTACAAAGTATATTATATATTTTCTTATGGTGAATAATGGCCTCAGCGACAAGATTATTTGTGAGCAATTTACCGGAAAACATTGATAACAATTCTCTAAAGGACATATTTTCTTCCTATGGAGAAGTAACCAACTTTGATTTGAAATCGAAGCCTGGGGTAGAAAATGATAAAAAAACATTCGCATTTGTAACAATTTCTGCTTCCAATTATAACGTGGAATCGTGTGAGTTAATAAAATAAAAAGTATAATATTTTAAGGGTACAGGATAATTTAATGGACAAATAATTCCTAAATTTATGATGTAAAACTCTTTCTATATATTTAATTTTATTTGTGGTTAACGTAATGATCCTTGAATTCTGGTTCGAAATTCTTGTGAAAAAATTTATAGCCATTATATCAATATTGAGCTTTTATTTACTATTAAAAAATGTTTTTTAAATTTTAAGGTATAAAATACTTCTCTAATAATGACTTTCAAGGACACAAATTGTATGTGACAAGAGCCCGTGAAAGCTTTTTAGAAAGACTTCAAAGAGAAAGGGAACAAGCTCAAAACAAAACCTCTGAGGTAAATTGTTAATTTATTCATTTTCCTATAGGCAAGTAACATGACTAAATCGTGTGTTTTTATTACAGAATGAACCAACAAAAGAAAACAATGAAAAAGTTTTTCTTAACAACAACCAAAACACACATAAAAGAAAATTTAATGACTTGAATGAAACCCCAGTAAATATAAAAACAAAAACTAAGAAAGCAGAAAAACAATTTTGAATTTAGAAACAAAAATTTTAATAAACAGCAAAGCTTCAATGGCGATGTAAATCATTCAAACCATTATAATTCTATGAAGAATAATTCATTTGAAAATGATGAGAAGAAAATGAGTTCAGATAAAAAAAGATTGGAGTCAATCAAGAAAAAACGTCAAGAGTTTAATGCAAAGAAAAACATAATTAAAACTGGCCTGATAAGTATTGTGAGTTAGATTTTATTATTAGAAAAATATTTAAACTTAGATGAAAAAAAATGATCAATTTAGTTATTTACTAAATTTTTTAACTGATTTCCAAAGTTTCATGTCTATTTGTCTATTGTTTGCAATATAAACATCTTTTTCAATAAGCTAAATGGTTCATATTATAGTAAATATTCACAAATCTGAATAGATGTAAAATAATCAAATTTTTTTGTTATTTTTTAAATAATGAACTATTTAAAAGTCAAGCTAGGTTTGATATCAAATTGACAATCCTTCTTTAATCAATATTTATTTTGTATAGGTTTCTAAGAAACAATGATAATTCATCAAAAAATATACTATATTCTGGTGATCCAAGCATTGATTGGAAATATTTTTATTACCAAGAAAGACTTCAACCATCTGAAAACTTGTTAGTTTCACTCTATTTAAATAGAAATCTGTCCGATGTTGTAATATGTAAAGATCTAACTTAAGCCTTATATGTAATAATATATATAATTAATTGTGATTTATAGGACAAGCAACAAAATAAGAAAGTTATATTTTCCGATAATGAAGATGATTTGTCAACTAAATACGACGCAGGTGTTAATGATGTTAAAACTTCAAAAGAGAAACCCAGTTTGTTTGACGATGCTGCCAGTGATGATGAAATAAACTTTGATATAAAGGAACAATTTGAAGGGAAAAAGGGTAAAAAGGTAAGTAAATCATGATGCAGTACATTTACTGTTTCATAACATGATATTTAACTATTAATATGAATTTTTACTATGCCAAAGCTAGTCTTTTGAATTTATTATATTATCTCATGCTTTTGGAACCTTACTTGGTGTTATCCGCGTATTTCCGGGATGTAAAGTAGCCTATGTGTTATTCCTGGACGTCAGCCTTCTGTATACAACATTTTATGAAAATCGGTTCAGCCGTTTGAGCGTGAAGATACATACATACATACACACACACTCATAAACGTTCGCAATTATAATATTAGTAGGATGTATGAAATGTATGTGCCCTAGTTAAATGTGAGTAATCTATTATTTATGCTCACGCAGGTTTTAGACTTACAGTCTACATACAAAGCCGACAAACGTTTCGTTTTGGATGAAAGATTTGTTGAGGATGAATCAGGTAGCGACGCTGAAGCCGCTCATCAAGACGAAAATGTAGAAATAGGTCAAGCCGATGAAAAATCAAAACAACTTGATATATTGCAAAATTTGTTAGGCGTGACTATTAAAACAAAACAGACAGAAGTAGTTAATAAAACAAAGTGAGTATTAATATTTTTTTAAGAATTTATTAACCCTTGATCAAAAGAGAGGGGTAATTGTACCTAGGTACTGTATAATTTGAATGTAGCATCGCAACTCTTAAACAAATCAACCGATTTCAATGCGTTTTTTTTAGTTTAAAAGCCAGTTTCGTTGAGCTGGTACTTGGCTATTTTTGGTTAATATTAGTTCAGCAGTGTATAAGTATCGTCTCTTTTTTCAAAGATATGGAAGGCACTTAGTGTATGGTTGCTTGTTCACGTGCGTTACGCGTGCCAGTATAATCTTTAAATGACAATAAGAGAGACATAAATATTTATAACTACTTTTTGCCCGCGACTTCGTCCGCGTTAGATTGGTCAAGAGTAATATATGTAGGTATAGCTGACCAGTCGAACTCTATTCCGTCTTACAGGCCATAAATAATCAGGTTTTTCCTGTTTCAATCAAACAGAATTGACATATTTGTTAGTTGTCAAATCTAATGTCAAAAAAACTTTTGTATGGGAAATAGAAAAGGGCTGTTTTTATGGTTTTCCCAGTAATGAATCAATTTTTCTCACCTTTTAAACCTTCCCTGGACTTCCAGGAGTATTTCAAGACTGAAATTAGCCAAATCCGTTCAGCCGTTCTCGAGTTTTAGCGAGACTAAGGAACAGCAATCCATTTTTATATATATAGAAGATAAATTTGATATTTTTATGTCCAATTTATATTAAAATTATTTTTTATTTAAGGCAAAAACTTGGTATGCTGAGATTTGATCCATCTCAGCCAGAACATGCAAAATATTTAGCGCCCGTTACGGAAAAACCCGAACAAACGAAAAAAAGTAAAAAAAAGAAAAAAGACATTGAGGTTGTGGAAGAACAACCAAAAGAAACAGAAAATGTTGTTGAAAAGGTGGAAGTGTCTAAGGAACAATTCTATAAGATAACCGATGATTTGAAAGAAGCTATAACACAACCACAAGAATTTAGCTTAAGGAGTCTGTTTGCCAAAGACGATGTTCAGAATGAAGGTAAATAAAATATGAAGTAGCAATTTCTTTTAAAAATTGCTTTATATGTAGTAAAGGTACTCAAACTAAAAAATTGATATTAGACTGTTGTTATTCTGACATTCTATTGACTTATTTATTTCCTTTAGAGTTAATACTAATAATGCCAACTAAAACCATACATGAAAACTTTTATAGAATGATAAAACTATGATTATGATTTTATCATAAGGTACTTACAAAATTCACAATATGATGTATCTAAATCAATACTTTTAGAAAATAGTTCTTAGGCCATAGTTTTAATTCATGAGGGATCCAAGCCAGACAGTTGTGATTTAAATGTTATACATTGAAATTGCCTGCCACAATATATATTCAAGTTTAACCACAACCTTTCATTATACCAGTACACAAAAGTATTAACTAGTGAATCTATGTGATAAATGGTTAATGTATTTTATTATAAAATTGATATTTCTTATAGAAAACGAAGATGAAGACAAGTATATTCCACTTCAAACTAAAAAGAAAGACAAAGTCAAAAATCCATTAGAACCTGACGAAAAAAATCCATTTGTGTATGATTCATCTGACTCGGAAAATGAGGAAGAAGTTTTAAAAACTACTGAAGAAAATGATGAATCCAAAAAGCAAGAAACAAAAACGGTTTGGAGGGAAAACTTATTCTTCACAAACTCTGATTATAGATTAAAAGGTAAAAAGTATCTTTATTACCATAATTATATTTTTGTTAGACTGACATTTTCTTGCAAGTTAATTAAAGTATATTTCATACAAGTTACTTCCAAAAGATAATTTCTGCTTAAATATTAAATGTAATCTTATATGCGAAATTTGTTATATGAGTTATGATTAGGTGTGATTATTATTTGTTACTATTTCTAGATGGACTACTGTTCTTTACTAAGCCACAAGAAACAGAGGTGCAAAAAGACAGAAGAGAGTTGAAATCTTTAATGAAGAAGAGAATTTACAATAGAGACCGCAAAAATACTATGTTCCAAAAGAAAATTGGTGGACGCAAGAAGACTATGAAGAAAAAATTCAGAAAATAATAAATATAAAAACAATTTCACATTTGTAACTGATTTTTATTCTAATGCTAACAGTGAACCCTTATTTTTAAACTATCTCTTTTTCCAAGTGGGCTTCTTCCTTGCTCCCGGCTGTCCTGGCTTCTTACGTTCACGACGTCTATGGTCTCTTGTTAGTAGACCGGCTACTTGCATAGCTTCAAGCATATTCTTATCAACAAAGCTACGTAATCCCCAAGCTATACCCCATCTTATAGCTCCCGACTGTCCTGAAGGTCCGCCTCCTTCAATATTACATTCAACATCAACCTTTCCTAACATCTCACTAAATATCAAGGGAAAAAGGACTTGTTCTCTTGACTGTACATCTTGGAAGTAGGTCAAATCTTTACCATTTATTGTTATCTTGCCTGTACCAGGTGATCTAATTGTTACATCGCCTCTGGCTTTTTTACGTAAACATTCATATGTTGTTATAAAAGCGCGTCCATCTTGATCATAACTCGGTTTTGGAATCTCTAATGCAAACCTTTGAGAAGCAAGTGGTTTTCTGTACTTTTCAATGAACTCTTTGCATCTATAAGAGTATGGTAATGAAACTATTCTTTCCATAACTAATTTAAAGTTATCATATTCTAAGTCGGTTATTTTCTCTACCAAAGACTGTTCCAATTCTTCTCTTGTAATCCAAACACTTGCTAATAATTCGAGTTCAGCATTTGGATCAGGGATTTCTTTCTTTCTTATCACCTTGTCTTCGAACTTATACAGAGTCTGTATGGTTTCAGCTGCATCATGTAATAATTTGAAAAAATTTGGTTTCCCTGTGTAAAATAGAAAATGATGCGGACGTCCGGCTTCATCGAACTCTGCGGCCTTACGATTCGGGAATACTTCTTCTGGTGGCTTCATTAATGGTCTCGCAGCTGGATCGTAAATACCACTAGGAAATAAATATTCAATGGCGCGATCCACATCTTTCTGAGTGAATGTTTCTGGATCCTCGCCCATCATATTGGCGAGGTGTCGTTTACCGATGTTATACTCGAATTGTTGTTTTTTTTTTAAATTCGTCATGCTCTCGAGCTCTTTCCAAGTAAGCCTTCATGGCTTTACTTATCGTTTTCTTCTTACTCAACGTCTCGAAATCAGTAAATTTTTTATAAATATCTTCATTTGAAGTTGTTACCTTTGAGCTATATAAAGTAACCTGTTGTGTTATATGATTATTTATAACAAAGCTTGCACGTTTGGTTACAGGAAAAGCCTGCTTTGTAGTAAGCCTCACAACTAGTGACATGTTATAATTTAAGAGCATCATGATAAGTAATTACATTTGTATGATGTTGGTGTTAATAAAGAATTAAACGATAAGTTTTATAGTTCTTCACTCTAACCTCTAATTCTGAACATTCTGAATATCTGTCACTGTCAGTTGTCAAAACTCAAAACAAAAAAGGTCAGGAATATAGTGTTTTAAGAAAGTATAAAAACTCCTTTCTAATTTTTCAATTTCAAAATGTTATTATACTTGGCTTTAAAAATAGACGTTGAAATAAGCCAAAAAATAAATACAAGTAAACTTTAATAATATTTATTTTTGTCTTCCATCCTCAATTAATAAAATGAATATTCCTCTCAATACTGTTTTCATCGATTTGATGCACTCTGAGTATAACTTTATTGAGATTGCCTACGGTCGTCTATTTCTGAATTTTCAAACCTCAGCTCTAGATAACAGTTTAAAATTAAAGTGCGGTTTTTTGTGATTAAAATAAATAGTGTACAGATTATAATATCTTTCTTTCACCTGAAGATTTGTATTTTTGTATTGAATAATAAGTATTCTTTATTGTACACCAAAGAATAAATAAATTATATAATACAAAACTTGATCAAAATGTACAATTTGCGGCCTCATCGCTAAGCAGCGATCTCTGCCAGGCAACCATTTTACGTAGGACACAGTAAACAGAATAAAACATTTGAGGTGTACATATGTATATGAGAGAAAAATATACTTATACGAAATTATACACATATATATAGTAAAACATATATGTACTACATTCAATATACAATAATCTATATGTATAATTTATATATATATAATAAAATAATAAATTTTAAATATAAGCCAGATACATCGCAGAGTAGGAGTTTAGAATAAATAGAAAAATAAAAATTATAAATATTAAGGAAACAGGTAGACAAAATTTAAGGGGGGAAGAAGTTTGCTTTTAACAGCCGTTTGAATATTGCTAGGGATTGTGCACGCCTTATGGTAAGTGGTAAGGAATTCCAGAGCCGTACAGCTTCCACAGAAAAGGATACCATACCATACCGTAATATGCAAATAAGATTAATTTATATTTTGATATTTTGTCATCATCATAACCATTTTGTACTTTAAAATAAGAACGTTTTCAATATACTCAATCGTTTAGTATTTCGGAACATATTCTTTTTGTCGATGTATGAAAAAACTCCATCAAATATTTGCAATAAGTTTAAATAGTTTTTTTTCACTAGTCCTAAGTAATAGCTGAAATCGTTTGATAATACATATTTTAAAATGTAAGTTTTATACATCCAGGAAATACAATATTTCTAAATAACTAATTGCAAGGAAATGACCTTTTTAAAACATTTCATCTTTTTAAATTTTGCGAACGGTCTTGTTTTTTTTTTAAATCATAAATACGTTACGGTATGTAATTGTCTTATAATTACATATTTTTTAAGACGATATTATAACAAAATGAATTTATATCTTCCAATTCTTTCTAGCGCTATTTCTCTTTTTGGATAATACTATAGTTTTTTTGTATAAAAGCTAGTATTAATAAAAGAATATACGAGAGCGGACATTAAATAATAATTACAGTTACTATTTATTGTTTACTTAAAAAGACAAGAATTACAACATTTAAGTATCTGAATACACATAAAAAGTTAACGAATTTAAACACATACAAAGAAAATATTTTATTGTGAGAGCATAAAACACAATAACAAACACATTTGTGCCAACCATAGAATTTATAACATTATATATATGTAAATTGCCACTAAATATATATATCAAAATCTGCTACAATTATAAGGGGGAAATGAATTCTTAAAATATATGCAATACTGCGTCATTTACTGACATTTCTATAAACTATGAGTCGCAGGATTAAAAGAGAATATAATTAAATATCCTACAAGACGATTCCCAAGAGAATTGACTTTGAACGTTTATATTGCGTTTAAAGAGATCAAAAGTGAAAAAAGTTATCTGTACAAATGAGCAATTTATGTTTTGCAAAGTGTTTTTTTTATATTACAAAATGAAATCATCGTAGCTTGATTTAGCTCGAAGTGTATTTACAAAATTTATCTCGTCTCGTTGGCATTATTGTAGTCGACTTTATAAATCGAACAGTATTTTATCTAAAACATATTTGTTGTTTTCTTTGAAATATCTGTAACACAATAATATTTATGATTTAAATGAAAAAAATCTAAGTTATACATAAAATTTTAATAAGACGTGATATAAGAGTATCTGAGTACAAAGTTGTAGGATTTTATTTAAGCTAAGATAGATTACTTTTCTTATAATTTCTATTTATGAACATATATTTCTAACTAATTCAGTTTAGTTTGATAAAATAGGTGATTAATTTGATAAATAACAAAAGTCTACTTAATTTTTTCTATAAAAATTTACATTTCTTCCAAAATTCTAATGAATGAGATTATATGATATTACTATCACAAAACAAACACATCACATTCATAGAAAATTCAGTAAACCAAAACATAATAAGTAATAGGAAATTATTAACAAATAAGAATTATTTTTAACATCACTAGTCGTAAGAAGAATAAAAAAAATAAACAGATTATAAAAAAAAAACAGATAAAAAATAACTGTAACTATCGAATGGAATGTCAATATTAAAAAATATATAATTATAAGAATCACAAATTATTGCCGACAACACACAAAGACACACATCCTTCTATACTTAGAGTTTACTAAATGTATATTGTAAATGCTATACACATATTAGACTAGGGCCAGCGCGAGGTCAATGACCCCGTGCCATTTACACTCGGAAGCCATGGTTCATACTTGATATGGGTTACGTAGGCTCATCTGATGACATTAGAGCTTCTGATTGTTCGTCCAAATCTGATATATTACGTATAGCCCTGAAACAATAAAAAAATATATAATTTTTTCTTTCGTTCGTTAGTCTAAGGAGAGATGTTTATTTTTAGTGATGTTATAGTATCAATAACTAGGTTTCCGCCCGCAGCTTCGCTCGCGTGGAGTTCGGTTATATCACGCTTCCAAGAGAACTTTTCGAAAGTCTGGGATAAAAACTATCCTATGTTCTTTTCAAGGTCAACTCATCCCTGTACCAAATTTCATTAAAATCAGTTTAGTGGTTTAGGCGTGAAAGCGTAACAGACAGACAGACAGAGTTACTTTCGCATTTATAATATTAGTAGGGATTAAGTATTTCTTTTTTACCGTCGAATGAATGCTTTAAGATTTGCAATTGAGAAATATAAATATTGTATATGTACAGATAATACAAATAAATATGTGGTTTCATTTAATAACTTATTTTGCAAGTGACTTGCATATATATTTTATAAATGTCTTTTATTTTTTTGAAAACCTTAAAAAAAGTAGTTTCATTTAATCTTTTTTTAAGTTAGAAGTATGACAAATGATTGAGTGAAACTACAAGCACCGTTGTTCAAATAAGATTAAAATCATATTTAAAATTCTACAGTTTTGTATTAACAATTAACTATTAGAATAGATAATACTTGAAATTTTAAATATACAGATAGTATTATTATATTATGTATTTTGAAGTCTGTCCTAACCTGATTCTCTGGAGTTTATGGTGAATAATGAGATCTAAGACTTTCATTCAAATAAAACTAATATTTTTCATATAAGATCTTTCATGATAGCGGTTGCTGCAAAACAACCTTAACATCGGGAGTATGTAATTAAAATCTTTATATATATAAAAATTTCGTGTCACGTGTTTGTCCGCGATGGACTCCTAAACTACTAAACCGATTTTAAATTTGGTTTGCATTCCGTATGCATTTTGATCCAACTTGAAAGATAGAATAGCTTACATCTCAATTTATACTCACAATATTATTTTATTGCAAATTATTTGACTATTAAAGAAAATTATTTGTCATTATTACAATTATCTGTTGACTGAGTTCAGTATTCAATAGATGGCGGTATGTTAAAAATACAAACGTCATATAAGAGCGACTATTTAATTATAGCATAACCACCACGTGTTTCTGAGGCTTAGGTATAACCTAAATTTATTTATTAAAAAAAAGTAACAGATATTTCTTGACTATAGGGCGATACGAAGTTCTCCGGGTCTTCTAGTAATATATATAAAAAATATACTAACGTGAATCCGTCCGTCCGTATTCTAGCCGTGATCCATCCTAGTGGTGTATGTCCAGGTATAGTTGCCAGAACCCACGACCCAGCAGCTAGCACTGCCGCCACTCCACGCCACACACTGCCATTACCTCGCCACGCCTCCACACACACGCACAATGGAAATATACACGCCAAGGATGCTGTGGCTGTCTGAGATGACGTCAACCATCTACCCCTGAACATATAATATATATATTAAACATATATCAAGAAACCATTATGATAATAACAAAATTTTATGTTTGTTTACATTGTTTATCTCTTTACGTTAGATTACTTGTGTTAGAGGAAATATTGTTTTATATTTTATAGTTTAATTATGCCTCCTAATGTTTAACATATCTCTTTCTATCTATAGTATGTATTTAACTTTATGAGAACATAACTTTTACACCATATAATATACATTTACATTATATACTAAATTTTAAATGAAGTATCTTGTAAATAAAACTAGTCCTTCAGTGTAGTATATGATAAGAAGAAATATTTATCTGACCTCCATAAAGTACGTCACACATTATCACACGTAGTGCGACATCGTGTGACAAGGGGCATGGGGATCTAAATTTTGTGACGTCACTTATTAAAATTTAAAATACTACAACGCAAAGTTTGTATATTTAATAAAAATAAGTAAAAAAAATATAAAAAAATCCGTCTTCTCTCGATCATTTATAAACACATACATATATTTAAAAAATGTGTGACGTCATATCAGGACGTCATAAAAATGTGACAACCTTTGACAAGCACGGGGGGAGGGTTCAAAAATCCTTAAAAAGTGTGACGTACATTACATGTGGCCTTAGGATAAACCTTAATATAACTCACCACAACCAAAGTGATTCAATGAGTAGCGGTCCAAGTGCAGCGTCTAGTAACAGCCAGCTCCATAGTCGTGGTGATGGAAGATCAGCTCGCTCAACACCACCAGCAGCTAACAGACCGCCAGCGATCCAGGCCAGACAACCACATGCACAACCAACAACACCTGAAACATATAATACTATAAAATATCATGGAACGTAATAAGATTTAAGGCCATTTATACTTAACTAGCTGCACCCCGCGGTGTTACCCGCGGATTTACGGGATGTAAAGTAGCCTATGTGTTATTCCTGGACGTTAGCTTCAGGTATACAAAATTTTATCAAAATCAGTTCAGCCGTTTGAGCGTGAAGAAGTAACAAACATACACACACACTCAGAAACTTTCGCAATTTCCTAACAGGATTTCCTAGACACTTGTTCTTATTATAAAAAAGATTTAAATCAACATTAAGATAAGACTTTCATTAAGTATTAAATTACATATATATGAAAACTAGTATAAACGAAAATTATGATAATATTTTATTAACAATGTGAATTACATGTGTTAATATGAACTCACCAACTAATAGGAATGAGTTAATGCCGTCACCCTTCCTTAATTCTTGTCGAAACAGCAAGAGATGTAAAGAATAACAGAATGCAGATCCAATAGCTGTTAAAACAGCTATCCAATTATTGTGATGACTCTCTGATATGCCTAATACCACCTGTGAAATTATAAAATGTTAATACATATATGTATAATAATATAACTATCTCTTTCCAACACTTACCAGACACGCTGCTGTGAGCAGGACAGATATACACTTGGATGTCGAAAATCTATCAGTGGGCACTTGTGAGAACATTGCTCCGAATGATAGCGCAAACGCTCCGGTTGTTGAAGTGTAGAGGGTAGTTGAACATGATGTTGTATGCAACAGGCTTAGCCGGTACAGGTAGTTGGAAATGAACCACTGCAAAAAAAATACATATAAAATAAGCATCTCTAGATTATTTTAACCCAATAAAATAATTCAATTGATAATAGTATCACTACAGTTAATATTTATCTTAAGTAAATAATACTTTAACATTAAGTAGGTTATGCAAGTAAAGCGATTATAGAAATATAATTGATTATTAAAATATTTAATAACTAGCTTTCCGCCCACAGCTTCGCCCGCTTGGAGTTCGGTTATATCGCGTTTCCAAGAGAACCTTTCAAAAGTCTGGGATAAAAACTGTCCTATGTTCTTTGTCAAGGTTGACCTTGACAGAGAACATAGGACTGTTTTTGACCGAGTGTTGACACTATCTCTGTACCAAATTTCATTAAAATCAGTTCAGTGGTGTAGGCGTGAAAGCGTAACAGACAGACAGACAGAGTTACTTTCGCATTTATATTATTAGTAGGGATATGTAGGCGTCTTAAAGAAAAGGGTAAATAGGTTGTTACTGAGATAGTGTGTTCTCCATCTACCATTTTATTTCGACCTTTCCTTTTAATGATAGTGTTATTGAGAGGAAATAAAAAAAACTATAAAATATTGAATTCACATCAATATATTTTGTGTTATTCCAAGTTTCACAGACTCTAAAATAATATTATTTCCCTTATTTCGGCAGCACGTTTTAAGGAAATGACAAGTAATAAAAATTTCTAATTCAATTAAATAGTAACAAGTATAGCAAAGTCTAGACACTTTGGGTTGAAATAAATTTCTCAAAAAAACATAACCATGTATCCAAATCAATAGAATAAATAAATGTGTACTAACTACTTGAAAAACCAAATTTTTGCGATTCGGTTGAATATCAATAAGATATATAATAATTTTGTAACATAACAAAATTATTATTTCTCAAAACACATTACGAGTGTTACAATCTTAGTAAAATATACGATATAAAGTCACATATGTCTAGTACTTTCTGGTGGGTACTTAGTAATTCTTCATCGCACACGCCCTCTACCTCCTGACCTACTTACCTACCTGGCCAGTATTCAGTATATGATTAGTCATTAGCCTATAAACTAATTTACTTATGAGTAACTAGCTCTTGCTTGCGACTTCATTTGCGTGAAATGAGAGTTGTTCTCTGATAGCTATATACATATATAGATTTTAATGGGACTTAGACCTGTAGTACATTGTTTTAATGTCAATAATTTTCGATTTTACACTTTGGGTTACAAAATAGCAATTTTCTTATGGATCTATATTTTTTGTAACGAAAGTATCACTTATAGCTTTCCTCAATAAATGGACTATCCAACACTGAAAGAGTTTTTCAAATCAGACCAGTAGTTCTTGAGATTAGCGCGTTCAAACAAACAACTTGCAGCTTTATTATATTAGTATTGTTATTATTACTCACCGGTACACAGAATACTAAAGCCAGTCTCAGATGTCTCCTTGTAGCGGCCGCTGCTGCCCTACGTTGTGCGTACTCTGTGGCGCGGAGTGAAGCTGACCATGACAGGCGAGCGAGCAGAGCTTCTCCCGCCATCGCCGCTGACATAACACGTACCTGTCAATAGACAATAATATTTGTTATTAAAAAATTCCTATTGCATAGAAATAAGATCAATTTGGTTGGATAACGTCAGATACGTATATATTTGGACGCTAACAAAAATTTACCAAAATATTTAATTGCATGATAAGGTCCCACTTAATGTTTGAAATCTAAAAATCCTTATTGTTTCATGATCATTTCATCCAAAAATCCTTACTGTTCCATACTTTGTTCCATTCTATTACAGAATAAAATAATTAAGAAAGTACAAAATAACAATTGGCATTTCAAACACTTCCAACAAAATTAGCAGAAAAGAGTTCAATAAAAATAATAAGTAGAAGTTATTTTAATTCGGATATTCTTACTTTCTTATTATAACTAAGTAACTCCAAAAAAATACTTTATACTAAAAAACTAAATAAAAATATTTGATTCCTGTACTGGAGATTTATTATAAAAAGGTTACCTACATATTTTAGCAAAAGATCTCTCACAACACTTTTAACAAAAATGTTAAATATAAAATGTTTATGTGTATGAAGTATACTGCTGTCATCGCTATCTTTTAAAATTTTGCCATCTTGTCAAATTATTACTATTAAAATTGCCTATTAATACTTATGCATAATTGAAATTTCACCTTGTACAACTTATCATATAAAAAAATAAAAGCAAATTAAAACAAAACATTCTTATCATTCCAACACAAACAATCTTTATATCCAAAATTTATATAAATAAATAAATATAAATTTAATCTCAACAATTGTAATGCAAATAATAGGTTACAATGCATTATCAATGTCAGCTATAAAATTTCTGATATTTTTAATTGATTACGCAATTTTAAAGTTATAGATATGCAAATTGGTCTTATTTCAATAAAAACTTTGTGTTGTTGCATTACAACAGATATATTATATAGCAATTGTATAATCTTGTTTTATTAATAATTATATCCATACTTATAAGACTAGGATTTTATAATCACTTAAAATAATAAGAATAAAAATCTTCAACTGTATGGGAGAGGTAATATATATAACTCAAGTTATTCAAAATTTTACCTCAGCGACTTTATTGAATCTAACAGCCCTGGGAGATTGGTCATCACTGTCAGTTGTTTCGCCGGCTCTTACAGGAACAAATGTAGAGTCACCCTGGAAAATAATTCCACTTAATATAAACTTTTGTAAAAACTTCCATGACAAAATTAATTAACTGATAATGAAGAAAAAGAAAAATATTGGTATAACATAGTAATGTTTTGTGAAAAATCATATACAAATTAAACAACATATTGTAGAAAGCAGTGATTCATCAACATGTTTGTTTGAGTATTTAATTAAAGTAGATTTATAGATATGAGGAAAGACAAAATCACATCACTACTTAAACTATTACTATGGCCTAAAATGTTAGAAACATAAATGTATTAACAGATATTGGTTGAGTTTCTTTTAATATTTTTATTTTATGTATAAAACATTTTATGTATATAACTTACCAGGCTGCTACTGCCTTCTGTGTAAAAGCTTTCATCACCCGTCTCTTCTGTTTGTTCTAAAAGTTGCTGAAAAAATAAACAACATAAACATTTTAATTTTAATTAGCTAAACAAAATTCTAATAGCTCTTAAATAATACATTTATAGGAACATTTATCTATAATATGTTATCTAAAATATTAATTTCTGTGGAAAAAATGTTTGCTAATGTTCTAATAAGAATTGATTAAATTCAACTTTAACATTTGTTTTGAATTATATCATTCTAATACATTCAAAATGATATTAATGAAAATTAATTTTTATTATATTATATATGAATTTCTTTTACCGTGTAATCAGCAGGCTGGCATGGATCTTTTGTTGGAGGAGTAAAACATAACACCAATAGATAGACAAATAATAATGAACTCCTAACATAAGTCACTAGAAATGGCCTTTCTAACTTCTTCTCAATATATATGTACTGAAAAACGAAACAAACTATGAATACTTTAAGGCAGGAAGTATTTCACAACAACAAAATAGAAATACCTTAGTCAACTCTGAAGATACCACCCATAATACACACACAAGGAATAAAATAAATACTCCAAACGCAAATTTTCGTTTACTAAAGTCTTGCCCACCATCATTACTGTTTTTGTTATTTGGAGAAACACGAAAATAATTATGGCACAGAGTCAACATGAAGACGAACTATTCGTTTGTGGATATCGACTAAACAAAATGAGTTACGGTTGGTATTTGTCCATTTAGAACGGACTATTTACAGTTTCTCTTAATGGTATACAAAATTTTCTAATATTCATCTATCTTTTTACACTAATAATACAGGAAAATACTGTAGTTGGTTTTTAAAAGGTCAGATCTTTATATCTTTTTGACTTACGAGAGCATAGTCGAATATCAACTTATTTGGACCATATTTAAAATAATATAACTGAGTTTATTGTATCAATTATTTGTTTTTAAAACATAAAAATTGGAGAACAAATTTTTACAGCGATTGGTTTTGCTAATGTCAAAACTGAAATGTCAACTGTCATATGAAATATTAATGATATTATACCCAATACCTATTTGACTTAGCTGCACAACTAATTTATCTTCAAAAATTCGTTTGCTATAATTTTATTTTCTGTGCCACGAAAGGGCCGTTTCTATTGCATAGTTTAAGCATATTTTATAGAAATGAATATTGCATTTTAGTAAGGTTTCTCTTTAATATTGAATTAATAATGATATTTGTATATACGAATTTTGGAATATTATTTAGCCGACTTAGAATGTCACCACCCCAATTCCTCCCGTGGGTGTCGTAAAAGGCGACTAAGGACAAAAACCGGATGACGGGCAGCAGAGTCATCCGAGTACAGTTCAGATCCGACTGTGACCGCCAACCCGCCTGCCAAGTGTGGCGATTATGGCAAAAACCCCCCCAATATAAGATAAAATTAAATTTAAATTTATTTTGTAAGATAAGTTTCCAAAACATACAAAAAAATCCGTTTGTTTTGTATACATAACTGATATCTATGCGATTTTTTATTTGTAATTCAGTTTTAGTTCTTTAATCCTAATTCCTGTCAAATACTATAAGAAGCCCCAGCAGATCTTTTCAAAATAAGCTTTGATAATTATAGACTAACATAAGTCGATTAAAAATCATTAATTGCACTAGAATAATGGAATATTTTACTAATTATAATAATTATGAGTATTGTGTGGCGAAAAAAGAGTTTGTCGTATGGAATATAAGTATTTAAAAAAGTTTCTAAAAGTTAACATTTTTACGTACCTACATGAGTGTGTATTTATTTCTTAGTTATAAAAAATTAAAGTTATAACAGCTACATATGCATTCCATTTTCTGACTACCTATATTTCATTTGTCATTATGAAAATTGTCAAGTGTCAAATTTTGATTGGAGTTTTGGACACACTTCGACGTTTGCAAGTAATTTCAGAAGTCTAAATTAAATGTAATATATAAGCTAATGAGCTAAGTTAAGCTGATAATTAACTATAATTTAATTTATTTATTTACATAAAATAATGGATGTTATCAAATATGTTGGTAAATATCTTAATACACCTGTGGGGCAGGTGTGTTATAGCACAGATAAAGTATGTACAGATGTTTCCTAAAATTGTAGTCACATTTATTGAAATTGTTGTATTTCAAGCCGGCATTTTCTAGGTTTTGACGACTTCGTTAGACAAAGAAAATATTGAAGGTTTTGCTACTATAATTTTACGGCTAGCTTCAAAAAGTGGTATTCCCATGGGACAGGAGGAAATTTTGTTAAGTTATCAGTGGCTGGAACACTTGGCAATGTACGCAAACCAGGCCTCCTCTAATCCCAGCTTTGCAAAGCTATTTTTACAGGTATACAACACTATAAAAAGCATGACTGCAATTTTACTGAACATTGCATAGATTTTTATCCATAATATCGGGAGAGTAAGTGTTTTCCCTATTAATTTTTGTTATTATTATTTGTAGGGGATAAATAAAGCTCTAGCAAGGAATACATATTTGACTGGGCATCATTTAAATGTCACAGATGTAGCTGCATACCACATTTTATATCCATTAATTGTGAGTATTTCTGCCCATATCTTCTATCTCTTTCTTGATTAAATTTGCATATTAAAAATTAACTATTGTATAATAATTTTTAACAGGAACGCTTATCAATTTCCGAGCAAGAATCTCTTCTCCATGTATGCAGGTGGTCAAAACATATTCAAGCTCAACCAAAAGTATCTGGAAGCCGGCCGCCATTACCATTAAACACAATTATATTATCATCACTTGCACCAGCAGTGCATTAAATTATAATTCTCTTTATTACAATAATGACATTTAATTGTTTTTTTTTTAATTGCAATGAAATGAGGACTAATAAAATATCTCATTAATATTTTAAATGTTTAATTTCAAACATGGTCATGCTATTGAGAATTATGGGGCTACATTTTGTGTATTTGTTATCAAGTCTAACTTGTTTTGTGAGTATTGAAACAAATACATATGTAATATATATTTTGTTTTTTAAATAATTCATAGTAAACCCACAAATATTAAAATACAAGAAGGAAAGTAGAGCCTGAATGCTTAACATTTATTATTTTTTAAGACTTCTAATATTTAGACTTAGGACATAAAGAAAATAAATAATGATGTATAGTATAGAGAAAACAAATAATTATTGACTTACTGATAATAATTAATCTATGAACAAAAGAACTTGAGAATTATTAAATCTTATTGATCAGTGTAGAATGTGTTAAGTAGTTGTCAAACCTTTTTATTACTGATGTGATTTAAAACTAAATTATTCAAAGTGACATGATAAACACTTTTATGTTAAATATTAATTATTACTTTTACAATATAATCAGACACAACAGTTCAGAAATTTAAAGCCATGGCTTTTTAAATTACTTATTACATCATAAAATAAACAAAAACTATATTAATTAATTTATAAATCTTATTAATTCCCTTAAAAATTTCAGTATGCGAAAACAGTGCCACTATGGGAAAAAGAGCCTCTCCCAGATCAGATATATCCACATGAGTTGAAAAATGTCAGTCTGGATGAACCTGTTCTTTACTTCCCACAGCCATTTTCATTCCCTGGCTATCCAGTTATATTATATTTATGATTTTATCAATAATTTTACTAATATAATGTAAAATAATATAAACACTTAATTTTAGATTTGCACATGAATGTACATATGTACCTATATGTATATTTTTTTATTTTTGAAATTATAATTATTCCGTCATATAATTCTAAATTATTCTACGATGCTTATTTCAAATAAATTTATTTTGATTTCCTTACGAGAGGCGTTATTATATTTAAGTAGAATAAGTCTGCGTGCTATTTCTCTTCCTGTCGGAGAAGTGCAGCATTAAGCAACGCTCGAGTCTATTTGAATACGCGCATCCATTGTCTTCAGATTCTGTATCAAAGAAATATGTTTTAGTAAGCAATGTTAATGTTATTGGTAAAGTATAAAATATAATTTCATTACATTAGATACAGTGACTTAATATTATAGTGACTAAATGAATAGTAAAAAAAATAATTAAAATATATTGTAACATTATGTTCACATAAGTTTATAATAAACAGTAAAAAACAGTAATGTTAGAGTTTTGCATAAAAAATTGTGTCAATATTCTATAAAAAAATATTGCAAGACTTATATTTCCAACATCGCATTATATTTAAGAACACCACAATTTAAACAATTGTATCAAAATTACAAATTCTAATTGGTCACTTTATTATTCATTATTTTTTCTTTATTAATTAAACCCCAAGTTCAAATTATCACAATATATACGGAGTGTTAACAGTTTTTCATTATTAAGTATTCGCACATTATGGTATTTAAGTTTATTTTTGAATGAGAAACGGGAAACGTTTCATAAGTCACTACTTACAAAAAGGTAATGAAAATTTCTACAAAGTATAGAGATCTTATGTAGGAAGGCACTTAACGTCCATACTATTATGTGTATGTAAATAAATACGTAGGTGTTTAAATTGTAGGTATATTCCGGTTTTGCTGTTAAACGAAGATGTTAAGTAAATACTTATTTCTTATTACTCATCACAATATAATATATTGTGCAATAAGTGTATAGTGATAAGATAAATTTATTTAGGCTTAAAGAAGGATGACATGCTAAATATTTATGTGTTTAATTTATTTCGATTACCAGATTGAAGTTCTTGAAAGCAGGACCGGATTTGTTCCCTCATAAGTGTTTGAGATTGTTCAGAAGTTACAGATGATTGTATTTTGTTCCACAACATTGCTTCGCGGGGAATACCTTTGGAATCGACCTACGGAAATTTTATAATTTGCATTAGTATAAAAAACAGTAGTTTTTTACTTGATGTTATACGTTGCTTCTTACCACTTGTAAATTGGCAAATACACATTGGCTGAGGCACTAAAAAAATTACAGATTTGTTAAGTAATACAAAGGTACCTATATTCAATATAGGTGTTTGAAATGTCTGATATGATGCAATAAACGTCTCGGTTACCTTATCTATATCGTCCTTGGATAATAATGGCTCGTTTCTTTTTGATCTTTTGTGTCGTTTTAAATTATATTTTCCATCATCATCGATGGTTTGACGGTTGACAGAATTTATTAAATCTTCTTCAATACCTCCATACGGGTACCTGGAAAAATCTATACCAGAATCGTTAAAAATTTTCTTATCATTTTCAGAAGATGTGTTACGGCGTTCATGATTGTACTGATTATTTTCTTGTTTCGAATTAGCGTCAATTCGCAGGGCGTAATATTTGAAGTCGTGATGTCGACGCTGTCGTTTTTCCTTATTAATTGTTATGTTCAATTTATCGTTCAACTGGGAACAAGCCTGTAAGGCATTTGATATTTCCTCTTCCATTAAATGAAAGTTGCCTTCGCCTAAACATAATTGGTAAAAGTACAATAGCAAAATTGATGCTATTTTCAACATAGCTTATGTCGCAATGATGTATGACAAATTTCATTGGACTATAAATTGGGACCGCACAGGAAGTTTGGTTATTATGCATGACAGGTAAACTAGAAGGTATTCATAGTAAATTGTGGGATCCGTTTTATAGTCAGAGAGCTAATAAGGAAAAGAGAGTAGAAATAGTTGAAGCTAATTTCGTGTAAAAATATTGTTAAAAGAAAAATAAAACAGAAGCCATTAAGTTTTTTTTATCAAGATCATGTTTAAATTAAGAAATATATATTTTATGCCAACATGTAGGTATAATATGTCCTGTCGGGGAAGCTGGTTGGAGTGCGAAAGCGATCCCCCGCCCCGACACAAGGGCCGTCGTGGAACACCCTTGGGTTTTTAGTGGGTAGTGGCAACGAGTCCCACATACCCCGCTGTTTTCTAAAAACGGCGGGGATGCGTAAATGCATTTCCCCAAGGATAAAAAAAAGGTATAATATGTAGGTAGTTCCAGTACTCGAAGTCTAGAAGTTTGTTTTTAAGTAGCAACCTATTCAAGAACTTCATTAAAAATACAGATATAAACTTTTTAGTATTGAATTGTATTTAAAAATTGTAAAGTCCTTATCTTTTTACTATTTTCAAACCTGAGGCCAAAATTATTAAATATTTCTAAGCCTTTACATGCTAAAAGTTGTAATTTTTTTATCGAACTTTCAACTTTCAACAGAGATTTATTATTAGATTTTAGTAAACATCTACTTATATTACAATGTAACCATAGCGTCTCTTTGACTATGCTTAGACATTTCATTGTTAGATATGTGCACATAAATAAATAATTGAAACTCTATTTAATAGTTTTTTTCAGTTGTGTGTGTTTTATTTAATATAGATTGTCAAAAAAAAAATATAATTAAATGGCATAGGTAATAGGGATACTAAAATTAAGACTTAGGTAAAGGCGCTTTAAAAAAAGTAAAGTTTTTTTAATTAAACGATGTATTTTAGTTTATATGAGTTTTACATGAATTAATCATGATTTGTCTTCATATTAAATATTATTGACGACAAGAGGATAGGATCATAAATCATTTACTTAAGGACAAACAAGTTATAAGGTAAATAAATTCTTTAATTATTTTACAGAAGTATAAAGAAATATGAAAGAGTAAAAAAAACAACATTTACTGTTTGAATATTAGAGTAATAGAAAACGGAAGCAAAGGAAATATGGTGATAATTGCTAATAGAAATGTACCAAGTCTTGTTTTAAACTTTTCGGACTATGCAAACGAAAATAACCATGCTTCACATACACAATTAAATATTTTTCAATAGTTTACAATTACTAATAAAACTTTAATGAAACTTCTTTAAAAAGTATCGTAAGAATGTTTTATTTAATTTTTTGTGATAAAAAATTACCAACGTATATAAGTACCTACACAATATATATCAACGAGAGATAAGTGTTGATGTTAAAATAATATTATAAATAGGTAACAGTATTGAAATGTTGTAACTGATAATTATTGCTTAAGAAAATATTCAAATTTAATGTTTTATTCCTTTATGAATTCTTATATTGAAGGAGTGAGAAAGGTCATAAAGGTTAACAAGAAAGAAAACACTGTATTATATGATTTCATAATTACATTATATATTATTGGGTTTTCCTTCAATCAAATAAAACAGAACACAAATCGATTGCATAAGGCAGCTGATGTTTTTTCTTAATATTTAGTTTCCTGTGGTAATGATTCGTTATTATAAACAAATTAACAGACTAATAACGACGTGTTCTGCAAATGTATTATAATTATAAAACTAAATATTATGCATTTAAGGGCAACAGTATAATAATAACTAATGCAGAAAAAAAACCAAATTTATCATTAATTGTTTAAACAGAAAAATAAAGATTCTATATTTCTAATGATTAAAATTATCCTTTGCCGTAATGTCCCCATTTGCCATTTCCCCAACCGCTCCAAGATGGTCCTATTTCACTTGCAAAAATCCTTACACCGGTTCCTCTATTTCCAGCTAGAACTCCTCTTAGGCCACTAACACCATGGCTCATGTAACTGCTAGCTAACACACTACCACTATTACCACCATGCATCCCCCCATAAGTTCCTGTTAAATGAAAAGTCAGCGGAATATGAATTCCTCTTAATCTCGCTGTGTATGAGGGCCAAAATGTTTCAGCTCCTTCCATTAACTCCATAGATTTTTTAGGCATATCCGTTATAACTGAAAAAAACATAAGATTAAGCTAACATTTTATTTAATTTACGAATAAAAAATTAATTCGTAACTTGCCTTATGTTAAAAACATTGCACGAACTTAAGACTACTTTTAAAATTATAATTTTTTTTAGATCTTAGTGATTTTAATGCAGGCTATTTTGATGAGATCGTAATCGCAAAGTCATATTAGACAATTAACGGAATCGTTTTAGATAAACGAATAGACATTTTTGTTTAAAAATCGCAATATTTCAAATTTATAAGAATATTTAGTTAACTGTCAACAAATTATATATATCAAGCAACATTGCTAATTTAGGAAACTAATACTTGACTACCTACCGTCGGCACGTTTGTTCATTCTCGCTTCCATTGTTCCTTTCCATAAATTTTCTGGGACATTTTCATGTGTTGTTCTAAGCGGTGGACTCGGGGCCAAGAATAGAGCCGGGTCCAATACAGCACTTTCGATTATACTCACCAAAGTCAACAACAGTAGCGACTAGAACACAATTTGCTTATTAATTTTTTCATTTATGAAGTATGGTTTTTAAAAGAACGCTGTTAAATTATTATTTTTATATTTTTAATTAATATTTCTTGAAACTTCACTCAGTGACGAAAACAATACTTGACCATCAAACAATATACTTATCAACAATATTTGTAAACGTTAATGTAAGTAGATCTAATAATTACTATGTAGGTATATATCATTTAAAAAAATAGAATTTTTATTAAAGAGAACAAAAAACAAACATTTTGCGAATTATTTAGAATTACATAGAATAAGCATATAAGTTAAAGTATAATTTAAATAAGTTCAAATTTTATATATATTAATTTAGGAAACTTTTATAAGATTTTTTTGTAGGTATGGGATACTTTAATATGATGAAAAAAGAAGTACAACATAGCAGTAACAAAAAAAAATAAAATAACATATAGCACAACAATGAAATTTAGCGAAATTACACAGAAAACAAAGGTAATAAAACGTTTTAGGTAATGTTTTATTTTAAATCTTGGCTGTTAAGGTTCAAAAAAGGATAACAAAAAATATCAGACTTACCCTCATTGCTGATTTAATATAATTATTTTAGTAAAGCTGATTTTTATTTATTTTCAATGATGTCAAAAACGTCCCAATCAATGAACATTGGGTTCCCAACTGAGGATCAAACTCCAGAATATATAGGAAAGGCTTTCTCTATTCCAATTGACGACTTAATTCAAGGTCGACACGATAGCCGACCATCGATATGTTATGTAAGTGAAAGCTCGTCTTTTACGCTACATTGATAACGTTTGGTATCATGTTTTCGAAGATATTTTAAATTGTGGAACTATTTTTAATTTACTTTGATTTTAATTTTAGGGCGTTTAGTACTATAGTTATCATTTAAATAAAGACTTTCGTTGGTTCCTCAATTCAAGCTTAACGATAATATTTTCTTAAATTTCTTTTATCGGGTTTAAATTGTGTTATTTCAAAATATAAATAATAAAGACATATAATTAATCTTTGTGAAGCAGATTCCCGTACCAAACACCATTTGTATGCTTACCCTAAGTAGGCAATATCATACGACATACGGCGCTCTAAGAATTTTATTTATAAATGTTTATACACAATGACATGACTTAGGTCATTGAGTAAGATACGGGATTTGCTTCTCCTGTTGTTTAACGATCGAAATTTGTGCTAAGCATACCTACTGGTGTATGTTTTTTTCATTTTTGTAACGATAATGATCGCACTTTAATTATTCTAAATAAAAGAAGAAAAAAAAACACAGATATTGTGTGGAAAAATTACATTTTTTTAAGTTTTAACCATACATGCCAGCTATGTCTTTCCAACTTAAAAATGTTGGTTCTTCCAATGGAACTAAGTTGGTAAATATATCTTCTGGCATTCCAATAGTCCGTATTGAGTAGCCATTTACACTCATAGTCAAGAAAAATATGAACAGGAAAGTTATTCTCTGAAACAAAATGCATTATATAAAGCCTCAAAAGGTTAAGATTTTTTTTGGAGTCATAGAAACTTTTTAGAGCTATATGTTCATAACTTCATATAATTAATAATAAGTTGTCAGTCATTTTGTCAATAAAGAATCGAATTTAAATTCAAAATAACAATAAGGAATTTTGTGACTTCAATACTAAATTTTATACTAATTTATATATAAAGAAAATAAATATGAAATAACTTACAATATACATATCTCTCGATATCATATGTCACTACTGTTATAAAGGTATGTTTCTTATAAATTATAAACAAATTTTACTTTATAGGCAAAGTTAATTACTAAAATAATTAGGAATGGCTTGTACATTTAGGCGTTCGATAACTTCGTATAGATAAGATTGAGTAATTGAGATATGTATAATATATACATATAGATATATTATAACTACCTATAAATAGGCACGTTAATTGAGAGTCATTTTAAAACAGGTTATCACAGGTTTATGAAAGGAGTTAAAAGGTAATGTATTTCTTGACATATGTAAGTATTTAAAATAAGTAAGTGTATGTTTATGTATTGTTTTAGCTGATTCTATTCAGATTACTTCCTACAACCTTTTAAGTGTCAGGTTTAAATATTTTAATCTTGGACTTAATACATAGATACATAATAAAATAACATACGAAAATATGAATAAATTAACTAAATGCATGGAATATAAAATATGAAAAATTATATGTCGCAATTTAAACTGGTTATCAAATTAATGTTTGTTAAAGTATGTGTGGTATACGCTTCTTTATATTTTTATGTACCCGTTTTACTATGTATAAGTTGGCCTCCTCACAAGATACGGAGAGTTACTCGTTTTTTGTTCACAAAAATATGCACATGATATTATAATAGTAGTAACGTAGGTCACTTAGTGTGGAAAGGACATATGATAAGGTTATTGAGAAGATATCTTGTTGAATATCCCGTGTCACGAACTACTCTTGTTAGAGTGGAAATTATAGATTTATATACGTAATATTATACTTTTAAGGCCAGGTAATTTATTGTAGTATTATTAACTTAAATATTATGAGTAAAAATGAAAAGTTTGAATTACAGAATGAATAACATAAATTTAAATATCTTCTTCTTCTAGCCAGGGTCTGCTTTACATGTTGTGAATAGTTTTGGCTAATTGTTTTTACGACCGGCCGCCTGCCTGACATCAAGCCTCTTTGGGAATGCATTATTCAGTAAAGTCTAAATACTCTTAGAAAGTGCATATGACTCGGAAAAATCACATTGGTACTGGCCAGGATCGAACCCGCGCCTTCATGCGTGAGAGGCGGGCCTTTTAACCAGTAGGCCACCACTGACACTCACACACACACACACACTATATATATATAGTGGAGTTTTATCCTACAATATGTCTGTGATGTTGTAATATAATCAGTTTACTCTGATTTAAGAGTTTAGTTAACATCAATATAAATATTATTTAAGTCAATATGTTTATTTTGCACTTCCACAAGAGATCACAAAAACAAATTTGACTAAAGCCGCAGGTACTATCGTTTTATAAGGAAAAATTTGCGAATATTGACATTATAAGAAATACATAATTAATTAACACAAATTTAAATAAAGTTACACAAAGTTAAAAAATATACATATCTTAAAATAATTAATAATCATGATTCTGTTATGACAAAGGTAAAGAGAAGTAAATTATTTAGAAGTACTAATAAAATATTTAGAACCAAATTACGTAGGGTGGCAACCGGAGGTTCCAGGAAAACTACGAAACAAACTTGTATGTATATTATAATAAACACTACATATTAAAACTTATAACCTATACCTAAGACTACTTGATTGCCCCTATGTTAGGATGACAATGCCATTCCATTGCTACTGTGGTATGTGAAATCTTCTTGTTCACACGGCTTGGTTTTTGTTCCGCGGAGTCAGCGGCGTCACTGGTTATACGATATTTTACCCATACATGGATTTTGCCCAAGCGATGTTCAATTATTTCTATGTAACAAACATTACAAAAATATATGTTATATATATTAAATAACAAAAGAAGACTACAGACATAAAGATTACGATGGAATGGTTAAAAAAAGTCTATATAGTATATAGGTTCTGATGATAACACTTAAACAATAATTTTGTGTCTAAACAATATGATTACCTTTTAATTTTGGTTTGTTCTAATATTCTGAGTCGTAAATTCGGTGTCTGGGTAATTCAATATCATTCCAACAACAAAACGACGAACTTTTGATAGTATTGACCGCCAGAGAATATTATGGAACCTGCTTTTAAAGGATAAAATTGGGTTTGGTGATTCCCTTAGATGAAGCTTGTAATCTAAATTCTTTAAAACTTTGTTTATAAGGTGAACAATACTTTTGTACCTATTGTATGCTTTATTTTATTCTTTATGTAATGTAATTAATTCCAAATGTAATTAATTCCAAATATAAATGAGTTTCCTTAAGATTAAGTAAAAAATATCTTGACATTTAAATATCGAAATATCTTGTTCTTAATAAATGTTACATATCCAGTTATTATTATTAAAGAACTTGAGGGAATACTATTAAATATGACATGAATTGATATGCAATTTTGTATATAATCTGAACTGGGCAGTTATTATATATTTTTAAATCTCAAGCTTAAAATCTTTTTTTATATTAAGTGTTCTATGAGGAAAATTAATCATACCTAAATACAATAACCAAGAGATTCATCACGATTTATGGCATTCCTTTTTAATGTTATATTAATTAAATACGTTTTCCTTTACCATATTTTCAACAGATTGTAATTAATGGATATCAAAACATAATTTTATTTCAACAAAAGTTATTTCAAGAGCAATTGGTGGTGAAGGGTTTGTCAGTATTAGAATATAATGTTATTATGTGTTAAAACACAAACCACATATCTTTCGGAAACCATTTAAGTAATACACACATGAGTATATAATCTGTAAATTGCTTTTTATATAATAAACAAAGAAATCATTTGAAATGAGAAATAATATGATGATATTATGGCTAGTGATTTATTTAGGCTTTATTTTTAATTTTTAAAACATGTTGAATATTATTTATGTAAGGTATCATACCAATTATGAATTTGTTTCGGTTTAACGTTATCCTTTATGTTGCTGATTTATTAGGGTATTATGACTCTAAATCATTTTGACTCTAAATGAAGCAATTATATTACTTCAACCTATTTTAATTATTATGTATTTTTTTTCCAATTTTAGCAGCAGCTAAAGAAAAACTGAAAATTATTATTATATTAATATGTGTTATCGTGAAATGACTATTTCATAAAGTTATTTTTTATCTTAAAGGAACACAACCTGTCAAAAACTAAAAACTTAGCCGAAAGGAAACCAAATCATTTTCTACTATATCTATTTATTAACATTGTCAGTCAGTCTTTTGACCAGTTATTTAAATAATTTAAATTATTTTTTTTTATATATTCAGCCTTCTAGATACATTCTTAGTTTAGGTGATGAATTATTGAGGTCGTATTACTTAGGTTTTTAGTAGGTTTCTATAAAAAGTACTGCAGGATCTTGAAGGTTAACAACATTGCTAATTACAAGCATAGTTTTTTTATAAAGTAATAATTACTCCACTTCTGTATGGAATATAGATGTGCTAAAAAAAGTTTTTTCTGTACAACTATTAGAATATTGTGTAAACATGCAAAATAGCGTATTTTCCATTTCTTTAACATTTAATTTAAGTTTTAACGTGGGTTTAACAGGCATCTAGAACTGTTTACAAATAGGTTAGATGATGCAATACAGTGCTATTTAAAAGTCATAGTTTTCTAAAGCATATGTGTAATTATCAACACAATATCAAGATATTTATTTTCAATGTAACATAACAGCTTAGAAACACAATACGAGTATCTATTGATTTCAAATAAATCAAACCGCATCCAAGCAAGTCCTCGATGAAAAGTATCATGTAAATATGTTATTATATATAAAAGTATTAAAATAGTGATATTTTTTAAATGCGTTTAGTTAATGTTTCTTTAAAAAAACTATTTTCATATTCATTAATACTGAAGATAAAAAACTAAACAACAAAACTCGGTAAAAAATTTATCTTTATAGAGAAGAAACCTCTAAGCATTGCATGGATTCACCGTGCGGGTGCCGGGTTCATCACGTTGCAGGGAGAGGAGCTTCAACATTGCCTGGGACTTGTGGAACAGGTGCAGGATTAAGGGGCCCCTATTTAGCCCACGTTAAACGCTCACCTCTACCGTCCAAGTTCTAGAGCTGCCTTCAAAGAACTTTAAGAATTAATTGATATTCATTCTGGACAGACCCAAATCTACTAGAAGCTGTAGAGAGATTTAGCTGTCGTATTTCTCACTCCCATTTCTACTGCATACAAATTTATAATGAATCCATTATTTTTGAGTTCGTTAGTGAGCTCGTAATATTTGTTGGCATGGTCTTTGAGGATGTTAACTCTATCAGAATAACGCACTTTAAAATTCTCGAATATAAAGTTTGTCTGGTCTGGTCACCAATCCGCAAATATCCTCTGCGATTTGCACTAGTACCTACTAGTATGTATGGTATGGTCTTAAAGAATAATTAAAGATTCTGGTTACTTTTTAACAATTTCAAAAAAGGGAAGCTCTTAATAACACTATTTCTATGTTATGTTATTACTGAGTCAAGGTCAATTTTCAAAACACTCTTTTTATGGAAAGGGCATTGCCCCGAGATAATTCTACTTTGTTGAAATTTGTTAATGGGGTCCTCAAAAAATCGAATGAAACTTCATAAGAATGATATGTGTATCTCAAAAGGGTTTTAATATGCAGGCAAAGTCACAACCAACAATTAGTATTAATTATATCAAAAAGAATCTCAGTATTATGAATATGTCTTTTGTTTTATTGGAATTGGCATATATGTATATTGTGCGTAATATTATTTTTTCAATAATTGATATAATTGGTTTATCGTGCCTTTACTTTGAATTACTTATTGAATGACTCACATCAATAGTTTTTATTATAATAATATAATCAATACAAAAAGATTTGAGGAAATTGACTTCGTGTTGTCAGGTGTAGTATTTTATTACAGAAACGGACATAGGCTCATATTTAGTTAAAATTTATAATAGTAACCAAAACATATGTACTTATCTATAATTGCCTTTAATGTATGCAGAAGCCATAAAATAAATTACGGATTTAGAATGATAAAACAATTGCTGCTATGTTTAATGAATAGCAGAACATTTTTGAACTAATTATATTATTTGAAAAACAGTATTATGATTAAAATGGGCCAGAATTTTTTAAAGTAACTCTCATAAAGACTGCATTGTGCTTGTATTTACTAACTTCTATTAAACCATATGTTAACCAGGAAAAAAATGTTTTGGTCACATTATTTAATCTTCGATGATTTACATATAACTGCAAGTATTTTTGTAGTATTTCTTCTATGATAATGTATATAGCAAGTAATAACGTAGAAGATCCTTAAATAAATTTATGCACTTTTGATGATTTCAACACTTTATTTTCTTCGTTTTAAAGGCATCTTGAATTATGTTGGAAGGTTTCAGCGTCCATGGCCCCAACCTCCTCCCCAGCCTCCATGACCACGATGACCTCCATGTCCTCTATGACCCCAACCTCCTCCGCCACCCCAACCTCCCCATCCACCTCCGCCACCTCCCCAACCTCCTCCGCCTCCTCCCCAACCTCCTCCGCCACCCCAGCCTCCTCTCCATCCCCTTCCCCCATGTCGAGCTGTTTCAGCCCCGACTAAGGTCTCGTCTTCTGATTTGGTATCAGCAGCTAACAAACTACCTTCTCGATCAACTCCAGATACCGTTTCAGCTGCATAGGGTAAGGCTGACGCGTATGCCACAATGGCACAAGCTACCAAAACCGTGCAAGTAAGCTGTAAAATAATATTTATAATGAGCATAAAAAAGTTTTAAATTACATTATTTATATTAATTAGAATGTATCCATTATTATGGTTAGAAGCAAGAAAATCGATATATATTTAATTTTTTTTTTGATGCAATCAAGTATATTATTGCGTTATTAACTTATAAATGCGATGTCTTGGAAAATATTAATACATTAAATTTAAATAATAGTTGTTTATCCTTAAAAGTCACTAGAATACTTACAATGTTCATGATGGCAAAATTAGCGACACAATGTACTAACCTGCATACGGTGGGGCAATTTATATCAATCCTAGAATCCATCACCATGAGTAACAACAAATAGGTAACTAACCGCTTATATGATCATCATAATGCATGTGCAGAGAATTATTAATTACTATTATTATAGTAACTATTTCATAGACATCCATTAATCAGTGTTTACGTTTACTGTTGAGAGAATCCTCTTTTGTAAATTGCTAAAAGTTAAAACTATTAATGAAGTCACATGAATAGCTATTTATAATACATGCAAGTAAGTAATCAAAATGTAGGAAAGTAACAAGAAAACTTGTGAAAAATTTTAATGGTAAAATTGTGAATAGCCTCGACATAAAAAATTCTTCTCAAAGCTTTTATCATGTACGTATATGTGCCCGAGATTTTTAAGATTTATATCTTGTTCTTGTTTATGACTCTAATACTTGTACATATCTGTATTGTTATTGATCCAAAATACACTCCCAATATTGACGGATACGAATTTGAAAAAAAATATCGTTGTGGTATCTTCGAGGAAGTCCCGCAGTAATCTTGGTATAATTATCGCTACAAATGGAAGCTTTATGTGTCTAACATATTTTATATATGATTAGTAAATAACAATGCTATTATTATTATTGTACTGTTTAAGTTCCTAGAAACATCATCTATCGTTCTTAACTTTGTGATTTTGCAAACTGACAAAAGCTTTTGGTATCGAACTACATACATATATGTACATATAGTGAGAATCAGTAGCGTCTTTGATTAATAACTGTACTGTGAAGCACCGTGATGTTATTATACTTATGCGACTCCGTTCTGGATCCTAGAATCGGGATACGTTCCATCAAATATATTTGGTTTTATTAAACTCTTAAATGTGATGTATATTATCAATTAGATGATGTTGCTTATGACTTTGTCCACAAAGTAGCCGAAAGGTCAAAATTTCATGAACTTTAAAAAATTGGGAGTTGCAACCGTACCTCCTTTGGCAGAGTGCTTCTCTGTCAGAGAAATTGAAGGAACTATTGCCATTAGTTAAAAATTATTTTTCATAATAAACATAAAATAAATACTGTAAACTAATCTAAACATCAGATGATTTACTTTTGATTGTGACTTAGTCCCGTGGCACCAAGGTCCTAATTAAAGCTGGAAAAATATACGTTTACAAAAAATACATTTGAAAATTTTTTCACTCTTGTAAAATAGCCTATATTTTTAACATGTAACAAGAATAAAATCACATGCAGAAAGTAAAACTATGTTCATAAATACATCGTCAAATTAACAGTTACTGGTTATGATTACGATTTTATTTTTCAACTTTTATCTAATATTTTTTATCCGATTATATTTAATACAAACGAATGGGAAGTTGTGAAGTATATAAACATTGTTTTGCGCTTTAAGCCCATCTTTTGAAAACGTGAAACAACTATCCTTAAATATTTCTATGTGGATTCGTTATGGATGTACATAAGTTTGCAAACATTTGTAAGTAAAACTTGTTCTACCAACCGTTTATGTTTGACTTGACTTAAAGCATGTTGAAGATTATGTTGGAAATCGAAGATACATACAAATTTAATTTCATTTTTTATTTTATTCTTAATTACCTTAATTAATTGAACGTTTTTAGTTATAATAGTATGTTTCGACTACAATATCAATATCAGTCTTTAGGGTCTCTACTGTTCACATTTGAATAGAATATTCGTGACTATTTTGGTAACAGATAGATATAGTTATTAATAGTGTATCTGTTAATACTTATATTATGACACAGAAAAGAGATTCATTATCATTTATTATTCATTCATAAATCATTCAGAGTCATTATGATTTCAAAACACAAAATCTAAAACAGTTGTGTATATAATAGTGTATACATCATATATATGTACATATTTATGTGTTTATATTATGTTATTTATGGGTATGGTAACCACCACCACATCTATATACAGGTCAATAATTTACTAATTAAGATTGTCATTTGGCAACAGAATTCCCTATTATACTTCATATTATCCGTTTATCCTGTTCGTGAAATTTGAAAAATTTGTTAGTAAAGTAAAAAATAATAATAATGTTTATTAGAATAAGTCATTTCTATAAATATAGGGATATACTGTAGGGGCAATGGTTTATTAACATTTTATAGTGCTATTCTTCCTTTTTCTATAATCACTGAACTAAATATTTTAAACTCTCGTAGTTCTTCTAGAGAAACTATAAGTCTTTTTATGGTCTCTTTCTCCTCGTATAATTCATTTTGTGATCTCAAATTCTATAAAATGTCTAGAATAATAACATCCTGTTCGAAAACTTCCACATACACTAGATATTCAGACACAATAAGATTATACATCGCAGAAGTTATTAGAGATTCACACAGAGACCCTTGATATTATAATGTAATAAAATGTACACATTGATTATAATGTTACCGGACCTTGTGAATTTTAAAAAAATTGAGTAATAAGAAGAAAAGTTAAAATAATATTTATATAGCAGGTTAAGGTTTAAACTCTTTTCTTATAATTAGAATTAAAGATTGTACATACACTTCTGTGTTTAGAGGATTGTATGGATACTGCTGTCCGAGCAGTAGGACATTATTGGTATTAGCTGAATTATGTACTTTTGATTTCAGACTTAGTGTTGCTTTATTTTGAGGTCGATATTAGTACTGTGCGTTACAATTTTGTGACATTAATTTTAAAATTATTAATCGTTTCTTTTTATTTACCAAGCAATATAGTAACAAAATAAGAAAATAGAATAATACAAATAATAATTCATCGGAGTTATAAAAAATATATGTAGGAATCACAAATTTTATTTTTACATTATTTAGTTTCCTTATTTATCCCTAATAATATTTTGAGAAATAAATTCTTTTACCGATTGTTTTAGTAGTGCTTTCCAATTAAATTTTCAGTACCATATGTAACTTGAACAATTGCCGTTCAGTGTTTATGTGCTGTTTATCAATCATATGTACATGATTACATGGACTTCCTGCACACACATATCAAGTACCCAGAGGCTGGAAATTTTACCTTAGTGTCCAAGGTTGATAAAACTGATTTTAAAATCATCGTGGTCGTAATATGCCGTGACTAGAAGACGTAAAAATTAAATTATAGTGCTAGATCCTGCCGAAAGGTTTCGTGACTTCAAATGAAACTTCACATTTGTTCTTCAGAGCTTTTCCCTATAAATATGTGATATGGGACAGACAGACAGTTGATCTAGTTCTGCCAATTCCATCTTGTAGGTAAGTGAGAGGATAATTATCTCCTTGGTGTATCTTGAGATGTCCATTCAATAAACATATATTCCATAAACTTTTAGAGTTTTAGTTTTAGTACAACAGTAAAAAATTTTGAGATTAAACCTGAATATAACAAGTCGGCTCAACACGACTTCCTTTATAAGGTATTATGATTCACCATTATGTAAAAAGTTTTGCAATAGCACCATAGTAATGCTCTTTTATAGTATGTTTTTTTTAAACTAAAACTTGGAGGTTTGTAATTTTGTTAACATGAAAATGCAAGAAAAATACGATTTCGATAATATACATGGCTGGTTCTTTCGATGGCGGAGGGTGAAGGAAATCAACTATGTAGTAGTCCAAATTCAAGACCCTCGTCTTCTTTTATCATAGAGGGAGGAGTTTTCTAATAAGGCCAATAGGTCTGGTTTTCTCTGTCAGTATTGTCAATTAACTTGTATGAAAGCAGTTAGTCTTATTGGTGCTCATTGAAGTTTTTAATAAAACAAGATGTTATAAAGAATACCGAAGTTGCAGAAATTCTGCAGCTCACTAACATTTTTGATTAACAGATTTGACTTCTGGTCATTACTGTAGGGCCGATAGATACAGCAAAGACTATTTTATCTACCACTAGTCTTTATCGGTATCCAGAGTGCCGGAAATTTCAGGTCTTCAAAGTGACGGAATATGCGTGCTTGAACACTTATCAAGTTTTGAAATAGTTTTACAAATATTGCAGGTATAATTTGACTGTATTTTTCAACATAATTTACATGCATATTAAAACAAATTTATAAAAACTAAAACAATGAATAAAATAAAATGTGTTATTGTATATGGACTATGTTAAAATAATTTTCGTTTCAGTAATTAAATATTATTTATTTGCGTATAAAAGTTGCTCTACAAATTATTATTTTAGTAAAATCATTTATATTGTTCAAAAAATTTTTCATCTAATATTGTAAAAGAAAATATTATAGCTCAACTAAATTGTAGCTCAATTAAATTCATCAAAAAAATTAAATCTATTGAACATATTTCTAAATAAGAAATGGAAATGAACTAAACCTCAAGAATTTGGTTATTCAATTTATTGAATTTAGGTCAAATACTAAAGGATCATAACATTTATCGGATAATATCAACGTCCATGGCTGGAACCAAATCCACCTCCCCAGCCTCCTCCGCCGCCGCCTCCCCAGCCGCCACCACCACCTCCGCCGCCGCCACCTCCCCAGCCACCACCGCCTCCGCCGCCCCAACCTCCGCCGCCTCCCCAGCCTCCTCCACGACCTCCACCTCCTCCCCAACCTCGACCACCTCCTCGGCCTCCCCAGCGATGTGCTGTCTCAGCACCTTCCAATGTTTCATCTTTCGAACCATCAGCAACAGCTATCAACGGAGCATGTTCTTTTTCGGTTTCAACGGCTACTTCACTTGGGTAAGGTAACGCTGAACTGAATGCAGCGAGCAAGCACGTTAACAGTGCTATGCACGTCAACTGAAAAAATTAAGATTTATTTTTAATAACATGTTCATATATTGTGTAAATAGATTGATTAATTTCATTTTATAATGATGAACGTTTGTAATTATATATCAAGACAGACAATTCAAATATGAAAAAGAATTAACTTGGGGTTTTTAAAGCATAAAATAAAAGATAAATGTTGTGATAACTCACCGTCTTCATGATGGCACTCTTGTTGAATTATGTTCGTTATGCCAGCAGCTTGAGGTATTTATACAAGTTCAAAAACTCTGAGTAACCACAGACCGGTAAATAATAGCTTCATCGTAAGATCGTCTAAGAGATTTTTTTTGCTAATTTAATTTGCTTATATTTGATACTTTTTTATTCGATACTGTAATGATGGTGCGATAATCAAACTAACATATCGTGATTAAAAAAAAACTTTTGTGAATTGTTTTTTGCTGAAAGATTTTCAAAATTATTTCTAAATATAACTTCAATATTTCGTTCTGATTGAAGGGGAAATATATATTACTGCAAATAATAAGATTCCAAAGCTCAAAAACGCTTTTTGAAATGTAAGTTACAAATTTAAAATAAAAATTCATTTTAGGTAGGTTATATAGAGGAAGATCTAAGTTTTTTGGTGTTTCCTTATATCCAAAGCAAATTTTTTAAAACTTGAAATAATAAACTATCTTACGAATTTTGAAACTGTGTTTTGTTAGTTGATATATATAGATAAAATGTAAAAGGTATTATTGAAAGAGACGTTTTTATTTATTTTAAACAATTGACAGATATAGCCAATTTATGATCTTAAAATTGGGGTCGTTTTTATATACGAGTATATATATTTTATAGAAGATTTTTTTTACATCACCAACCAAAGTTTAAGGTGATATATTCCAAATCTGGAATTATTAATGTTTTATTATCTACTTGTACTACTATTTGAACAGAAAAAAATGAGAAGACCACTAATATCATGCCGAATTGCTTCCCTGTTTCTATGCTGAACCTCTATCAAAAATCTCGTATTTATAACTTTGCTATCTTTTCTTCCAGTTCTCGTGGATTATCATTTTTTTATTGACAATTGTTTATATTGAAATTAATTCAGTCTCTTTTCACATAAAGTTTACATTTCTTAAGAGATTACATTTATTGTCTGCAGATACTTTTAAACCTCCGTATTTATAGTCAAGTGACTTATTTTTCGGTATAGGGCATATTAAAAAGTTCCATTGAAATTGTTAAGGCGTATTATAATTCTACTAAGAAAATGTCTTCATCACTGGGTAATCGGTGTGATCAGTGTATAATTTAATATGATTTGTTTCAGCATATCTAATTCTTTGCTTATTTGATAAATCAATCATAACATCTTGCTTCTTTACGCCTAAACCTTAAATATAATTAAAAAATAATGTTTCCTGGGCAACACTATGCTATGATAGAAATAGAGATTTGTAAAACGTGTTTCAATGAAAAGCTATAACAAATCTTCTAAATAAGTATGATAGAAGCTTAGACAATCACAACATAATATTATGCTCTAGCTTTTTCGATCGGTTTTGTGAGTATAGTCAAAGGTCCTGCAAAAGATTGTTTTAATTGAGTCACTTAAAACTTATTTGAATTTTATTATTGCGTCCCTAAATTTTTTTCCATTTTTAAGAGGAAAAAAATATGGCGAAAGTCATCATCATCATCATCATCATTATCAGCCTGTCAGAGCCCACTGCTGAGCAAAGGCCTCTTTCTCACATGGAGAAGGTTTGAGCGTTAATCACCACGCTTGCTCAAGACGGGTTGGTGATTTTAAACTTATAATTGTGAAACTATAAGTCCACGTTTCCTCACGATGTTTTCCTTCACGTATGGCGAAAGTATTTTCTATAAATTTTAAAATATTTTTAGGGAGCTGTCAACATCACAAATACGTTTACATTTAAGAATACCTTTCTATAAAGGTTCCTTGGTATTGAGTTACTACTACATTATCTTCGTACATCAAACTCTTTTGTAATTTTTTGTAAAGAATTTTTTATGCAATTTTTTCATGGTGTCCTTCCAATCCTTAAATAAGGAATTTGCTTTCTTTAAACGATTCTGGCTAAAATTTTTCTAAAACTGTCGTCCACAATAAAAAAAAAATATTCTTGAGGAATTGTTTCTAGTCGTTTTGATTAGATGAAATATGTCTATAGCATTCATGGCATTTTTAGTTTGTGTCTATGTGAATGTTAGTTTTGGAAAACGTAACTTTTCATCGTTCAAGTTGTTTTTGAATACTTTGTAAAACTACGGAATTACTGTTTTTCTTATTAAGTTTCAAAACAAACTTGACATTAATGTAGAAAATAATAATGTTATCTGTAACGAATTTGATAAGACTAGTAAAACCGGGAATCGGGATTTTTTTGTAATCAAAAATTCTGACTTTGAGATGTATCATGTACTCGTATGCTGTAGTTTTATAAAAAAATATTTAAAATATATCGGATTTATTACAGATTCGTTGTTTTAAGGAGAGAGAGACGCCAGCCTCGCCGACGTCACTTATGTCACTTCTATGTAGAACGTTCCATGATATTTTAAAATGAAACTTCAATTGTTCTTAATGCTCCTGTATTTCTCGAAGGTTCTTCATAATCACATACTTTAATGATACGCACTCACTGATCTTTGAAATCTGCCGTCGTGCGTCCAGACGTCATATTTATACCAAGATTTAAACATAGTTCTATTCTCCTTTTAAACAACCTGTGATTTCGTTTTACTTTTAACAATAATCATAAATACTAATGAGGTTTAATAACAATTGATGACAGCCTCAAATTATTTTCATGTCGCATCCGTTATTAAAACTGGTAGCGCCGATAGATATGACATTGTGATTTCGATGACACAATCAAATTAAAATATTAATGAGTTTCTTTTTATGAAAAGATTTGATTGTTCGGTTTACAAACGACATGTATAGTGCGTTTGATTTAAGCTGAGCTTTGCATTTGTGTGAGTGCACACGGATAGTGTAGGTGTGATGTCAAATTTTTAAATGCCACGTTCTTTTCTAGTTTTGAACCGGTTCATGCTGCTTTTATTCCGCCCCGCACCTTTTTCACGTCACCCTTTGTAAATGTAGCAACGTCAAATGTTGAAAACTCAATGTCAAGTGAAGAAAAATTTGTATTGCTTTTTAAAAATTTTTATTACTTAATAATTGTTTCCCATAATATTTCGATTTGCCCTTTCACATTTTTGGCTCATTTTACTTTTAATCTATAATAGATCTAGCACTTATGTTATGTATTTATTGAACATATAATAAAATTGAATTTTAAACGTTTTTTATCTAACGCTACTTTTACTGTCACTCACACAAATGCAAAGCTCAGCTTAAGTCTAACGGAGTATAATGCTATGAATTAACAATATCGATTCCAATATTACAAATAAAGTAACTATCACCTATTTTACAAATTCTCTTCTTGATAGTGGGTTCTTTATCCGTTATAAATTTTAAAAATGAACCACAATAACAACATTTGGTGTTTAAGAAGAAAAATATATTTTTCTTTATAAAGAATAATATATTTTACTTTAAGTATAAACATATATTTATTGAATAACAAATATTTATTGAATTTTGCATATATTTTGCAACACTGGTATAGAGTTACTAAGTAATCTGCACAGCATTTCTTTTTTACATCTCTTCAAAAGTTCGAGGGCTTGCTAGGGGGTGTTTTTATATAATTGTTACAAATAAAAGTCTTAAAATTTTGTTTTGATTTTTTAAAGTAATATGAAAAGAATACATCTCAAGAAATTAACAGAATTAAAGAAGATGTCTTGTTTTGAAAGAACAAAAATCTTATTTTGTATAAATAGATCGTTGGGATAAAAAAATACGAAAAGATCTTATTTGTGAACTTTGTTTTTTTTACTTTGATTTGGGCTTTGCTAGTACTAAAATTGTTTTTTTAAGTTTCTGCTAATGACATTTTGTGTTATGATTCAGGCTAGAATGGAAAAGAATTAGTTCTTGACCATATCAAATAGATATATTTTCAATGAAAGTATTTTAAAGGACTCAAAATAAACTTTACTTTTTAATTTAACTCAAGATTTAAGTTGACTATTATTTCATTTTTCTATTTGAAATAAACTTTTAAATATTAATGAGCCAAGGTGATTGAGAATAAAAACACGTCATTAAGGTTTTTACGTTTTATAATAAAAATTAAGATCCAGAACAAAAAAAAAACTATTATACATAACTTCAACAGGTTTTAATTAATTATAATATCTCATGAGGCGCATGCGATGCTATCTTAATTAATGTCTAATGATTTTAAGGTTTTTTCTGTTATGTGAAAAATTATAAGACGTAGATGTATAAAATAATTAAGTAAAAAAAAATAAGAGCAAAAGTAAAAAAAAAAGAGTTTGGAGCTGTTGCTTAGTGAGTTTTTTTTAAATAAATCTTAGTTTTTTTAGGATTTAAATAACATTATATTTTGCTTTAGTCTTTTCATAGGTTTTCGTGTGATCTATTAACTAACTTCATTTATTTTTATTTATTTATTTATTTACTCTTTAATGTACACCAATATAGACAGAAATAACAAGAGAAAAATAAAGAAAGGAAAATGTACAAATAGGCGGCCTTATCGCTAAAACAGCGATCTCTTCATTATTAAGAAAAATCAAAATAGTCACCATTTATGTACGCAGCCTTATTAATATAGTGTGGCTAGTAGGGTATTGCGATGGTATATAAAAACACTATGTACATACCGAAAAAATAAATCACAAATATTGTTTGATTACAGTTTTATTTTCATTTAGTTCACATCACAGACAACACTTAAAAAAAAAGTTATTACGTATTAACGGCCATATCCGTGTCCTCCCCAACCGCCTCCCCAACCTCTACCGCCTCCCCAGCCACCGCCGCCTCCCCAGCCTCCTCCGCCACCCCAACCTCCTCCGTGTCCCCAACCTCTGCCACCTCCCCAGCCTCCTCCGTAACCACCTCCCCAGCCTCGACCTCCCCAGTGGGCACTCTCAGCGCCGACTAAATCCTCACCCTGTGACTTATCAACAGCTACTTGGCCGCCACTTTCTAGATAGCTTACTGGAGCTATCTCGTTAACTGGCTGCGGCATCGCTGCTGCGTACGCCACAAGGACGCACGCAAACAAAACCATGGACACAAACTGAAAATGGAATTATATAATGTAAAATAGTGGTTACGAATTACGGTCATTATTATAGCTGCTTGAATAAATTGTGACTTATTCATATGATTTAAAAATAATAATTTTAGTTTTAACATCCTACAGCGATTTTAATCAGAAATTACAAATTAATTAAAATATAATTACACAAGATTTTATTTAATAACTTATTTTTTACGAATATTTAAAAATATTTATATTATTTTTGTTACGATTAATTTAAAATATCATAATATTCTTATTTAGCAAGCGTTTATAATATGGACTACTTACCGTGTTCATGGTGGCAAAATTAGTGAAACAATGTGTCGTCCTGACACTCGACAGGGCTATTTATACAAAATCAAGAACATATCTGTGACTAAACATGGCCAGGTAAATAACCGCTAGGAGATCCTCTAATTTACAACTCTCTACGTCGCATTTATGGATACAGCATTCCAATGATTACTTTAATTATCACGTTATAATCAAGATAACTATTTTTTTTATTTAAAAGCAATTTTTAATATTCTTTATAAGGAACTCCTTATATTTCTCATCTTTATAAATATATATAGTTCTATCGTCACATATTTTAGTAAAATTCTAAAGCTTGCCATTACAATATTTTCTTTTGCTATAGAAAAAAAATATCAAGTTTTTCAGGTTTTGATTATAATTTTGTATTAGATTATAATTAAAATATATAAAGGGACAACCAACACTTAAACAATATTTTGTATAAGTTGTACTACTTATTAGTTGTTAAATAGATGCGTAAAGATTTAGTAATTTTGAATTTTGCATCTTGTTAAGTATTTATTGTTTATTAAAAATTTATCGCGAGTAGAAATAACATGATTAACAGAATATATCTCAAATAAAAGGAAGAAATAACATAAATGTAAGAAGTACCTTTTTTTGGATAGACACAAGAAGGATTTGTTTAGGTTCAAAGACCTCAATAACAGGTCAGACTCAATTAATTTGTAAAAAAAAATTATACATAGAACGAAACAATCCACTTTATTTTATATTTTAATAATAAAAGTTGATTAAAATCATAAACTCTTTTTTCAATTCCAAATTCAAATTTGTCCGGGGAAGAACCTGGGGCTCATTGAATACAAAATGTTTTTTTTGTTTAAGACCAAGAGGCATGTCAATTATTAACTTCGTATTATTTTAAATCACTTAAAGCAATAATAATAATATGAATAAAACTCCATCAACATAAAATTATTATAAAACCTGCTCAAAATATGATGTTTTCTTTACTTCTTATTTTATATATTCATATATAATAATAAAATTAAAGTATCTGTTTATTATGTGATAAAATTATTATTTCTATTGGTAGTCATTATATCTGATGTTTATTGGGAACCTTCTGCAGAAATGTGTGTCCGTCTAAGTATCTGCCACTCCTTCGTGAATTATTTGTGCATGACTTACAGGGCTTTTTTACTAAGAAAATTTAACTTATGTATAAATAGCAAAACTGCTATCTGTCAATTTTGGAATTGAGAGGAAGTCACTAGTAATATAAAATATTTCCAAATACCCAGTTCAGTGCAACGACCGTTTTAGAGCTTGTATTTTCATGTCATCTATTTATTTAGCTTGTTGGCTTTACCATACATGTGTTAAAAATATAAAACGTATAAAATAGTTTTTCTGCTGGGGTCATTCGGAGACAATTTTTTTATATTTATTATATTCGATTCGAAGATATTTTTTCTCACTTCGTGAACTTAAAGGCAGATAGGGCTTAGCCTACATTTCTGTTGTATTTATGGTTGTTTGTCGGCCTGTTTGAATAGATGCTCCGTGATTGCAAGCGGAATTTGACAATGTCCTCTAGGTGACGTATAAAGTCACCATAAAAAATAAAAGCCTAAACAAGTGTAAATTTTAGTTTAAACATCAATTATTTGAATTTTATTTTCCAAGGCCGTTAAGTTCCATGTAAAGAAATTTGGTTATTGATTATGAAAATGTAATATGGATGCCAAATCTTAATAGAGAAGTAATTTTAAATTAAAAATTCTACATGACGGCGAGTGCTTAGTTTGTTTACTATCGTTTCTACGTCATTTGTTAGGTTATTAAGCAAACAGGTTTTTGACTTCTAATTTATTCGATAATGCGATATGTTTTACTCATAGAATGTAAATATTTACGTTTTTCATAAAATATTGTTCTTCTTAATAAGTTAGGGTATTTAAGAGTTTACGTCACGTATATTATTATTATCAGTATATTATTATGAAATTTTAGCTTTGTTTGTCATATCACATTTTGTCAAGGAAGTATATCTGTTCATGTGGGAAAACCGACATACTTAAATGACACTGGTTCTTTTAATTCAAGATCTTGTTTGTTGTTTATATTTAAGACGCAGAACAGAGATGAGTAAAAACGATATTAGCATTTAAAAATTATCATATTTTTGTTCTGTTTTTGTTAAACAGGTTTTAATTTAATTAAAGTTTTTAAAAATAATGTTGTTACACATCTGTATAAAATAGTAAAAAATAATATGTAAAAAATGTATATCTTAATTAACCTTCAATGATATATTCCTTTGTTTAGCGATTATCGATGACAATATTTTCTAGGAAGTCGTAAAGGTTCATCTTCAATAAACAAATTACATTTATTGTAAACTTAGTGTTGAGTCATTCTGGTGATTCTTATATTTTCTACTATTTATTAATACATAGATGATTGCTTATATGTGTTAGGTAAACAGATAACAGATATGTCAAAAACCTACACTATCTATAATAAATTCAAATCCTATGTTAAATCGTATAAAAATATTAGTATTTTTTATTTTATAAAAGTCTTACAGTTTTTATGTGAGTGTCAAGTTCAAATAACATAAATATTCTATAAATATATATTATCTTTCGCGTCTAAAGCTTAAATTTATATTTGAACAAAATTCCAAATTCGATTGCATATTTTTTCTGTTTTTGCGGACTGGTTCTCTGGACTCATCTTTTAGGGACCGATTTTGGGATTTCGTTTTTTATTTGGAAAGAGATATTCTACGGATGTTTATGTCAAAAGTAAACCAGGATCTGATGATGGCGTCTTACAGATATTGAGAGTATTCGAAAAACTTATTTAATTCGGAAATAGATACTCTGCGTAGTATATAAGGTATAGTATATCTGTGAAATTAATTATTAGTCGACATAAATATTTTGGCTTGACTTTAATAAGCCTTGTATTTACTGTCAGTGAACACAATTACCGTAGAGTAATAGAAACGTAATGTAAAATGTAAAGTAATAAAATAGGCGAAGGTAATTTGAATAAAACAGTTCAACTTTAATTTGTCCTCAAGGACAACAACAAAGTAATCATTATAATCTTTTTGTTATATGGAGGTAAATTAATTTTTACTTTTAAGTTTTTGATTGAAAATTGTTTTTCTTTATGATATTATTTTTCAAATATTTTAATAATAAGATTTGGTTATGTTTAAGTCTAACATTTTTATAATGCCAGATGTCATGTAATTTTGTTTTTTTACAACTGATTCTTTATCTACGTTTTAAAAAACCAGTTCATTAATGATGAAATTAAATTACGTCTTAGTAGACATTAAAACAAGAATGCTTTTACTAGACATTTGAAGACACAGGTACAAATGGGTCCCTGGTCGAATGCAGTCTCATTTCACATTAGGGTGGCATTTCAAGATTTTTTTAGAAATACTTGTTAAAATAAAATAACAACAAAATTTCAGACATCATTAGATCATTAATTGTTATTAAAAATTTTTTTGTTGTTTTATTCGGACTGCAAAATCATTAACCCGTTTATATCACAAACAAAAAATAGTTTATTCTATATCAGAAAATTTTATGATTCAGTATTAGTTGTTACATACATCTCACATTTGCATAATCTTCTTTTATAATGCAGATTCACAATAATGATGTATTTAACAATGGATTTTCCCAGCAAGTTGCGTTTCAGTGTTAATTGAAATATAAGCAATGAAACAGCATTTTCATTGAGCGATTGCTCAAGTAGCAGTACATAATATCTGCTGATAGTAGTAGTATATGAAATAAAATGAATTTTAATTTTATACGGTTACTATGTACATTTATGTTCTGACCAGCAGGTATGAATAAGACATTATTTTAGCATTTTTAAAACATGTCAGTATTACAAGTCATGTATAAATTGTATCTGTTAAAGAATTAAGGCAATTAATTCAGTCTTAAGATTTCTTAGCTCACATCAACGTAATTATCAATTATGTATAGTATTTTGAGTACATTTCGTCAGTGGTTTAAAACCACTAACGTTTTAATGAGACTCGACAAATTTGTGAATGGTATGAAATGTTACTTTAAAATACATGTTCACGATATTCTGAGTAATATATTATAAAAGCAATTAACGCTATAAACATATATAATTATATAGCTAAGTAAATTATATCCGTCAAACAATTAAGTGATGCAAATGCTAAACAATCTCAAGTTTCCTACTTCCTTATTCGATCATACTACATTCTTATATACATATACATATATTTTATAAGTTAATTTTACTTTTAAGAAACGAAACATCTTAGTTTTCATTTTGTCTGTTTCTATTAACCTTGTAAAAGAGATCCCGCTCCAGAAACATGTACTAATTTTTTTCTTGAATATTCCGGTTGTGCAATGTTCTCTTGATAAACACAGATCTTTTAAGATAGCCGTATTTACTCGTACAAAAGAAAACTATTCATTCTTTTAAAAAGTCCTTGAGATTTGAGAACCTATTTTTTTGCGAGCTACTTTTGTTTTTAATAATATAAGTGGTAATACTAGTATAGTATGTTTTAACGAAGTTTGAATCATTATAGGAAACGGGGGACGATTCGTACATATTGTGCGGATGGAGAGTTGAGCTAGAAATACACGTTAAAAACTTTTAGTAGTAGATTACTTCTTAAACTTAAAAAAAATCAGTAAAAATATCTCCACGTACTACATAATATCTTTAAATTTCTTTGAATTTAGTGTTAACAAATGTGAAGACATTCACACAGAAAAACCTACGTACTCTATTCCTACAAAAAAAACCTGACTATGAATATTTTAAAGATTATCTATAAATTTTAGCATACAAGCTATTTCATAGTAAATATAAAATTGACAAAAAAAATTGTGCATTTCTAACGTCTTTTTAAGTGTCATATACAGCTTATTTCTGTAATTTTATATTACAAATAAAGTCTGAGTGAATCGCTGACCTTGAAACCAAGACGCCTGACCACAACGATATTGAATCCTAATTAGAGGTGTTGTAGATACATATCTTATAAAAGAATTGATACATTTTTCATGTTACACCGAAACTAGTAAAAAAAATCTTTTTTTTGTACTGAGTTTTAATATTTCCTTTCTATTTATGTTACATATTAAAGTGTTACATCGATTCGAAAACCTTTCTCAAAATGATGATAAAATAGTTAATAATTTTCCTTTTATATCAAAATATTTAAGGAATGATCCGTCTTCTCAAGTACATATTAAGAAAACCTTAGGATAAAAAAGCTATTTGTAAAGATGACTTGCAAATAACCTTTATCGTTAAGTATTACCTTTATGAAACAAAATAAAAAACAATGTACTGAAGTACAAATATTGAATTTATAAGCATGGAAATAAGATATTGTTGGAGTATTACATTTGTATAGTTATTTATAGAAAAAAAATACAATACGTTTGACGGTTAGTATGGTTTCTGTATTTGTTTTTTTATAAATAAAACAAAAGGAACCGATGACTCGAAGACTAGAATTAAAAAAAGAAGCAGGCAACACAAAGATTAGTTGAAAGAGGAACCCTAAAAACTTATAACCAATTAGTTGAACGATGACCTCCTTCAAAGATTTATTTATTACAAAAAAGACTCAACCACCAATTGTACATAAGGAAAAAAAAAATATTATGTTTAGAATCCTGATTTGTGTAAATGTTATAGAGTATGTAAGAAAGTTTATGGGACATATTTAAACATTCTTTTAAAATTGTAATTTATATACTTTTTAAATATTTACCCTTAATTATATTTATTTTTATATATGAGAACTGTTTATATAAGCTATGGTCGGGTCGGGATCTGAGTCGAGAGTTTGCTTTTTTGATACCTATCATAATTAGTGAGGTGCAATAAATAAAAAAAATATTGGTATTTATTTACGTTATTTATTGCACCCATTACGCAAATTTTTTAAATTCAATATATATTTTATGGTTTTTAAAATAATTATATTTTAAACATAATCTTAATAAAATTGTTAGCAAATAAGTCAATTAAATTTTAAAACAATACATATTTAAATGTATGTTAATTATTTAAAAAATGGATATTATGATAAGTATTGTTTTAAGCAATAAATAATGAAAACCACATCAAATCAAAATGTTATACGACTCCAATGCCTTTCCGAAGTCGTTTATATCTTATATTATTGTTAATAAAAGTATTTATAGGGATATCATACTCAAAGTCATCAAATAAAGAATCATTGTTGCAAATTGCATCTTTGTTTGGTCACATCACTCTCGGGTTTGGCTTTTAAAAACCTAATGTTTTTATATTTGATAATCACTTAATATTAATATTATTTTATCTTGTCAAACGTGACAAACGAGCAGATGGCCTAGTTCTTGGGAAGTAGTCATTGTTTTCGATGGACATCTGCACCATGAGAAATGTTGTGCGATACTTTGCCAGTCTTGATTGTTGAGCAAAGAGGAAATAAGGATAAGGAGATGGTAGGAAAGGGTGGGAAAACAGGAAAGCAACCGGCTCTTTTACTCATCGGACAAAACACAGTTATCAAAGACTACTTCACGTCGATCTGTGAGAGAGTGATACTACCCCGATCCAACCAGTTCATGTTCGAGCTGTAGTTATTTAATCAAAGCTTGGCTCTACCACTTTAAGTACACCTTCAGGTCACAATAAATACGTTTATGTATATTATCATGATTATTAAATTGTTAATGTTGTCAATCGAAAATAAGGTAAATAATGAGATATATAAAACGATGAGGTAAATTTTAGATAGTTGAAGGTTATATCGGACATACGATCACGACCTTTCAGAATAGTAATCTCTGAGTGTCCGTACAGTACAGTTTTTTACAGTAATTAACATTTTTAAAAGTCAGTATTTGTAATATAAAATTTATATAACTATGTGTATGTAAAATACTTGTTCCCTACTGAATGACTGAAGGAATGTATTTATTTGACTAGCTAACTTTTCAGAGTCAAGTATTTTTAATTAGACATTGATATGGTTGTGGTCTAATAACTAGATTTCACGGTCTGCGGTCCAATCATTGACGTGGTAAGTAATATAAGATTATACATTAAAGCAATTTAAAATTTAAAATAAACCAGTCTGGTTGATATTATTGAGACCATGACCTTGTTTTTGTTTCGAATATTACTCATTCAACAACATCGTCATCACCCGACCTCACTGAATTCTGTCTAAATTATTATTTATCTAATTCAGAGATTTGATTGGAGTATGAGTAATCGTTCAAAATTTAGTAAAGACTTGTGACGTTTTTGCGGAAGCCGCTTGAAGATTTCAGTATTAACCTTATTTTAAGCTGCGTAATTTTTTCCTTTAACTTTCTATTGGGCTAATTGGGTTATTTATTGAAAGTAAATCTTTGTGATGTTATCATATATATTTATAAAAAATCATATTTTCTCTTGTTATATATTAGGCAAATATTTTTGTGTTCGTATAAAAGAACGTTATTTAAAGCCATTTACTTAATTGTGATGTTTAGTAACAATAAAGACTTGTAATAAGAAATATTACAAAAACGTCAGTGTGAATATCCGGACAAATTATTATCTGTCATACAAAAAAGATAACAAACCAGCACTTATTGGTATGTTAAACTATGACTCTTTATAAATCTTGTTAATTAAAATAATCTGTAGAAGTTTTAGGTTCCTAGCGATTAAATATATAGTTCTTTCTCAGAAATTTCGTGAAAGTTGCATAAAAACTGTTGACGAAATTCTTCTAGAAGTTGCAAAGACGCAGATATGTAGATCTACACTAGCCACAAAATATACTCGTAATTCAAAATAAATTTTGTTATAATAACTGTAAAGCTATCCATAAATGTTTTAAATAAAATAATTTTATATTTAATTTAAGTTATAAGAGAGGGATGGGAGAGAAAGTTTTATGCATTTTAGGTTTTATTTTCATAACAAAATATACTGTCATTCTTCTCAACGCAACGCTTTTTGCGGTTTGCTACTGTTTTTTCCTTTAAAACCTTGGATTTATTTGTACTAGAACTTGAAATAAAATTGGCTTTTGTTACATGGGATGTACTTTCATAAGGCTTGTTTTTTGTTGTAGAAGTTAAGTTTAAAACTGTTGTAGGTGGTGTAGTCAAAGTATTAGAATTCTTTTTCCGTGTGCTGCTTATTAGATTAACAGTATGATGAAGTTTCTTTTTGTCATCTTCCGAATCACTTTCTTCTTCTTCTTCTTCGCTGACAGGTGGTCGTCGTGTGTTGTTAAATGGTCCCTTTAAATAACCACATTCTAATCTATCACCGCGTATTCTACAGCCATTACCTACTTCAACTGATTCGTTTTGAACTTTTTCTATATTCTTGTTATAGCCACAAATAACTCTGTCATCAACAGTTTTGCAAATAGTTTCATCGTAATCATAACCTGTACAATGTGTTCGGTTACTGTTCACACCATCCGCTCGTCTGGACTTAAATTTTGAAGTAGTATTTAATACTTTATCTTGTTCAGGTGCGGAGTTATTGTAATGGTTGTTCATAAGATTGAGAATTATGTCTTTTAAAGTCATTTCTGAAAGTTTAGCTTCATTTGATAATGGGTCAAAGTTGATGTGACCAAGTTTAGGAGCGCTGTCGATTATAAGAGCTCTGTTATATATTACAATTATCTGAAAATATCTTTCGGTTATAGTTTTTTTTATTATAAATATATTTTTTTTATTATACAGGTATATAAGGTACTGTTTTTTATGAAAATTATTAACTTATGTATATGATGTGAGTTTTGATGTGTATGTGTATGCAAGTTATGTATTATTTTTCTTTTGCTTACCGATAAAATTAATAACATTGTGCCATATTCGTTAAACTTAAGCAAGTGAATATCAAATTATTTTTGAGTCAATACAGTCAGTATCGTAAATGCTTCATGGGTAACCATGTAGCATTTACGATATGTAAATATCTACATTACATTTTCGAATATTTTTTTTGCTAAAATTGTATAACAGTTAAAGAACCTCTATACCTATTATTTTTCTGTTGAAATGCCTAATACATAATTTTTTTTTACGGGTGAAATCAATTCAATCAAAATATAGGTGTACAGTTTTTATATTATTTTTTGGTTTATTGTACGATAACTCAATCAAGTAGCTTAAATGAGGTCTTCCACATATTGAAACAGATATTTATATTTTTAATATTTGTTAATTTTCTTGAAACTTTTATTTAAGATTTTTAAATTCTGTTTACTAATTCTAAGGAGGGCGTTAATGAATAGTCTCTTAGGAATTCAAGTTCACGTAAAATACAGCAGGACATACACTCAATTTTATAGAAATGTTGACATTACAATTTATTTTGTATGTACGTGTATTTAATGTATGGATATTAGAAGTTAATATAATTTATATTTTATGTATAATGAATACAATGCAGTAGGAAGACATTTATGCTTTTCATGTTTAACTATTTCTAAAAGAAGGTTATATACATCTCTTCTTATCTTGCCTTAAAAGGTAATTATTTAGGTTGATTAGTTATTTTAACAGATTCAAGTTATTCTTTGTATATTTTTAACTATTTTAATATATGTTAATCGAAGAAATGAAATAAAAATAAAGTGCTATATCTAATCCTAAACATAAAAAAGATGATACATTATGTCTTGTTTAAAATTGGCATTTCTTTCAGGTTGACATTTGATACTAACAATTTTACAACGATTTCATAAAAAATGTAACATAATAAAATAAAATGTGAATAAAATATTTAAAATTGATCCTAAAATCTTTTTAGAACAATCATCACAATCATGGTTTCTACAATTCTACAATGTGCAAATGTCGTAAGCGGGAGGAAGGACCAAGTAAGGATATATTTGATAATGTTATGTGATAATATTGTAGGGTTAATTTATAATTATATTCTTTTTTATTTTGATATCATGAATAACGTATTGTTTGGTCTAAAGAAAAGAAAAAATTGACGTGGTGCCAGAGATGCAGACGAAGAATATGTGTGTGGTGCTATAGACGAATAAAGCGTTGTGTAAAAAGACAGGTCTTTGGAAAATCAAGTCCAAAAATTAATGAATATGAAATAGCTGGATACACTTTAAGCGAGATAAAAGATAAATTTAAAAGAAAATCTCCAGCATCTACAACTAAAAGTGCTGAAACTAAATTAGAGCCCAAACCAACAGTCCTGACATTGTTTAGAAAAAAGATATACAATAAGTCTACAAAAAGCCTACCAATGAAAGATTTAATTGAAAATGAAATAGATAAATATTCTTTTTCTAAATCTGTAGGAAAAAGAATGATGTCATATCTTGATGATTTTAGAGAGAATAATCTTTATCTTGGAGTAGGTAGTGACTCACAGCTGAATTTAACTGAGGGTGAAAGAGCAAGGTTTAAGAAACTGTCAGACGAATATGAGAAAAAAAATAAGAAATCTTTTATAGACTTTTTGAAAAACATTGAAATGTTAAAAAAGAAACATTCACTCTCACTATCAAAGATTGTAGTTTTAAAAAATATGGCTGATGATTATAAAAACAAAAAAATGTCATTCACTAACGCTATACCTTCATGGAAAAATAGTAAATCCAGTCTGAATTTAAATAAATTAGAGAAGCAGGATATCGACAATTTAATAACTTATTACAATAAACAGAAGAAACGTAGATCAAAAGTCTCAGAGGGAAAAATATCCCTCAAAAACTTAGAACTCATGAATGTAATAGATAATGAGGGAATGAAGAAGAAATTTTCTTTAACTAATTCAAGACAGATACTATTAACGGACATGATCGAGGATTACAAAAAGGGAAAATTTAAATTATCTGACATGCCTGATAATTTAAAATCAGACATGAAAAAATTAGACAAGCAGAATCTAAACAAAATATTAGACTACTATAACAAAAATAAAAATAATAAGGGATATCCATTTATCAAACAATCTAGAGTAAAACAGATGATATCTGATTTAAGGGCTAAATTTGATTTCAAATGAAGTATTTTTTTAATTTCTTATTACTGTTTGAGATTATATGAAGTAAACAAAAATTTAACAAGACTTAGAAGATATTAATAATATTATGAGAATAAATATTATATATTTTTTGCTCCACTGTACAAAGCGTTTCTAAAATTTTAATTAAATTTTTATGTCATTATGTTTCTGATAACAGAGATGCTAAGAAGTAATTGCGTATTCGTTATGGTCAGTATATTTATAAACAACAAAAATACATTCATTCTAACATGCTTAATTTAAAGCGTTAAATTATACTATTCAGTTTTTTTCAGTATCATCAGTTTTGTGTAATTCGTGTCTGTGTCCTCAAGATAAAAAGGTAGAAAAACTTTCTTCAGTCGTAACACTTAAACATGTGGATAGCCAGGAACATGTTACGCAGAGACACAGAAAGCGCTGTTGTCCGTACAATTTTGATGGTACAAAATGTAGAGTTGTAGGCGATCGGTACATATGTGGCTATAACATGAACGTTAATAATCCAAATAGTAACGAGGTTCAGGATTTGGGTAATGGATGCAAACTACGTCATGGAAGATTAGAATGTGGTTATGATCAGGCGCCATACGTTAATTTAAGAAGACCTCCTGCTGTAGATTATCATAGTGGTAACAATGATAATAATGATAACAATCAAAACCATGTTACTCATTATAACAATGATTTGCACGAAAAACATTTAATCAATGATAAAAATCAAAACGAAAGCGTAGAGGGCTTAGACGAAAATGCAGAGGATGATGTAAAGCTAAAATTACATGCTACTACCTCTTCAAATCATTTTACCCGATGTCTTGAAGTAAAAGATCGTATTGTATGTAGGCATGTATAAAGTTATAATGAAATGTAACTTTGTTTTATTTTCCGGTTTATTATTACACAACTTTGTAAAATAAAGACTATTAGGTGATTATAATTTTGTACTTTTTATTTTATAGACAAAAAGTGTAATACTATAGCAATATTGCAGAAATAATATGTTGCCTGTTGCAAAGAATTCAATGGTTTTCCTATTGATTAAAACATATTTGAATTGTATCTAAAAATTTGACACGATATACCTTAAAAAAAATCTATTGGAAATATTCTGTACATTAAATATTTTTATACGATACGTACCCAAACAAAAAAAAACATGAGTTAGTAACACTAGTAATACGAATACTTACAACCTCGTTTTTTTTCAGTAGCAAAGTAAAGACTCAGAATGATTTCTGTTTTCTCTAAACCATTAAAAAAATATTGAAATCAGAAGTTTAGTTCACCTATTTTATTTACAGTATAAAACATTAAATATATATCTTCCTTTGAGATATATAAGCAAAATTACGTTGACAACTGTTTTTTTTATTTAAACTGTGATCATTCGAAATGTCTAATCTGTTATTTACGTGTTTGTATTATCATTTCCTTATAAGTTTTTCCGGAAAGTTCATATGCAGAGACCTATGCTCGGAGAGAAATCTAGGGTTTGCTAAAACAATAAACGTAATTAATACATAGTCACAACTGTGTATCATGTAATTTTTAAATTTAAACACTTCATTGGAACTTCGAGGGCTTTCGGGACAAATATTAGTTAATGTTTTATTTCGATGGCTAAATTACTTATTATTGTAAAGATTAATGGAAATCCCTTCACAACAACAAAGATCTATACATTCACATAAACATTCGAATTCAATATTAACAAATATTCTGTAAAACTATTTTGTATTAATAGGATGATATTTTGCTTATGAAATGTTAAACAAAATCGAATATATGTGTATGAATGAATGTACGTATATATGTTCTATAATATATTTATTCAACACCTGCTATTGTTGAAAAATATTTAGCAATATCTGACTTTATTGAAAACTACATTTTTTTTCTCAGGCGCTATTTACTTTGACAAATTGTATTGGATACAATTCTACAGCTTAAATTATGTGTAAATAGTTCGAATACTTTTATTGTTTTCTTTTCAATAAATTTTCATGACCAAAGGAGGTTTACACTATATTATCTAGAAGTGTGTCATCTTAATTTCGTTTGGTATGTTCAATGTATAGTTGCAGGTATGGGTTTGCAGGTATGGCTAATTAAGCATACAAATAATAACTGTTACTTAAATATACAATGACCATACAACAGAGTTATTTAATAAATAATATATTTACAGGCGTTCATAAATTGTCAATCATCACAAACATTTAAATAGAAATAGTATTTTATTATTGTTAAGCGTTTCTTGTCTTATTTGGTAAGATAATGTAAAGCGTCCATCGCACCCTCTAGACCCGGATGGCTGTCATCGGCGAAGAACCCAAATAATTCCTTCATAATCTTCGATTCTTTATCATCTTTCGGGAAAATGTAGTCCAAGTAGTTTGTGATTGCATCCGACATACTCCGTTGTCCTGTTTCATGTTCAAATAGTTTCTCCAAAATTTCTCTTAATATATTACAATTGCATACATTGATTATTACCGCCAAAGTCACAATTATTAGAATGAATTTCCCAGTTGCCATGATTCTGCAATAAAAAAAAGCATATGATCACCTGTTTGATGGAAATAGTTTACAATCCTTCAATATACAATAATATACTTTGAACAAAACTAGGAGCTTTTGAAATTAATAAACTATTATCAACGTATTTTGCATTCAAATCTTAAATCAGTTAAGATTTACTGCTTCAGCATGTTTACATATAATAGGTATATATATCTTAATATTACGTTGGAGTAACTGATCCCATAGTGACAAACAAGCAAAACCGTTGTTTTAAAAGCCGGTTTCATATTTTTGACAGGACAAATAATTTTATATCGAGATAAAAATAGTAACCCCCAAATCAAATTCTTACTAGAAAGATAGAGTCAAGAACTTCAACAATCTGAATTTATCTTTTACCAAACAAGGTCCAAATTACAGGAATCATTATTATTATTTCGTTTCTAGAATTATTTTTCGTATATAATATAATTTTTTCTAGTCTTTGTGTAATAACTTCGGATTTTTTATCAAGAACATGATCATTAAAGATATATATGTAATTAGTAACATCAGTACGGCGAAGTCTATTAGAGTCGCATCCGTCTATAGTGAAAGCTATCATTTCTGCGAATGCCATTACTACGTATAAAGTCAGAACAACATATGATGGTAATAAAGTTTGAGTATTTAAATAAGAAACATATGAAGAACGAAAAATATTAATGGGAGATGATATGTATCTACATAGTTTTAAACATACGTTTATAACATTTTTATATATACAGAATTTGGTTCCTACATTAGTACTATTTATATTAGCAGTCTCAAAATCACAACAGATTAGATTTTTAAGATAAGATTTGTCTTCTCTATGGCCATCAATGAAAATAAAAGTGAGTTTATTATTAACGTTATAATAATATCCCAGAAACACATTTCTTGACAAATCACTTTTACCAAAATATCTTTAATCAATCGATCTTATGTCTGATATCAGTTTGTATGTGTAATAAAAATTAAAAAAATATTTATATTTAAGGTACATATATACATACTCGTATATTATATATACACTTATGTAAGATGATCAGCATAAATAATATTTAGGTACTATGACTACTTTTCTATGATGGAAATCTTTAACCTTCTCACAATTTGACTATTATCAAATTAATTGGATCCTCATAAAATTTATATCACCTACACCAGTTTTTTTTAATAAGAATAAATACGGAATATATTTTCCATATATATGAGGAATCTAATCCTTTAGGATGTAAATTGGTAAGTCAAATAATTACAAATTTTATCTTATGAAAAATTTCTTACATATATTGCTTACGATGCTTGTTATTTTATGATGCCAAAATTTACAAAAAATGTATGTGATAAAAATGTATGTACATAAAAATGTATGTACATTTACAAAAAAATTAATTAATTAAAATAATTATAAGATAACCAGAACAAAGGTAAAAATATATAATATTATAAGTTATTGCAAATACTTCATCCGGAAAGATAAATAGCTGAAATAAATACTGTTTATGTGTATCTGTGAAAAGAAACAGTATAAATTTTAAATAAGTATCAGCGTATGAAGTATATGAATATTAAGATACTAAAAACTGACGAATTTATGGAAAAATATATAAACAAACTTGCATTTTTTGCAATTTGGGAGTCAATAAATAAAACTTAATGGTCATATTAATACAACAATAAAAGAATGTACATACCTTACGAATATAAGTTGACACAGGTGTTGTTATTTTATGATTTAAACATATCACGTCACTCCAACACCCACTCACTCGTCGTGTGACAATCTCAGCTCACCCTCTACTGACGCTGGTCGTTCTTCCGCGCTTTCACCGCTTCCTCGTTTTTTATTACACAATATTCGATAAGTATATAGTTTCCACTTTTTATGATATAACAGCTTGTTATTGAACGTTTGAAAAATATTTGGCGCTCTTTTATATAGATACCAGTTTCATCTCGGCGATGTTTTTATAATGTAGTCATTTGTTCTAGGTTTTATAAACAGTTTAATTTAATATTTCTATATGATAACGTTATACAAATGTAAAATTAAAATTGGTCATTACATTTATTTTATACCAATTTTGAAGTTTATTACGTTCATTATTATTAAGTTGAATGAATATTTGAACGTTCAATTAATTATTACTTTGCAAAGGAAATAAGTGATATAAGCCATGCATAAGCTGTATTTGGGTAAAAATTTAAATAAAAATTTTCAAAAAAAAGTTATACTGTATTTTGTATATGACATTATGAGATTTGAATACAGATAAGTACCTATTTGTTAAATAAAATTTAGACCTTATAAATATTTTTTTTACTATTAAGTATATCAGAACTATTATTTTTATATTAGTATTTTTTATGGTTAAGTTAGATATTTTTTATGTATTTTAGTAACATTCCACTTTTTTGTACTACTTTTACTGCCCCTTCGTCAGGTGTTACGATTCAAATAGCGATCTTGTCCTAGTTCAAAAGTGGTACACGGGGTAATAAGGCTATCCTTAATACATTCAATCAAACAGTCAGTAACCTTTTAAGCGTGATTCATTTACGATAAAATGATTTCTTATGGAACGTTTTTATTATTATTCGCTCGCTCGATACTGATTGATAAAACTTACAACTAGATTTAGAAATATCGGCCTTTTTGTAAAATTAGATTTACTATTTCTGATCACATGAATAAAAAGTAAGTTTTTAATATTATTTTTATTATAAAATTGTTATACGACTTTGATTATGGAATAATATGTCAAATCTGTACAACTTACTTTTAATTAATTAATTATTTCTTTAAACTCATTTACATTCATTTCACATAAAAAACATGTTAATTAAACGTTGTTAATTGTAAAAACAAGTTAATTTTTTTTCAAAGTAATTATCTTTACATAAAAAATTTTCTTGATTTACTAATTCGTCTTTATAATTGTTTATTAAATATTTTACACAAATATCAATTGTTTTTTTTAGTTCAGAAGTAAACATACCTGTTTATGATGATATTCCATGTCACAATTAATAATAATTGTATGTATTTCGCTGTCAATTATCTACCAAAATAATTATTCCAGGCATGCTTTCGAAACCAGTAATTTTACTTTCGCGATTGTTTACTCTTCTTTTCGTACACGTCTCACGTTTTAAATTTATTTATTCATTAACTGTAGATCTAAGTTAATATTTATAATGGTTTGTTTTTATGTAACAAACCAGTTTTGTAGTTACATGAATGGGATCTTCTTACTTTGCATTAGATCATCAACAATGGTCATCACATTTTTCCTTGTCCTACTTTTAGGTAAAAGAAATGGTGGCGTGTTTATTGTGTGATAATTTTATTCTTTTTTTGCTGGATCGACTTAATTAAAGCATGGCTTATTTAAAGGATCTGCGATTCTTATTCATCAGAAGTCTTTATGTTGTGTTAGTGAATTATTCAATATGAAATTCTATGTTCAGGTATATTAGAATCTTAAAAACTAGTTTTATATAAAATGACATGTTATTAATAAATATCATTTGGTTTATTTTAGATTGTGATTCTATTGATGATAAATACCGTGGAGTGGATTGGTGAAGTGCAGTGTAAGCCGCATAGTCGTGTTAGAAAAATCAGTCATATAGAAAGGAAAAAATTACCGTTGAAACATGTTTCTCTCTCTTTAGAAAAACTAACGCCTTTCGGAAAATTTGAATTCAAACATGTCATTAATAAACGACAAGCAGAGGTACCTGAGGTAATAGAAAAAGAAGTACCAGGAGGCACGATCGATGCAATAACAGAAGCGAAAGAAGTACCTGTTGAGACCCATTCGGAACCTGAAGTGATAATTACATCAATAATAAAGCCCATAGAGAATGGTAATTCGTTGTCACTATCATTACCTTTCTATTCCGAACTTGTAATTACACCAGCTCATAAAATCAATGAAATAATAGAGAAACCAGTAGAAGAAGTAGTTTTAGCTGAACCAGAACCAAAACCTGAAGTAATCAAATCATCACTTGTAGAAATAGTTAGTCCAAAAGTAGAAATAATTCCTAAAGTTGTAGAAGCTCCACCTCCACCAGAAATAGTTGAACCTAAAGTTGTTATCAACGCTATTGAAACTCCTATAGTTCCTTCTCCTCCTCCTCCGGTCCTTCCTCCTGTAGTCACAATTCCAATATACAGAACCCCTAGCTTTTCTTATGTGAGGTCGGTTATCTCTAATGAAGGGAAAACATTTTTGTATACGGACATAAAAAAGATTCCATTAAGTCTTGCATCACATCCAGAACCAGTTGCTGTTCCTGTTCCGGAAATACTTCCAGTACAACCACCGCCGCCGCCGCCTTTGCCACTGCCGCCGCCGCCTTTGCCACCACTTCCACCTGTAATAAAGGAAGATCCGCCACCAAAAAAGGAAAATCCAAATTTCTTTGTTAAAGGATCTCGTCTAGTGTTATATGTTGGCTCAATGATGCTGCAAATGTTATCTAAATTTGTTAATGGAGGTTTCAATATAAATGAAATTCCCATACCTATCATACCAGAAGTGCAATAGTATTTAGAATCTTTTAGTTTTACGTTTTAATTTTTTTTTATTAAAATACATGTTTAAAGTATAGTTTGAGTTTTCTTTATATTTGTCTAATACTACTCTATCTTGGAAAAATCATGTTTCATTGATTTATTTATTTCATCAATAATTTTTACAACAGTATTCATTTTTCAAAAATAAATGGATGTTAACCGATCGGAGGTTAATTAATCGAATAGGTAAACTAATGAAAAACGTAAAACGTTTAATTTAATAAAAAATAATTATTTAAAATAACTTTAAAAAACCTTAAAAACGATTCGTATAATACGATCATTAATTTTTAATTAAGCAAATTTATAATTAATTGCATTACTATTCATTTTTTTACAACTACCAAGAAATAAATGTGGAAGGATATAAAGATTTAACAATATTTAAGATATTTTTTCCAAAAAACAAATTCTGAGCATTAATATTGCGATATTTTTAAAAATATTAGTAATTTAGTTCTTATTAAGGACAAAATTATGTATTACCAGTGCTAGCTTGTATTTGGGGCAACATAATTAATTTAGGGAAAATCTTTGTCTTTTTTCTAATTATTTAATTTTGTGCCCTAAAATAAGATGAATACTATTTATAACTATGACTTAGAGGTGTGCAATTGTAAAGAAATAAATTTTTAAGTTATAATATAACTTAAAATGTATGTAATACAAAATCAAGATTAAATGTAAGTATGTATTATACCCTTGCCAGTTATTATATCTGTACTTCAGTAATTCATATCTCTTAAGTTTTGAAAGAGACTAAGAAGATCTAAATAATTGCAATTAATTTTATTTTATTTCTTTTAACTTCGCAAGTCACAAGCAGTCTCACAGTACATGGATCTGGAATATTTAAATCGATTATAATAGCTTTTCACATAAATCAATTATTAAAAATAAATAATATAAAAAAAAATCCATTACAAAAATTTATATTACGCTAATTGTAAGTATGCTAGTATAACCGAGGAATAAGTAACTTTATAGTAAAAATTGGTACCAAATGCTGACGCTGAGCCATCAGAGGGTATCAAGAAATGAGTTTTTGCATATATTCAGTCTGGAGTCAATTGTTGACTTATAGACACTTATTTAGGATGTAGTTAATTATAAGTCGTAATTATATATTGAATTTGAAGTCAAACGTTGGCGTTAAGACACCTAGACCGTAAAATGTCGTCAGTTATCAGCTATAAATGTAACTTAAATATAGTTTTATAAGTGTTAAACTGACTTTTCTTGCATCCTTCGCAACTATCAAACGTAATTATTATATAACGTAGGATGTAAATTAAATGAAATAAATGAGTAAATAAACATTTTTTTATTAATTATTATGGTTTAAATATGACAAGTCATAAGAAATATATCATGAAAAATAAACTACGTGTCAACATTTGTACAATGTTCAATAATAACATAAAAACAAACTTTTAAGGTAAATTGTATGTAATAAATAAAAGCAAACAAAATATCAACTTTCATTTTATTTATTCTCTAGTAGCACCTAAACCTTGCCCCAATCCACCTGGTCCAAATCCACCTTGATTGAATCCACCTGGTCCAAATCCGCCTTGATTGAATCCACCCGGTCTAAATCCACCTTGATTGAATCCACCCGGTCCAAATTCGCCTTGGTTGAATCCACCCGGTCTAGGCCCGCCTTGATTAAATCCTCCCGGTCCAAATCCACCTTGATTGAATCGACCTTGGTTAAATCTGCCCTGATTGAATCCACCTTGATTAAATCGACCTCGACCAAATCCACCTTGTCCAAACCTCCCTTGGTCTGGGCCTGGTGGCCCTAAGCTCAATAAACCTCTATTTCTTTCAGACCCATTATCAAACTGAGCGGTAACGAATGATAGAATCACAAACAAAAATAATAGTAAACTGCCCAGCTGGAACAAGATAACGTTTTAAAATTTTGTTTATAAATACAAAGTACACATTTTATTAAAAATCTTAAACCTTTTCATAAAAAATCAATTTAACTTACTTTATGTGTCATTTTGAAAAATATTATGATAGCACTGCTATCGATGAGAATTCTTTAAAGACACTGTTATAACTTCAGAATTTTGTTATTATATAGTGTTATTCTCGACAATTCTCGAAAATGTAATGTAATTGTCACAAAGGTGAGATATTCAAATATACTCATGTACGCGTATGCTGTGTTTGAGTTAGTTTAAATTTACAAATCTTTAATATTCATTTTATTTTAAAGTATGAAGTAAATATCATATTTTATACTACACACTATCGTAAATAGATATTTGATTCTGCATGAAAATGCAAATGCTTGTCAGGAAGTATGTTTTCAAAAATACTTTAACGATTATCATGACAATTTACTATAAATACAATAGAATAGATGTTAGATTAAAAATAAGCTTATCACATAATTCCGTGCAGTTACTACAGGATCGAACCATAAGGGTTGTTTTGTTTATGAACTTGGTTACTATTTTAACTATTTTATTACACCTTGCATATTTCTTCTTTAGTACAATTCTAAAGTCTACGCAGTCGAAGTTACAGGCTAATACTAATACCCTAAAAAAAAAACAAGTAGAATATGGATAACACTTCTCTGCAAAATGTAGTTACTCTAATGTAGCATTATGTAAGAGGAAGCGTTTTTTGTCCTCGTAAATATTTCTATTCGTGTCACCATAAAAATGTATCTTTGTTAACAAGGATCACATATGAAAAAAATTAACACCATTTTAGTCATGCTCATATTTTTATAAATGATATACATTGTTTATACATTATATTATATATATTTTTACTATATTATGTAGAATTTAATATTGAAACAAATAAAATTGGGAAATTTTGAAAAAAAAAAACAGTATTGGTTAAATGACGATGCATAAATCTTTATCGCTTTTTTCGGTATCCTTAACATTGTGATCAATGTTTGCCACCTCCACCACTACTAGAAATACTCTGGCTGCTTTGTCCTTGACTTCCTGGGCCTATAAGTCCACCACTGCTGCTGATTCCGCCTCTACCTAATCCACCAAGACCGCTGCTTCCATATCCACCACCGCTGGATCCACCACTTCCAAAACCACCACTTCCTGAACCACCACTGCCAAAACCACCACTTCCTGATCCACCACTACCAAAACCACCGCTGCCGCCTTGTCCTCCACTTCCTGATTCACCACCACTGCCAAATCCTCCACTGCCTCTGCCGCTACCTCCATATCCACCACTTTCAGATCCTCCACTGCCAAAACCACCACTTCCTGATCCGCCGCCTCCTGATCCACCACTACCAAAACCACCGCTTCCTCCATATCCACCACTTCCGGATCCACTGCCACCTGATCCACCACTACCAAAACCACCGCTGCCTCCAAGTCCACCACTTCCTAATCCACCTCCGCTGCCAAATCCTCCACTGCCTCTACCTCTTCTTCCATATCCACCACCGCTTGATCCACCACCATATCCACCGCTGCTTGATCCACCACCATATCCACCACTGCTTGATCCACCACCAAATCCACCACTGCTTGATCCGCCGCCAAACCCACCACTTCCTAATTTTTCTTTAACAGAACCTAAGAAACCGCTAAGGCCACCTGACTCGTGGACTCCTCCTTGCGTAAATGCAAAGAGTAAACATCCAACAACAGCGATGAATAATACCTGAAAATTATCAAATACAATATATATTTCGAGGTAAATAACTCTAACTGGCATATTATTTAAGGACTAAGCTAATAAAAAGAATTTAAAATTACATATTAAAGAAAAATCTATATGCAATATACTATGTATTGTTATATCATACCTTGGTAAATGCCATGATGAAATCAAGTTTACCTGTGCTTGAGAGGTTTTAAGATATCTCTTATATATCTTACTTGAAACTTAATATATTCCATATCGTATAGATTGGCATCTGAAGCTCGCTGTGATAAATATGCATAAAGTGAGGCTGATCTGTTATTCATAATTACGATTTTTAAGAAAAATGTAATATTCTTGCCGAAGGCATTGTAATTAAAAATATCAAGTAAATGTTATGGAGTCACTATGTTACAAAAAAATTTAATGTTTTTTTTGTATATTTTTTTAAAATTTACTATGCTTATAACGAAAAACATGACAAATAAACAAATTCTTTTAGTCTTACATACTCTTAATATATACTCTATACTACAAAGTTATCGCAACGTTTTTTTTTAAACGTAGTCTAAAAACATGAATTATACATAATTTTATTTGATTATTTTGCTGCAAAAGAAGATTTAAGAAAGAAAAACAAAAATGCTAATAACTTTTATCGTCGGCTACGCAGCTAAAAAAAAACCTAGTGTTTGAGAAATACAAGAACTGACGCCTAAATGAATCCAATATTATTCGGATTACTATGTGTATTTTATTATTTAATTACTTTTCAGTAACCGTAATAACGGACGGGCAAGAGAAAGATGAGTATGTACTTTTAAAATAATAAAGTACGGGTATTAATCCGAATAATATTAGTTTCATTTAAAAGAATACTCGCGAAAGTCTTAGATCTTAACTGACAACAATCCTATGATTATAAAAATTAACCTCTAGTATGTAAAATTTATTTTATTACGAAGGTATACTTATTTATTTGAAATATCTGCCATATTATATTATATTATATATATTATAGTCCATGTCATTATTTGCTCGTTATATTTACACTTATCGGGCATCCGCTTAGAGTGCTAATATTCTTAATAAATTTATATTTTTAAGATTTTAGTATTGTGGTTAAAAATAGTATAGGGAAATACATATAGTTCTTAATTTTTTTGAGTAAATGGATCTTTCATTGATGTAGGGATGTATAAGAAAAATTGGCAACTAAATTATATTTGCTTCAGTAAAATTTATCAAATGATAATAAAATTATATTTGGTACTTTGTCATAATTTTTTTTATTTAATTTTAATTTAGTTTAGAAGTAATTAAGCTTATAATTAAGATGTCCTTTGCATGCATGTCGTAGATGATTAAGTAATATGTCTAAAGAGTATCTGATTTTTTTTATTATATTCACAATTTTTGTGAAATAGTAATTTTTGTAAATCATGTTTTTTTTTGTTTCAGCAAACCTTCTTGATTTGGTTTAAAAAACATAGATATATAATTAATTACAATTATACTATTTATCTCATAAAAACTGTATTTCTTATAGTAGATTACGATGTTAGTATGACGCAGATGAATATATTGCAGTTTCAAGTATTTATAAAAATAGCGTTCAATTAAAATGTTATATGACGTGCAGTCTATTAAAAAGCCATTTTTAATTTTTTTTCTTTTGGTTAAGCCAAATATATTTTTGTACGAATTATTTCACTTGTTTCTTTCTAAGATACAGAGTTAAATAGCTGGCTATGAGAACTGTATAAAAAATAAACTAAAATTATATATCTCTCCTTATTTTTTAACAATAAATTTACTGACCCGTATTGTATACGCCCTATCTTATTTACTTTTAAAATGAAAATATGTAGTAGTAGGTACACATTTTTTTTTGTTGTTTGACCGACATTTAATAACTTTTTATAGAAACAACATTTTTTAAATTGGTCCTAAAGATACAAATATATCTTGTATATCTTGGTTAAAATTATACTTGATCAGCGTTTTATTTGTTATATCAATAAATATAAGACATTGTTAACAGGAAGGCAAAAAATATAAATATATTGCAAGTCTACAAAATTGCAAATAAAACCCTAAGTAAATCAATAAAAATTTATTCGTTTTATACTAAGTACTATGGAATTAGAAATATATATGAAATGAAAATATAAAAACTTTACTTTCATAAAAGAGTTTTACATGATTAATAAGTAAAATCTGACTTATCCATGTTGTTATTTTTCATTAAAATGTTTAGATTTGTATTCATGTGAGCGGGAACAAAATAATAACCATCAACGATGTATACTGGAATTGGATAAAATCCTGGGAAGTACGGTTTGAAATCGAAGAGTTTGTCTTCTTTATCCTTGATTTTGGCTGGCTTTGCGCGATTTTCGTAACTTGAAACGTCTGGACTCCAGAGCACTTCATTTTTAGGATTTTCTTCCGATTCGTATCCGGTACACACTACACCCATCACAAACAGCAATAGTAGAAAGACGGTAGTTTTATACATATCTTAATGTTGTTCTGCTTCAAATCTAAAACCTATTTCGTAATGGTAACATTTCTTAGGATATTTGAATATATACATACCGTGAGCAATTATTTTTTATCGGCGATGATTTACCGACGACAATTTTTATGAATGTCAGAGTATGAAATTATAAATAATCGTTTTTGTTTCTTGTAACGGTTTTTCCACTGCTATATTTCTTATTGCTGTTTGAAATTGTTTCTATCATTACCCTACTTTAAGTTATCTATAACTTGCTTATGTGTTCGTAATGTAAATATATTTATTTGTATTTAGAGCGACATAGAGCTATACACATAAACTACTTTTTAATATGGTGTGTGTAAATTTTAGGCCTCTACTTAATTCTCCGTGGTGATATTAATCTGCATATTAGAAGAACATTACTTAAAAAATGCTCTATAAAAGCCCTATAACCCTTGGTGTCATGGCCCGTGTGTACCTTTTCCCTGATATTTCAATATAGACGTCTAATAATTGTCACGGATACCAGTCTTTAAAATGTTACTAAGAAAAGTCCTGACACTCATGACACTGTGACTTTTCGACTCGATCAGCTCAATTTATATTTTCCTTATATTAATATTAAAAATGTTGCAAAATGTAACTTGGCACAATTGGATTGTTTTTTTTTTAAGGTCCTTATTGAAAGTCATTCTAAACATAAATATTACTTGAAAACGTAATATTATCATCATTAATGCAACCGCTTCAAAAAGAGCACTTCCTACCCACGCTCCACAACTAGATAGATTAAGAGATTTTTTTATAGGGCAGACTCCTTAGGGTTACGTTATCTGTTTTCTCAATGAGGTTTACGGGTACAGCTGACTGGTGGTTGAGACACCAGATCCGTTGCCCATAGGCAACCTACCACCGCAAGGTCTTCTGATTCAGAGGAGCTGGGGAGTAGAAATATAAAAAATACAACTACCGTCCTTTAACTCTAAGAAGTTATTCACAGAGTCCACTCTGCTATTCAGAGAAGTACTAACCCATACCCTGATTACCTTGCCTCTCTTAGTATGGCTTTTCACCTCTGGCCTAACAGGTAAGGCAAGAATTGCCGGTATAGTCCCTCCTTACCACGACAAGGTGACTGCATTAGTGTAACAATATTGAGCCTATCTTAAGCCGTCATAAATTGTAGTAAGTTTTATTAAATTTTGGTGTGGTAATAGAATTTAATATAATGTTAAATACTTTTTGTTACTTCAACGAAAATATATCTAGCGGGTCTGATATTAAAAAGGAATAATTTTATTTTTTTGGTTAGCACATTTAAATTACGAGGTAAGAATATCTGGACAATTCAAAATGTATTTAAAGCTCGCAGCCTCAACATTCACATCGGATAAAAAACAATTGGCATTATTGGTTTTCATGGGTTTGGAGCCTCTGTTAGCACATTCTGATGCCAGTAGGTATTATATAAACTGAAGCAAATAATGAAGACACACCATGCTAGTCTGAAATAGTTTGAAAAAAATGATAAAATTTTAAAAGTGTACTGTCAAATGAATTATACATAATATGAAGGATTAAAAAAATAAAATATTATAATAATTTTACTTTAGTAAAATAGTTTTACAACGACCAACCCTACAAATTATGTTGACGATTCTCATTGCTCCATCCAGAATGAAAAGAATATTTATACCGAATTCATATCTAGTTTTACGAAAAAATTTAAATGACTTAGTTTTTAAAACAGTAATTAAGATATTGCTAATGTTTTAATTAAAACATAGTCATTTATTAGAATAATTTATTTACAGTGTAATTGTGTGTTATTACTAGAACAAGAAGGAATTTAAAACGATTCTGCAGTTAAAATTCTTTTCAATGTTTCCAGTTATTACTTGTAAACAATATAATGGTCACTTACTTGAGTCTTACGTCAAATATTGCATTCCGATAAGTTATATGGAAAATAGATACTGAGAAATTATTAGTTAGCCCATACATTACATTTTAAGTGAAAGTTAAGAAATCCTACAGGTTTCTTTTTTATAAAAAATATAACCACAGTTATATCATTTACATATCAAAATAATTGTAATTAATTTTGAAACATTAAGTACTTAAAAAAATTCAAAGTTTTAAAAAAGTTATAAAATAAACTGTTATATATCTTTTTTTATATCATTGTCCTTTTTTCAAATTTGCGATAAAAGTATTGTTGAGAGGTAAAAAATATATATACCAACGTATTATATTTAATTTGAATTAGATATTTTAAATGGTATCTGTAAAACAATGAATTAATATTAGTTAACATATGTAATTAAAAGCCAGTTATAGCATATTTTTTTTATTCTTTAACCAGTTCTAGTTTACTACCTGCATCCTAGTTTACTATTAAATGGATAACTTATCAAAACTTCTAAGTATAACAGAACAAGTATTTTTTGGTACTTTATCAAACGTTCCGAGTGGTATTATAAAAAAGGCACCAATTTTTTTGTGGCTGATATTTCAAAATTACTTTAATTAATATGAAAAACTATTTGTTTCGACAAAACCTTATTATTGAAAACACTATGTTTTAAATATTACGAATTCGTTAAGTGTTAGGTTCGTATTAAGATTAAAAGACCTTGTTTGAAATTCAATTTATTAGTTAAATTTTATGAGATAGGATTATATTCAAATAGCAATTAAAAAGCTAAAAAGACTTTTTCAGTTATTTCAGTTTGTTTTTAATATAATATATTGTTGGTAATCGTATCGTATCGTATCGTATACTATAAACCACGATGAAACGAATACTTTTTTATATATGTAGATATAAACGATAATTTTTTTAAATCGACATATCTACTAAAATCAAGCCAGAGATATTAAATTTTATTAGTCGCAATCATTTTTGCAATTATCTTGCTGTCGTTGTAAAAAAAATCTTGCTATTATAAGATAAACGATAAATTTTCTGTGATATATTCTGAGTGATGTTAAGAGTTACTTAAAATGAGACAAGTTTTTGTGAGTCTTGTACCGAAAATACCAAAAATATAATATTTGCATCGTTAGTGAATAATATAAGGGAAAATGAACAAAGTAACAATGAACTGAGTTTATGAGAAAAAGTAATGTGTAATATAAATTAAATATTTATGTTAATAAATTTTCATGGCAACTTTCGTATTGCAGTAACTCTTCGTTTTGGTACAACAAAAACTATAGCACAGAATATAAGTTGCCTTATTTCTTTTATTATTTACAGTATAATTTAATTACTTAATTAATTGTCTATCTTTCTCCATATTTAAATATCGACTATATAGACTTAACAAGTTTTTAGTTTTAACACTACTCTTAAAATTAAGAATATATGCTTTAAATTTTCATTTTAGCCTACTTGCACTTATTAGATTTATTTTTATTTGTTTTCATAGTGTATACATGCAAAATTATTCTAACAATTCTGTTATTTTATGGCTAACATCGTTTGAAAACAATATTTATACACATAAATATTGTTGATAAAATCCAAGTATTTTTTATACTTTGTCAATGAAATAATAATATAATTAAGGATATTAGGATAGTTTTCAGCCACATATAAATATTAGGTGTTTTATAACTTTTTTGTTAGGGTTACAGAATGAGTACAGAAATACTTGTATTTTATCTTTCCCTAAACTATGTAGTATATTTACAGAACTTTACTCCACAACACGTTTACAGATATGGGGTCATCAAGATCTTTGACACTAGCGCTATTTGTTTCCTAAATTTAAACAAAACCACTATTGAAATACATCAGGTATTTTAGTTTATAAGTGCTGAAAATATTTTTTTATGATTTTAGATTATAATAATTATAATTTAATGAGCAGTTTTGTTTTTTAATATCAATTATAATTTGTTCGGAAAAATATGCACTTTATGTTTCTTGGAAGCGTAGAATTAATTTTTTTAAATGTAAATTCACGTGCCAGTGACGTGATGTAGCGCTTTAAATACGTTACCGCAGAGTAAAATAATAAAATTATCGAGTTTACTGTGTCAGAATCAAAATAATTGTAATCTTTTTTTTTTATGTCAAAGGTGGCAAACGAGCAGACGGCCTACTTGGTGTAAGGTAGTACCGCCGCCCATGTACATCCGCAACATGTTTGTTGCGAATGCGTTGCCAACCTTGTTTTTTTAGGAATGGGAAGGGGTGGGAATAAGGAAATGGTAGGAAAGGGTGGGAAATAGGAAAAGGGCAACCGGCTCTCTCACTCATCGGACGAAACGCAGCCACTTAAGGCTACTTCACGCCGATCTTCTGTGAGAGGGTGGTACTTCCCCGGTCGAGCCAGCCCATGTTCGAGCTGTAGTAACTTACCACAGCTAGGCTCTACCACCTAACAAGTAACCTAATCATATATCATCTCATGATTTTTTTCTATAAATTATTTTATAAATAAATTAAATATAGACAAATGTATTGCCTGTTTGTGACTTACTCATAGCCTCAAGCTATAATATATTATAATGATATCACAATTCATCAAAAATTATTTTTGAATAGTATAATACTTTTTTATTAAAATTATTTGGAATGCAATATTTTTAAAATAAATATTTCATATTTATTTTAAATTTTTATTGTATCCTTTCTTTGTATACAGTATATAAATAAGGTGCAATAAGTAACTTCTCTATTATAAAGCAAAACATTTTTGGGTATATTGTATATCATTATTACTAATACTACACTGTATGAATAAAATATGCATAAAGTATAATTACATTTTTCTCAAATAAAACAGGTTTAAATAGGTTTTTAGGCTTTTCTACAGGTTGCCGGGTAGCGTATCCAGAATATCAAACTAGTTTAAATCCTTTTATTTGAGTACTTACGTTTCAAAGCTTAATCAATCCATGTAGTATATGTATGTTCTGTAGAGCCGTTTATTTAATATTTGAAGCATATTTTTCAAAAGTCG